AGCGATGTCCTTTCAACCATGATGAGTTGCCGGAGTCTCGCCCGCTTTTTCCGATTTCCTCGTCGCCAAATTTGTTATGTACATTTAATTACATTGAAGCTATGTACATATATACAGGTCAGGTTCGGGACAGTACATGATGGACTGGCGGTTCGATCAGCGGTCCGAACTGCACGAGCACGAGCACTCACAAACCTTGTCACTCGTCGTCTTCTTCCATTGACGCGAAGGTACGCTCGCAGTCGCGCCCAGCAGGCGCATATCTTACAGTTTGAAAGAGGGCAGCATTTGCAGTTGCACCAGACGACCTTGTATGATGCATTGTCTGTCACTCAATCGACCACAAAGTATTTCGATTGTGTCATTGTCGCAGTCGTCGGTGACTTGTAAGCCTGCAATCGCTTCAGCTGCTTGTCCAATAACGAGTCTTCAGTATAGTGGAACTTTTGGCATAGAGGGGACCCTCTCATTTTCATGTACTGCACTACAGAACTGCTCCTAGAAGCTCTGTCATCCACCGATATAGCCGTTGGAGCTCTGGAGCTGTAGCTTATTAAACTTGACTCCGCTCGTCCTAGTATTGGGTGCTCCTTCGCTGTTCAAACACAGCTGTCTTGTCATCAGTGGTGTTGGTGGTTGCAATTCTCTTTGCCGGAGCGTCAGTGCCTTACTACCCAGCGAAGCGAGCATGTGAATGGCCTCGTCTTCGTACTGGACTAGAGCAGTGTATTCTGCAAGGACATCTCCATCAGCAACCTGCTCTTCAAACTCGGTGTTAATCTTACAAAGTTTGTTGTTGCTTGTTGTCAGTCATTCCAGGAAAGATGTCACAGTGGCCAAGTTTGCAGTTTCAAGAACTGCAGTAGCCTCGTTGATAACTGATATTTTGAGCTCATCGAACGGCGCGCTTCCCTTTCAGTCGGTCCATGTCTACCTTCGGTATAGGATCCCGCAGCAGCGCTGGCGATCAGCAATGTTTGGAATACCGCTTGCCCTGTTGGTTCTTCTGTCCCGGAATTTAGCACCCTGTGTTACAGTGTTCGTGGAATTGTCGTTCTCATTTGGGTAATTTGACGAAACGCTGTTAATAGAACTGTGTGATTTTTACATGTTATATACAGGAAGGGAAGGTTCGGTGGTGTGTCCTCATGCTCCAGCTATCAGTCGGTCTTCCTTCTCATGACAGATGCCAGTGTGGAAATCTACTTCGTTCTGGAACATGGGACTCTTGCTGACATGAAGAAATCATGAAGAATTGGCTACGCTTAAAGGAGCTGTGCAACGATTTTAACGTTGAAAGAATTGGCATCTTCTACTTTTGACATTGTTTGTCAATTGTCACAAAGGACAGAAAACACATCTCCTTTCTTCGAACTGCTGCGATTCTGCTGCATAATCGCGAGGCAAAAGTGAGAATATTTCCCGATCTGCAGCTGCGAGCGGCGGCCAATTGTAGTAGCTATACGGCGGCATAGATGTACGGTGTCGATGTAAAATGCAGTAAAAAATTGGGCGCCTGCACATAGAAAGCTCACAGTTTTAACAAAAGTGTGTTTTAATTGTGGACGCATTACTGTGAAATTTCTCGGCTTAGCTCCATTCCTGTGAAAAGTGACAACAATGCATTCTTGAAAATTTCTAAAATGTTTACCTCCAGTAAACGTGGCCGTCCTTCGGTGATAAACCTTCACTGACGATGCCCTTTATTATTTCAGCATATTTCCTGTTTTTATGGTCATCTTTGAAAAGAGGGTAAAACAGTCTGAGTTTATAACAGGGTGCCCGCCTGAACATAGCAGGCTGGCTCACCAAGAATCAAACGGTGTTTCGAAAATCAGACACAGAAATACAGGCGAGAATGCCGCGATTCTTTGATGTCTCCGACGACCACCGTGATGGCGGTGCTTCAACACAAACTGCAGTGCGTTCTCTCCCTTGACAACCTGTGTCGCTGCTAAGGCTTCCTTTTGTCTTGGGAGTTGGGATGCTTTATTCCCTCAACTTGCTACATCTGTAGGCAGTCCCTCTTTCAAGAAGGGCTTTCTTCTCGCGTGGACTATCTCCCTGCCTCACGCTTCAGCTCTCCCCACGGAAGCAATTACTCGACCCTCAAGGTTGCTTAGACCGCCAAAGCAATGACAACAATAACAAAAAAATGCAAATGCAACAAAAAAACAAAAAAATAGAAGAAATTATTGTGCTTTATGGGAAACATCACTGCTCAATATAGAAGCAAAACGAAGAAGTTGGCTGGCTGGGTGAATAAAAACAGTGTACTGCAAGTGCAGTATGGGAGGGTCCCTGAAAAAGGACCAAGCAGGAAGTAAAGTTTCACCAAGTGGTTCTTGGCCCGGTCCTTGGAGTCGTTCTCAAGCACTTAATCAGGGCCGGGCAATAGTAAATGGCTGTGCTGGTCGGACGGACGCTGAAGGTTTAGCAGTCAGGAACAGAAGTCATACGATGCCAAAAGTGATGTCCGAAGGTGTGGTCAGCAGGGAATTAATACACTATTTATATAACCAGACCAGAACCTGGTTACAGGGGGTTGTCGCGCTTCTGCGTGTTGCCGCTCGTGGCAACCAAACGTCGACGTGAAGCGCCTCAGCGCCAAGTGCCCACCGCACACTGTGGGTGCTCAAAGTCCTTTCCATGCAAAACAAAGCTACACGGACTGGCAGACCGCGGAAGTTGAATGCGAGGGTCCACGCACGAGTCCGTTCCAACTCAACTCCTCCAGGCTTGCGAGGGGGTTAAAAGAGTACGCCGACACTGTGCCTGACCAATCGAAGCATTATACAATCTTATTGGTCCCAGTGCCAGCGAACACCTCACTAATCTCGTAGAGGCCGTGGAGGTTCATCTTCTTCCCTTTCCGCCGGATGTAAACATTGCCCCACGGGCATTCCCCAACTCCCAACCCAATGCAAGAGCTCTTCTCACCCCCCTCTCGGGTGACGGCGACTTGCTCACTTTCCCACGCCAAGAGCCTTGACTCTGCGGTTAGCGGTGCTCGCGACACAAAGCACAAAGACCGATGCTGCCTTCCGAAAAGTCGTCAAAGCGGGATGAGACATTGGGGCGCCCCTAATGGGAAAACACCAAAGCCGGCGGGGTGAAAAGCTATTGCCGTTCGAAGGGGATCTTTCCCGCCATCCCTACACAATCGAAGAGAGGAGATCTCCATGACAGTGCTATGCAGGCTGCAGGCACCAGCTTGTACATTTTCTCCCCATTTCCTCGGAGTTGTTGCATTGTCCGCAGTTTTCTGACACTTTGCTTTACTTCATAATTTTTTTTCTGCAATTTCACGGATAAAGGTTGTGCCGCGATTCGGTGGGTAACCAGCCGTAACAAAAACAAAGCCACGTGCTTGCCCTTAGCCAAGCACGTGGCTTGGCGTTGCTGAGGTATACAACGGGAACACAGGGGGAGGGGGGGGGGGGGGGGGGGCTGCTGGCATTGTTCAGTATGCACGCACGGGGGCTCAACATATTTCCCAGCACCCCCTGGAAAAAGTCAGCGGGTGCTCAAGCCCCCGTTGCCCTCCCCGGTTCCGGGGTCACTGTCATTCCAACATAAATATAAATGCGTCAAAAACCTGGTATCATAGACAAAGCTTTTATTATAAGGAGTTTTAGTGGCGCCATCTATCCTAAGTCCACAAAACCGTCAGCTCTATATGCTCCCGCGAACAGCCACCAGAAGCCGGAGGGGGACGAACCCGCATGAGACTTTCCTCCTTTCACCCTATTGTCCACGCTGCGCCAGCACGTGGTCACACGGTCGCGAGCGAATGGCTCTAGGCAGAGAGCTTCACCGGAACCCTGCGCGACCCCCATTGACGTCACAGCGCACGTGACTCGGAAGATGGTGAAGGAGTTGAGAGGTGCCGAAAACCTCAATATTTGTCCATTTTTAAAATAAAAACTAGGACATGCAGGCAAAAGCGTTTTTTTTGTTCTTAACTTCAGAAAGGTCGAGACACCAACTCCCAAATTATTTAAACAAAGTGCTGAAATTGTTGCATAGCTCCTTTAATGAGGAGAGCAAATCCATGTGTTCTTCCTCGCTATTCTGTTCTGGAAATTACTTTCAAGGGTAACGCTGAGCTTCAACAAGCGCTTTACAGTGTATGGTGCTACCAAAAGTCAAGGAAAATTGCTGGGGCTTGGAAGCACTCCAGCATGTTCATCCTGGAGCTTGGTGTTCAAAAACTGCAGCTTCTTCCTCATTGTTTCAAGTCACCAAGGTGGCTCTGGGGTAAAGTGACAGTCTAAGGATCCCCAGTTAGCGGGTTCAGATCCCGGCCAATATGTCCGCAATTTGATAGAGCCTGACCACAGACAAGGAACCAAGTGACTAGGATCTTGATTGCACATCAAGAGACCGCCATATGGTCTAAATTAGATCTGCGCAAGGTGTCGAAACATAATTTTTTTATTTCAGTTTATAAAAATGGTTTAGGAATTCAGTTTAGCTCCGAAGTTAAAAATAGCGGTTTATACTGGTTCAGACCGGTTTATTTTCTAGGGTTGAGAAAAGAATCAAGAATGGTAAAAGTGTTGAGAAAAGAATTCGGAATGGTAAAAGTGAAACAGAGTTTATTTTTATGGAAATATTAACTATTCAAAGAGCAAAGCTAAAAGCGTTTTATCACTTTTCTGGATGTCCGTTTTAGGCTTATACATCACAGTGTGGCAAATGAACTTAGTGTAGACTCATAAGTTCCCTTATTACAAACAGAGGACGGTTTTCATGCACTGAAGTGTGTGTGAAAACTCTAGAAGACCCTTCAGTTTTTTGGTCATTCAGCTCAGTTACCAAAACTTAAAAACGTTACCAAAAAACATAAAATACAAAAAAAAAAGAATATAAACAGGGCATTTCACCGAACATCAGCTCAATTTACGGTGTAAAACTAGGCTTTGCGCAGAAATAAGATAGGTCCCTCGATTTGCTGTGCTCTGCTCCAGCCTTTACCGCCCTTTTGTGTGGTGCAGTGCCCTCGCTGTGCGCTGTGCCGGAGAGCGGGGCGGTCCCGGAGCGAGAGGACGGCGTGCTGTGGGCAGTGCAGACCAAGCGGCGCAGCCTGGAGCGGCGCCAGTGGCGACGGATTGGCCACCCCTTCTTTAACGTGGAGCGCAAGAACAATATCCGCACGTGCGAGGTGTGCGGGCACTTCCACCTGCGGCACACCATATGTGGTAGGTAGCTCGCTTGGCGATTCTGCAAGCCTTTGCAGGAACATCTCTAGGAGCGCACACTTTGCCACAGCTTGCGCGACGTGGTCAAGTGAGAGGGCCTTGAAACTTTTAAAATGTATAGCATTTATAGAGTCTGTTCTTGGAACTTTTGTGCCCGTGCCTGGGATGTAGCCCCGATGGTGACGTCACGAAAATGACGTCACAGTGCTCACAACATTTGGTGTCTGACCGTTGTGCTGGAATGGTGATGAGAGAGAAAACTCGGGTTATATTTTCCTGTGTCACACTTTGATGTCACGTAACACAATGATGTCGTGTGACATTGTAACATTACATCACGTGATCGTGTCATGTGACACTATGATGTCACTTGACACTGACATGTCACAATATTACATCACATGACACTGATGTCACATTGTAACAGATGACCGAAACTGTAGGTTCACCTTGAGTTTAGCCATTTGGAGCGCACAGACCGGGCTGCTTTTTTGAACATTATTTTATATTCATAATGGGTGTTGGTGTACTGGCTCGCGATTGCAGTCTCGCAGACTGAGCAGGCGATGAGCAATCCCGTTGTTCGCGGCAGGTGTCCCCAGCACGTCTTCTCTCTGTGTTTCTTGACTGCTGTTATTCTTTCTGGAGGTCTTCCTGTATTCAACACGTCCACATCTCTCGTTCTTCGGTGCTCAACTGTCCCTCTCTTCTTTTCCATTTTAAGAAAGAGAAGGCCTCGTTGTTTAGCTCTACCCCTTCCCCTGCATTCTCTTTGGAGTTTCGATGCACCCATGTATACCTTTGGACTCCAAGCTGCAGTTGTTCGGCAGGAAACAGGAACCGATCTTGCATGCAAGTCCACGAAAGGAGAGTGGCAAGACCAAGTCTCAAGGGTTCAATGACGCTGTTGATCCATGCGGGCACTTGTGGCCGACCGTAGAGATTGAATTCCAGACTGGTCTACTCGGCGAGGCTGAATCATCACAATGTGACACAACGTCATGTGGCATGTCACATGGTCATGTCATGTGACACCATGATGTCACGTGATGCTGTGAAATCATGTGACAAATATGTCATGTGACATTGCATCACATGATCATCTTATGTGACACCACAATGTCACGTGATGCTGGCACATGGGACACTATGACATCATGTGGTGTGAAATTACGTAATGTGGTCATGTCATGCAACATCATAAAGGGACGTTACACTGTAACCTCACATTACGCTGACATCATGTGACACTATGGCATCATTTGGAGCACCTTTGGGATACACCGAAGAAATGGTCAACATTTTATGCCACGGACCACATCTCGCTTTCTGGCGAATGACAATTAATGAGACAACGAAAACTGAAGCAAACTAAACATTTAATGGGACAAACTGGTGCCCAAATCAAAATAGAAAAAGCGTAGTGTGGTGTGCGGCGAAACAGCAAAATCGAACGCTGGGGAGAGGCTGACTCTGGCTCGCCACGCGGAGCCCCTCATGCATGCTCGTGGGCTTCTAGAGCAGTCGGCGTAGAAGGTTCGGTGCGTGGAACATTCCAACCCCGAATAAGCAACAAAGTTCTTGAATTTACCAGAAGGCTACATTGCAGAAACAAGAAAAAGGTGTATCCACGGTCAGGCATCGAAGCTCGGCTCTGCATGGGAGCCCAGCACGATAACCATTTGTCCATGGGTGCGCTGCCTACTTGGCTAGCTGCCTGCTCGGCAACATGCAATGGGTTGGACTGAATGTGCCACGCCGAAGTACTGAAGAGTGCAAGAATTGAGACTTACGCCAAGCTCGGTACCATCTATGAAGCATGCATGGTGCAAGGCGCAAAAAAACAAGAGATGCCCATGTGTCTCCTTCAACAGAAGAACATATGCACAGGTGCTGAAGAAGACACACCCTCAGAAGAAGACATATGCACAGGCATTGAAGAAGACACAAGAAGTCCTTATGTCCATTGTTTTTTGTGCCTTGCACCATGCTTCATTACATTCACCAACTAGTCCAGTTACATGTCCTTCTTCAGTACCATCTCCTTCACTAGCGATATAAGCAGTTCCTGTATCGATGGGAAAACCAGAGAAACATGTATTGCTTATCTACGGTTCCTATTCTGGTTGTTTACAGCCACCAGTACAGGTGTGGCTAATGCTCTCATTTGGGACACTGCCCAGAAGGGTCAGCTACTAGACCCCTGGTATAAGATGAATGATTTTGGTGGTGTGGACAGCTAGTCGTGACGAAGGGTGCTGTGCAGTGTTTCCACCCTACATTAACTGTGAAAGAAATTACGGTAGTTCCTGCTAGGAGCACGCCAACATTGTTTAACCTATAAATGTTAAAAAACTAACTTGGTACTTAAAATTTGTTTTTGCTAGATACAAAGCAAAATGTTGGAAAGTGTATCTGCAGAGAAGTTATTAGAGAAAGTAACTTATTTTTATGAAAACAGTATTCTCTAGAACCAACTGTTTTTGGGCCTCTGAACATACAAAAAAATGTCACAAAATCCTAGTGTTTTTTTTTTTAGTCTCATAAAATATTAAGGAAAGGAACCAGAGTTGAAAAACAGTTCCTAACTAAATTTTGGCTAAGAAAGATGAAGAAGGATTCTTTCAAAATGGAAGCTTTGGCATGTTGGTAAGGCATGATGACTAAAACGTGCAGAACACAAAGGGCAGAAGAAAGAGTACACACAATTGCTGAACTCGCAACTAAAGTTTAATTGTCAAGGTGCAACATTATATTCGACGACCAACCAAGAAAAAACACGCACCCAATGGCACATCAGCGGAATCCAGCGCCCTTATCGCGGTCGCCGTTGTCATGCTAGAACTTGTAGCTCTTTTCCAGATAACAAAACAGATGGGGCACTTACACAATCTTTCTTTAGGTGTGCAATCATCTCTGCTTCGATAATTTCTCTGCTCAGGGCATTGCCGCTTCTTCCAATAATTGATCATTTTCCAAAATCAACAGCACACCCACAATCACGACAGGGAATACCAAAGTGTCCCAATACTACCCTGTTTACATTGTAGTAATAGTGTTGCCTTAGTCTACCGTTCAGGCATCTGCCAGTTTGCCCCATGAACTGTTTACCACAGGAAAGCGGAATGGAATAAACAATCTTTTCTGTACATACAACAAACCGATTTTAATGCTTCTTGGTAGAGCCCTAAGACTCCCAGCTGTATGAATAATGTTTCTACAAAGCTTAGACAACTTGTTAGGGGCAGAAAACACGGTAGTGACATCTACCCTCTTTCCTATTTTTTTCAAGCCATGAGAAATTCTATGTAATTGAGGAACCACAGCAACTTTGTTTTTTTATTTCTTTGGGAACTTCTACCGTATTTGCACCGCCACTATTTTAACCTTCGATAAAGTGCTCGCAACCGACGTCAAAAGAGGTTCCGGATGCTCCGCCATCCAAAGACGGGAAATTTGAGCATCAAAGCTGACTTGTGCTAAATGGCATTTATGAAGCACAGATTCAAGGCATTTGTGAAGCACAAATTCATCATGCCCCGATTTACTAATTTGGAATGGGCAGATTGGTAAGCTAAAAGCGGTTTTAATCCACGGGGCCCATACAACCAACGAATGCGGTCTTCTTAGAAATGAAGAGGGAGGTCGAGGATAATTATGGACCCATTTACATCTAGCTTGTGTGTCGAGTCTGATGGGGCCAGGCAGTTACCAAAGACGACGCATTTGGCACCAAGTGGTTGGCGTCATGGTTGGTACAATCTAAAGCCACAAGAAAGTCGTCAACATACCTAGGGACTTTAATTGGGTAGTCTTCTGACACCATATTAAATTACCTGGCAAAAAATTAAAAAAAAAAAAAATATTGGGGTAGGGGGGGTTAGTGTTTTTTTTTAACTATTTTTTAAGTCTACAAGGCTAAAAAAAGTCTGTCATAATGTACAAGGTATATGTCACTGAGAATGGGTGCAGCGCAAGACCCTATGCAAAGAAAGCTGCTCTGTTCCCATGTGACGAAAGTTGATATAAGATAAAAGGAGAATAATTAAAAAAGAAAAAACACCGACTGAAACACCTGTTATGTTGCATTCTGGAAGGCGACTGACCCAAAATTATTTGTGCACTTCTTGACACAATATAGCAATTTCTCAGGTAATAACGAATAAAACAAATCTTTGATGTTCTTGGAGGCATGCATTGAAGCTTTTGTTGTTATAATCATATAAATGTGCCCCGAGAAGGTGTTTGAGATTGCCTAAATATGGGGATAACTCACTCCGCTGGCTCTAAACATTCTAGAAATTCCTAAATCATGACGGTACACAGCCGACCCTATTAAAAAGCTATTAAAGAATGCAACACACTGATTTCATATCCAGCAATGGGAGTAGCATGTTCCAAAACCAGGACCACTGTCAGTCAGTAGCGAGGAAACGATCCTCGCACCTCCGACCGGTGAGACCGTGGAGGGATATCTCGAATCCGCGGGGCTCATTGCCCATACAGCCCGAACTACGATTCAACCCGGCGAGCGCTCAAGAGCAGGCAATCAAACACGTCACTCCCATGTAAGACAAAAAACCATAAGAAAAAAAAAACATAGTTTGTTGTTTTTGAGAGGATTATTGTAGTAATATGGTTCCCTCTCCACGAAAAATTAACATTTTTCGACTACTGTAATATCCTGAGTCATTGCCCGCCCCTCTGCCATCCGAAATTCGTAAGAAAAGTGGGGTGGTCCATGTCTCAGTGGTAAGGTAAGCACAAAAAGATCAGAAAAGCTAGAAAAAGAATGCCTGTTTTTTTGTACATATCTAGTGGCTAAGTAAGAGATACATTAAACTCAAAAATCGAATTAGTTTCATTGTTTTATGCAAGAAATACTCATGAAAGAATGTTTTACCTTCGCAAAGTCTGTTGCTTGCATACGCGCGATGAACATCGCCGATCGGCATACAGCGCAAACAATTGTTTCATAAAGGAATGTTCCTAACACCGCTATGTTCTCTTCGTTAATAAAAAAAAATAAAAGTCAAGAAGAAAATAGAAAAACCATTCAGGTGCAACGAGCGAGCAAGCTGTCGAAAGGAGCGACGTAGAGCGATGCTTGGGAAGCGGGAGAGCTGGGGATCGCAATGACAAATACTTTGCCGTCGGGCCAAGTCGAGCGCTTTGTCGATCTCCCGACTCTTGCGCAGCTTTCTTGTTTGGTGCATAGTACATGCGTGCATCTCTGTGCGGCGCGCTATCAATACAAGTTGAGGTGGCGTTGCTGCATGGTGTGGACGACGCCACAAACACGGAGCTTGAAATGGGACGCTCTGAAAACTTCTGTGTGCGGCGTTCCAGCAAATCTTTATTTACTCGTTGACTTTTTCTTTTGGCTTTGTCTTCAACATTGCGCAATCTTACCAACTGCAGTTGCGATGTTTCGAAATATGGCGCTTCGTGCATTCACGAGGGCGTCCATCAAACCACTCTGCCATCTTGGCCGCGAGGCAGCTGTGTAGCTGCCTCGCCTCAGACACGATCACATGGTCGTGTCGCCGCGGGGTCGATCAGGATCTCGAATTCGGCTCCCGGCCGAATTCGAGAACCACGTGGGAAATGGCGAATCGCTAACGGTACACGAATTCCTACAGAAAAGAGGAGCGGATTCACGATATCCTTACTTTGGTGGAGACAGCTTTTGACCTTACATCTTTGACCTTACACTCTGCGGTTACATCCCAGGATATGGGGCGTTCACTGACCTCGCAATCCCTGACTGGGTTACTGCTTGTGTTATCTTTTAGACTTTGTTCTTTTGTCCGAACAAACTTTTTTGTAAGCAAAACAAAGTTTAATTCTGTTACCTTCATCTTTTTCCTTTCACAAGCAAGCGCGACTTCAAGGTCACGAAAATCTGGGAAAAAATGCGTAAACAAAGAGACGTGTCTTTCCCTCTTTGTTTTGCTTTGTCACGGACGTCCTCCAACTGTAAGGTTCGCGGCCGTGTCATTCAAGTAGGGTGAATGTTTGTGGATTGCGGAGTCCGCATTGGGATATTTGTAAGGGTGGGCAATCACTGTTTTTTTGGCGATGACTCAAGATATTACGGTACTCTTACTTGCTTCCATCGTTTTCAAAATCATACACTTTTTGTAGTAACAGAGTTTGGAATCTCAACGAAATGTCCCGTTTTCATTGGTCACATGCCGTCCTGGCTGCCGGCACAATGCTCCTCCCATCGCCCGAGATAATTTAGATCTTTGATTGCATTTTAAATAAGGAAAGTCAGCTGCACATCGTCATGATTTATAAATATCTAGGATGCTTAGAGCCTGCCGAGTGAGTTATCGCTATATTTAGGCGATCTCAGAAACCTCCTCAAGGCACCCTTTAAGTCATTTAGTCCCATTAAAGGGACACGCTGACACCCAGGGGCAGACACAGGCATTTTCAGGGAGGGGGTTCAGGGTCAGCTTGTCATATGCTTAAACCCCCCCCCCCCCCCCCCCCCCCCATTTCCCGGCCATGAATAATTACACATGCAGAATTCAAGAGGCGGGTCAGGACATCCAGACCCTCCACCCCCCCTTTTTTTTGCCAGGCGATTTAATATGGTGTTGGAAGGCTACCCAATCAATATTGTGCTACAGTGTCATGTATTCTTAATAAAGTAAAAAAACACAGCTACTCGAAACCAAATCCGAAACTGGACTGGAGAGAAAGAAGAAATCTAGAGGAGGAGAGAGGAACTGGAAATCATGGGTAGCTATGCCCAGCCGTTTTTTTTTTTTGTTTTTTTTTCTGGTTTGTGCTAGGCAGATGAAGAATTTGTACAGCACATGAAAAATGCCAAAGTCAAGCACTTCATGCTTGATGTTTGCACATTTTTCAAGCTCTTACCAATTTGTGTTCATAATACAAGCGATGTCTTCAGCCAAAAGAAGAGACGACGACTTGGCGACGTCTTTGTGCAAATCAGTTTGGTGGTCTGGTGTGTCGTACAGAATAAATTAATTGTTTTGATCGGTAAATGATTTCTCTTTCGAAGCTAGGGAGTGTGTCGGTACTGGGAACAACAGTTGTGAAGTAGAGGTTCCATGCCCTGGCGACGTCTTTGTGCAAATCAGCTTGGTGGTCGGGTGTGTCGTACAGAATAAATCAATTGTTTTGATCAGTAAATGATTTCTCTTAAGAAGTTAGGCAGATTCGCCGGTACTGCAAACAACAGTTGTGAAGTAGAGGTTCCATGCCCTTCGTCCGCCGGCATCCCTTAGTCCGCTTCATCCAGCCATCCAGGCCGCGACTTCTGCGATACGGTGCCATGTTGAGAATTACGCAGAGTTCTCTGTGTAACTTTATTTTTTCAATCAGCGTGTTTGCATCATCTTGGAAACAAAAAAAATTACCGTAGTCAAATTTTTTTTTGTTAGTATTGAGTGTGTGTTTTTGATGACCCGCGACTTTGATTATATTTGGTGTGTGTGTGTCTAAACCATAGAGAATTGCAAGTGAACTTAAAACCGGCCAGTTCTTGATTGGTGGTTTTTGGGCATAAAGAAAACGACTTTTGAGGTGCAAATTGTGTTCTGGGTGCTTGGACTTTCATATGTCATGTATAAATAAAAAACTTGGCAAGCATAAATACCCTGTCAGTGTCCCTTTTACTAGCGGTACTCTGAATAAACTGAAGTTCGTACTCCAAAAATATAAGAATATGGTCAGTATCCCGCAGATTTCATTAATACCAAAATAACTATGAAACAGGAATTTCTCAAGCCGTGTGCCACCTTTAGTATTAGTGTTCTATTCAAAGCTCAATCCACAAGGCAGATAATCTAAAAAGCCAAAATTGCGGTAGTCGCCTCCCGTGCCACTTTGGAGAAAGTGAACTATCCGGTAGCTTCTTTGGTGGGTGGGAATAATCTGGGGAGGGAATAATCTGGGGAGAGCCTAACTTACACTCGGTCTTGCCGAGCAGGTACGCTTGTGTGGTTGGGTGCGACACCATCCTGAAAACTCGCGAAAATAAGAGTGTGCGTGTCGGCACAAAACGAAAAGGGTTTCTATGGATCACGTTCATTTCCCCATTCACCCGATTAGAAAACCTGCAAGCTAGGCGACAAGACCATCCGTCCTTTACCACCCACAGGTCACTGCTACGAGAAGGTGAAGCTGGAGACTCAGCAGCTGCAGGAGGCCGTGCAGCAGAAGCTTGGGCTGCAGCCCGTGGAGCGAGAGGTGGCGCTGGTGTACCAGGGGGAGCCGATGCCCCCGAAGCTCGACGCAGTCGCCGTGGAGGTGCCCCGGCCCAGACCGGCCTGGTTCAGCAAGAACCTGCTCTCCAGAGGGCGCACCGCACAGCCGTTGCACGGCAGCGACGTGCCACGTGACGACGACCCGGACTGGAGTCGCCCCTGAAGGCTTAGCTCGACGGGCAACCTCGTGCACCCCAGGCGTGTGGAGCGGGCGAGTGATGGGCCGTCCTCACGAAACACGACTCTCTTGGACTTCTGTCAGGAATGGTTTTATGCTTCGTAGGTGTGCACACTATGGTGATTTACGTCTGTTGGGGAGCTTTGCACGTGCTCCTGTGGGGTGCGAAATCATTTCCAACAGAAATCGGAGCTTGGTAGTCGTGTTCCATGAGTGCAGCTTTTAGGTTATTCTGTGTGGACATGAAGTGCCTAGCTGCTTGCTTCGACAAGCCTTTTAGGTGTCGTGCACTTCAACCGAGAGGGGTAAGGAGCAATAGTTGCTACTGTCTTTGTGGTGCCATTTAGCCCCCCTTCTTTTGTTCTTCAATTGGTGTCCTACTAGCCAGAGGCAAGATCTTGGGTTTTCACTACTTTGGATAATGAGCTTTAGGACCAAGGCACCAAGGATCGGAGGAAGCCCGTTTGTTTTTCACTTGGTGGGATTTGTTTGGTAGTGAGCCAAAGTCTAAGTGTTCAACACCTTGCTTCCAGGGTAGATGCTCTGGTATTGTCCATACCCGATCCATGCACATTATTTGGTTGTAGTGCGATGGTATCGATCGATTTTGCGGACCACCTCCGATCCATCTGGGGATGTCCGACGTCTGTGCAGCCTAGAGCATAGATGTGCCCATGCCTCATCCCTGCCTTCAGCTGTTTTGTAGTGTGTTCAAATAAAAGGAATGTAATATTATAAATATAGAGCTCTTCTACCGTCTTCTTTGACTCAAATGAAATGCATGTCAGTTTGTGTTCATCTGGAAATGCAAATATTGATGACGGATGCTGGTGCAGACGACCGAGTTACATCGATAGAGTTGTGTTTGGTGTTCTTTTTGAAAAGATGCAACATGATCTTGAAAGCAGGTAAAAGCAGACAACAAGGTGAGTAACACGTCTGCCAGGTTTTCTTCCGGCGTGATCCTCACTGTGCATGACAATTTTGGTTGGAGGTTAGAATGCAGGAAAATTATCTTCAACCTGATAGACTGGCACTGTCATGGCATTACCAAATCGTAACACGTTCGTGCAATCTCTCGAGAGGAGCACCAAAAACAATGCAACTCGGTCTCCCGCGTTGATTAAAGAATAGAAAAATACGCAAGCGAGCTATATGCTCACGAGGACCAGTTCCTGATGAGACACCACCGAAATAGAACGTTGTTTGGAACGCCTGTCTCCCGCCTGTTTTTTCATCACTACAAGGCTTTTTTCACCTCGGAAATGAACTATGCGTCACCGAATGCTCGTTCTCTGCCCCAAATGCACCCGGGTCCATATCACAAGAGCGAATGACACTTTAGCGAACGGCGACATTTGAGCGAATGGTCGTTTTAGCGAATAACGGGGGCGCGCGTTAACCCATTACGCCGCTTCGCGGCGACAGTCTGCGGCAACTCATTACAAAAATATGAACTCACTTGGCCCACCCGAAAACGCCGCTTCGCGGCGTCGGACTATTCGCTAGCGTTCGATGAAACGTGAGCGTTCGCTAAAACGTCATTCGATCAAGTGAGTGCCTCCCAATGCACCCCTAGCGGTCTGAACGAGATGCCAAAGTTTCACAACTAACCGTATTGTCTTATTCAAAAGTTGGTGATTTTCTGAAATTTTCAATGGGAAAATGGCGACCAACGGAGATCTTGAATGCATGAAGCTGAATGACACCAGTTACCGAAAACGGGCCCCATTTTCCCATTGTTTGTTTACCCTCCAAATACGCCCACACCCTTTCTGTTTCCCTTGATCTCTACAAAGGGCAGCGCGAGCTTGGCCACTTCGTCATTGTGCATCCTCTGCGCATTCTCCAAGTCGTCCTCCTGGTATTCCCCTCCTTGTGTTTCGATGTGCCAAAGACGCATTTCGGAACACTTGCTTGCCGTATAAGAACTCCTAATTCTTTTTTTTTTTTTTTTTTTTATTATTATTATGGAGTTCAGTGAAGGAGTCCGTGGTCGAAAATTCGTCATTGAATGGTTCAAAATACGGTAGCAAAAAGGTAGATGACATCTAACAGAAGTAATTCCATGTGACTCGCATACATAGTAAATTACTATACTTAACATTTTATATTTGTGTGGTCACATTTCATTCAGAAACGTTTTTAATTGAAACTGTATGCATGCTGGCAGAAATCGAGGGTAGAGGTGACGAGAGCGGGCAGCAGGCACGTAGCCAGGGGGGAAACCCAAGGGGCCTGGGCCCCCCCCCCCCCCCTTGAAATCTTTCATTTTGCTGGGACCTCCTCCACCCTCTCCCTCATACAGCATTTTGTCATGGGCAGGCCACCCCCGAAACAAAATCCTGGCTACGTGCCTGGCACGTCCAAACACTGAGCTCTGGTTGGAATGATTAGTGGGTAGATTGAGACGACATGTGACCTGTCTCCACTTATCTTTCTCTACCACACTCATTCGTGCCCCAGTCGAGTTGATGTCATCACAGTATATACTTCCACAAGCTTGCCAGTACACCATTTCTGTTAATGACCCAATGTCTCCATACTTCCAACTTTAAAATATGGTCTTGCTGTAATTCACCTTATACACTCCAACCCGTATATATCGAACTCGCAAAAAAACGGGAATTTGATATATTGTGTAATTTGATATAAAACAAAACTTGAAAATATAAAACAGCGAGGACGAGGGCAAGAACAAGACATCTTTCTTTTTTGAAAGATGTCCTGTTCCCACTGTTGTCCTCGCTGTTTTATACTTTCAAGTTATGTATCTATTAACCAACACGCTCGTTTTAATCGATGTAACAGTTTTAATGAATTTGACTCAAAAATCCACAATCCACTTTCTGCTGACATATTACACAATGAAATAGTCTTGCATCTCCTGCTGTTTTTTCTTCATTGCATCCGCGATAACAATATTTTTCTACGCTATCGACGGACTGCAAAATGCTGAGGCTGCTGCCTTCAGTATTCGCGCATTAACGCACTATGCCGAGAGCACGGAGCACGTCCGAGCAGCAGCACCTTCTGCAGAGCGTCGTTTTGCTTTGCAAATTGGCTTTCCCCTAAGGCGGGCAGCTGCGTTGGTGGAAAGCCAGCTAGCAGAGCAAACTGTCTTTTTTTTTTTCTTCCGGGCAGCTGTCGTGGTCGCCCGGAAGAAAAAAAAATAATGTTCTTTTTGCGGGCGGAGCGGGCAGATGAAACACGGAGCACCCTCTCCCCACTCCCTCCGCAAAAGAGATTTTTTTCTTCTTAAAAACAATCAACGCAACCGCCTGGAAAAAGAAAAAAAAAAAAAAGCCAGCGTGCTTTGCAAGTTGGCTTTCCCCAATGCATCTCTCACGTTGGAGGAAGGCCAGCTTGCAGAGCAAAACTGCGCTCTTGACAGTTCGATATATCGGTAGTGGCTGCTATTTCTGTTCGATGTAACCATAGTTTTTGATATATATTATCACTGTAACATTACCGTGCACAAAAATTGTTCGATATAAGGAACAATTCGATGTAAACGGGTTCGATATAGCCGGGTTTGACTTAAGTTTTTCTTGTCAAAAGTGGAAGCTAGGGGGCTAGTAATGTACGAATTGACAAATTGTGGACATGATAACGTCATTTTGTTCTACAAATTTTTTTATGTTGGTTTAGCTTGATAGTACACCATATGTCGAGTGTCGTGTAGCTCAAGTAGTAAATAGAGTTATGCATATTCGGTCGTTAATCTCATTCTGTTTTGTATCTTTCTATTAAGTAGTGATATGCTGTACCCTGGCTGCAATTCAGTGGACGGTATACCTAGCCGTAAAGCATTTCTGCTTTCACTGCTTAGTAGGTATCAAAAGAGCACTGAAGTGAAAACATCTGCCATAGGGCACTGCAGCATCAGAGGTCCCACTGCCCAGATAAATATATTTAAGGTTGACTAAATATATGTAGGAAAGTTGATTTGAAGGTTAACAGTTGTTACTAACGAAAATATACAGTATTTTTAAAGAAAATGTAAGATACTGCTGGACAGTACTAAAGGTTCAGTGCCAAGCAGGATGAAAAGGCCAGTGGTCCTCAACCACCGGTGTTACGAGGACACCTTTTGGACCAGCAGAAATTATGGGGGACACCATCCACTGCAGGAGGTAATGGACAATTACAGTGACAAAAGAGTAGATGAGAAACAATAATTGCATGCAAACCTGCAAACCTATGTTGGAATTTTGAAATTGAGAGGAATCAAGCCTACTCACTGGGCAATGGGCATGCTTGGTTTGGCCTAGTTAGCTTTGTGGGACAGTCATCATCAAACAAAAAAATGTAATTGCTCAGCTTGACTGACGGTTTTGGCTTCACGGATTCTTATCTAAAACCTTCGAGGACCCGCGCAAGCTATGACTCCAGGCTGTTTTTATTTAATGGAGCAGGATGAGCTGTAGGTGTGATTTGGCAATTGTATCACTGACATACTCCTTTCGTAACAAATAAAAATTGCTTTTAGGTACATTTTTTTTTTGCTTCTAATATTTGTATGGGCTTTTGACAAAATATCACACCTATTCTTGGTTCCAAAGTAAGAAAAGGCAGGTGTGCAGGACAAGGTTCAGCCAGTGTTGTACACGTTCCTCAAAAAGAGGAACGAAAGGTCGTTCCTCGTTCCTTCAGATTTTTGGAACGCGTTCCCGTTACAAGTTCCATCTGAGAGAAAGGAACTCGTTCCCGTTACTGTTTAAAAAATGTAACGTATCGTTCCTTATACGTTACATTTGTATTTTTGCTAATTACCATATATAATTAGATCAAACAAAGTTTGTTATCTATCCCATCAAATGGCAACATAGAAATTTGAATGCCATGATGGAAGGACACCACGAGACAAAAAAAGAAAAGCAAAGCTGAAGCAAGGTTCTATTGGTTGATTTATTCATCTTTAAAAATTCCAGCGTTTTGCCATATTCATGTTTCTGGTAGGCGATTCAGACGAGCCAAATGTACTATCAGCCGGGAAATAGTAGCGGGGTCAATTTTATAATTCTTTGTTAGAGGGTTACCCCACGTTGCACGAGCGTTTTAGAACCTTCTACGTTTCAATCTAACAAAGTTCCTTGTTGGAACTTAATAAGAGTTGCTTTTGGATGTTGCTGTCCGCAAGACGAGCCCGCTTGTTTGTCAGCACTTCGTTGGCAACACTAAACAACCTTTCCACCGAAGCACTTGAAGGCACTGCCGTGTTGTACTTGAGGAAAAGGCGGTGCAATCCCTCGAAGCTTTTCATCTGCGACAGCGGGTGGTCGACTGGCACCAGCAGGTACCGCGACAGTTCGTCTTGTGCTTCGGGCTGAAGGGTCTGTTGCCCGAACGAGAAAAAATCTTCTGGTGTTGAGGAGACGGCAACATCTGCCATGGCACCTGAGGTCACCGAAGCTAGCTCTGTCTTGAGGTAGTTGGACGCTTGGTCACGCATAGAACCATCTTCAATCCACGAGAGCTTGAACCTTGGAATTAAGCAACTAGAGATCACTAGATCTCTCTTTCCTTTCAAGTGTCCAAACCTGTGATTCCGGACAATTAATTAGACGGGCAACATTTTGAAACACATATTCTGTTTCGCTTACCTCTTCTCAATGCCGGTGAGAACCGAATTTGCGAGGGAACCGCAATATGCAAGTCCTTTCATGGCCTCGTACTTTATTCGTTTTTCAAGGATGGCCAGGGTAGGAAGCAGATAACCAATGAACATGTGCTCCTGTCGCTGAAGGACGTCCAGCGCACAGGAGAGTGGCTTTATGACCTTTTGCATGATGAAAAGTGGAGGGATGCATTATTTCAAAACTCAAGGAAAACATACAAAAAACTAACAAAATACCAATATTAGCAAAGATGCAATATATCGCGACCAACTACTTAGACAATACACTTTCGGCTCGAAAGCAGGCTTTTTCAGCCCCAAAACCGCAAGTTCACGATCGAGTATTCCGGGGGGCTCCCACTTTCTTTTCAATGATCCCATGCAGTGACGACATGGTGCACAAAGTATTAACGAAGTTCTAGGACATTTTATGAAACGCAATGCTTTATGGCTATTGTTGGTTTAATGTTAGCACCGTAAACTAAAAAAAACAAAAAAAAAACGCCTCGCACAAAAGAACAGGAAGACATATGCAGTGGAGTTTCTACGTCATCTAGCTTGGTCGCGCGCGGGGCACAGTTTATAAACAAGCGGTGTATCAGCGTTCGGTTAGAAAATCGAGTTGGAAGATGCAATTAATGCAGATGCCTTGATAAATAGGTGAAGTTTCTCAGCGTCTACTTTCAGAGGTACTAAAGACAGGCAAGTAGATGCTGCTATCCAAAGATAGCTGCATATGTAGGTTAGCCTGTGTATTTTATAAGAAGTGATCAAAATAAGAATAAATTGCAATACCAGCGATATGTTTTACTTATCACACACGTTCCTCTGAAATCGGTGATCAATGAAAGATGCGTCACTTACATTGCAGTATTCTTCCATAAACTTGTACTCTGTTGGCCGATTGAATACCTGCAGTTTCAGGTTGCAGAGAAGCCGGTCCAGGTCCTTCCCTTCCTCGTGCAGCTTGAGGAGATGTTCCATGGCGTCGTGAAGGGAGTTCCATCTTGTTGTGTTCGGTCGTTGGAGATAGACACCACAATGACTCTTGACTAAGCCAGCTGCGACGTTCGATTGCCCCTGCTTGCTCCACAGCGCTGCACATTTTCTAAACACGGATTTCGCGATTCGAGAGTACTGGGCGTCAAGCTCAGCAGCAGCGGCATCTACAGTCGCCACCAAGTTCAATGTGTGCGCTGCACACCTAACGTGCGGAGGTAGTACACAGTCGAATTCGTCAGATGCGTCGAGAATGTCTGTGAGTTCTGATGGTCGCGCCTCACATTCGTCGTGTGTTTCGTTGGTCTCATTTTCGCCGAAAACCCTGAAATGTAAACAAAAAAAAAAGTTGAAGTCCGTATACTAGTACCAAGTAAAGATTAGCATAACTTTTTATTATCAAGCGATCAGTTTTTAAAGATTTACCTGAATGCCTTTACGAAGTTCGACCCATTGTCTGTAACAACAGAGGTTACTTTGCCCTGGATGTTGTACTCGTCAAACACCGAAGACAATACCTCCGCCAGCTTGTCGCACGTCGCGCGACCGATTACACGCCGGAATGCGAGCGCAGCTGTTTTTCTCTCAAGAGTGCATGGATTCAACCACAAGGCAACAACGCCAATGAAGCTCCTGTAAGAATAGATCAATAGGCAAACAGATTATATACGTCATACACTCACTCCAATAATGATAATACACTAGGAAATAAAACACACCTATGAAAGCTTGACCAAAGGTCGGCAGAAACAGCAACGTGATCCACGCTGATCAATTCCAGCGAAAGCTTCTGCTTCATGTCTTCAAAGCGTGCGTCAATCCGATCGGTCAACATTCGCCGAGAGAGTGTTTTCCTGCCTGGAGCGAGACTTTCCACAAGATCTTTAAACGCATTTTCTTCGACAATGGAGAAAGCGTGCAGGCCCTCCACAACAAACGTCGTGACGAGTTGGTCCAGCTTCTGTTGAGAGACAGGTTGCTTTCCGGAAAACTCCAAGCGAGGCTGTTTTTTAGGCTCTTTAGCCGATGATGTCTCCTCGCCGTGACGTTTCCGCCCCCCTCTTTTCATTAGGCTCTCATATTCCTCGAGCTTGTGAAGATGAGCTCTCTGAAAAAACAGTAAGAAATGATGCTACAAGACGGCTGCTCTACTTAGACAGGGTATTGTTGAACCCCGGCCAATATAACGCACCGCACAGAACAAAAAAAAAAAAGGTTAATGATGTATTGGTTTTTGCGAAATGAAATATTCATAAGGTTAAATAGAGCTCGGCACCAGCAAGTTTCAATCAGACACATCAAAGTTACCACAATCTCCTCATTTCGTGCAAAATTTTCGGTGCACGGATATTCTGTTCCATGCTTCGGATCCCCCATATTTGAGTAGATCTGACGGTAAATACATGAATCGGTAACAACTGACGTTGTCCAGGAGAACCTGCTGCTTTAAAAGGAAAAGGAAAGTCTGCACAGCCCAGGCAACACCCCTTTCGCAAGAGCAACGTTAAAAATGTACTTACGCGTTTGAAAATCTAGAACTGGCGAGAACGATACGTAAGATGAATGCAAAATAACAAACCATTAACCTAGTCACGAAATGCAGAACTCCCTAGAGTTGCCGAGCATGAAAGAAAAATAAATGGACCTTACCTGGACATGTTTCTTTAAGTTGGCAGCAGATGTCTTAGATGCTCCGATCGTCTTGCTTGACGGTGCACAGGTCAAGCATTGGTATGTTATGTTGCCATTGCCCTTGTCTTGGACAGGTTTGAACATTGTTGACAGCCATGGCCAAGGAGAGTCGACTTGGACGTCAGCACTCATTGTGGCAGTTTTCACTTAACCATAGGAGACAGAAGGAGGTCCGTTGATGCACTCCCAAGAATGCGCGTCCTCGCCACAACTCCCGGGCGCGTATAGTTGCGTCCTCGTGGAGTAAAACAATGGGGGCGAATCCGGGATCCCCGAATGGTCTTTTTTGAGGCACGTCACAAATGTGCGCTCGCCGACAGCTACTGCTGACTAACACACGTTCCCCCTAGTTCACGGTGATAGCGGTGATAGTGTGCCCTAGTTTACGCGGTAGAGAGGGAGGGTGGGGGAGGGGTTCGCGCCATGGGTAAACGCGCGCCCGTGTTTCGCGCGTGCATAGATGCCGCCTGCTACATAGAGATGCCGCCTCGAGAGATTTCCTTGCTGGCTTTACGCGGCCCAACGCTTAGCACTCCACCACGCAGTGTTGGGGTTTGTATTGTACGCCAAACCGAACTGTGTTTCCCGCCAAATATCGTCAGCCGCACCGCTCGTGTCACTTTGTAAAGTGCCGCAAGAGAGTTCGTCCGCGTAGCGGCGTGAACGCGATTGGCCTTTTTTGAGGCATTTCAGAAATACGCGCCTTGCCGACAGCTAGACATGCCACGGCGGGGTCTTTTTTTCTGGATAACACACGGTCCAGAGATGCCGCCTCAAAAGATTTGTTTGTTGGCATGGCCCGACGCTTTTAACGCTCCACCACGCGGTGCTGGGTTTGTATTCGCCGCCAAACCTAACTGTTGTTTACCGCCAAATGTCGTCAGCCGCACCGCTCGTGTCACCTTTTAATGTGCCGCCGCAGATTCTCGCCGCGGAGCGGCGTGAACGCGATTGGCCTTTCTTGAGGCACATTGCGCGCCCCGCCGACAGCTAGACATGCTATGGCGGCGGCTTCTTTTCTGACTAAAACACGCTGCCCCTGGTTTAGGTGGTAGAAAGAGGAGAGGGGGCTCGCGACATGGGTCAACGCACGCCTGTGTTTCGAGCGCACAAAGATACCGCCCTTTAGACGACCCTTTCGCGCTCGTCGTAGCTCGCCTGCACCCGACTGCTACCGAGCGAGGACGCCGCAACATAAAGCCTAGAATAAGTAACAAAAACATTCTCGCGATCCTGCTCATAGTAAATATATTGTAGTAATATTTTTTAGAGTTTCGTCCTTAGGAACAAAATAAAAAAGTACTCCACTGGACAAAAAAAAAAGGAACGCCGTTCCCTTTTCCGTTCCAGTAAAAATGTAATGAGTTCCCGTTCCAGTTCCATACATGGGTAAATTACTTTCAAAATGTAACTTAATTACAATTACAATTACTTAGCTCCAAAAGTAGTTTAACTACAATTGCAATTACTACTACGCAAAAGTAGTTCATTGCAATTACAAATTACTTTTTAAAAGTAATGCAATTACTTTACAATTACTTATTTCTGAGAGTTACCCCCCACATTGGGCCATATAACTGTAAACGAGTTATATGGCCGCTGTATAAATGTCACGCATTGTACTTTCCTTTTATGAAATTTGTTAAATGGCACTTAATAGTTTGGAGTAATGAACTCCTGCGTTCTTATATTCTCAAAACATAAAAAATGGCGACAAAATTCACAGGTGCGAGGTGAATCTCCTTAGAGCTTATGCAAATGATATCCAAGTCAAACCAAAAAAAAAAAAAAAAAAAACTTAAAAATAATACAAGGAAACAAATATGCGACAGTACTGGTATCATAAAACTCACGTAAAAATGGCTTATTAGAGAAGCTTGTAAACGACGCCAAACATTTAAAGGACACGACAACTTACGAAAACATTTCAGCCACGATGATTCGCTGCCTCTCCCTGTCTGTGGACTTGTAACATGCCGGATGCGGGTAACCGTAGCACGCGAACTGTGGTCGCTTCCACAAAACTAGTGTCACAATAGCAGCAACTCTATTGCCAGGGATTCTGGGTTAATTCAGTGCACGGTAACACCCAAAAAGCTCCTGAGATAAATAATAAATTTAGGATCGTCATGTAGCTAATCATTAGGATAACAATGGTTGTATCGATGTTATGCGTCTCATAAAGAAGACCGATTTGAATTTAGCATGGCAAGAACAACCTCGAAAAATTCATGATACACTGCAAACGACTTTATTTTCGCGAATTTCGCGAATCGCCTACAATTCGCGAAAAAAAATTTAAACATATTGGAATCTATATCGCGACCGCACCGCGTCGCGAAAATTAGAATCCGCGAATTATTCCAAAACTGCGGCCGGCCCTTGGACGCCTCGATTTCACGATTTACTTGAGCGTGTTTCAGCTGGAAGATATAGACAAGCTATTAATATTATTATTATTTTTATAACTGTAAGTATTATTCAAAGTAACAAGAAAGTTGCCTACCTGCAAGTGTTTCCGCAAATTGGAGGTCGCCTTTCGGTTTATTGAATTTCTTTTCAGAAACGGTGCGGAGAGTTTGCTCCTCACGATTATAGTTTTTTACATTGGTGCTAATCTGTTTAGAGCATTTTTCGCAACAAGGCCCGGCAGCCTTTCCTTTTCCATTGTAGATAAGACTGTTGCAGCTTCTCAATGCAAAGCAGCACTGCGCGCCTCGGGACGGTTCCACAGGCCAAGACGAGCTAGAGGACAACGCGTGGAGGGTCACGATAGAGGTGTAAAAACAAAGTGCAAGCCAAGCCCTCCATAAAAAAAAGAAGCCTTCAACGAACAACAAATGCCAAAACAAGCTCCCTACAGCTAAAGCCGCGGTTTGTAAGTTTTGGAATCTCGTCCAATCAGGCTGACAAACGGTTGAATGGGTTAGGTAGAGCGAACACTAAATAATGAAGATTTATACAAAAAGGTAGACCAGGATTGGGAGAAGGAAGAGCAGTGTAGCAAGAACAGTTGGAAGTAAGGCAGGGTGAGTCGTGTTAATGAGATCTGCTGCTTCTTTGCTTCTTCGCCTCGATGTTAGAGTAGCACGACTTGTCGTTAGTGGTATCAACATACGAGATAGAGGAGAAGGACGTGAAAAACTCATAAAGAAAAGAGAATAATTTCATGAACAAAAAAGTTCCAAACCTGACTGAAATATGTAAGCGAATATGCTAGCGGCGAAGACGCGAAAGGAGAACCTCGAACCTCCCCGCCTCGACCGAATGATGTGATCGGAGCCAACCAGCTCGACTTCGACCTCCGATGCCCCCGTGTGGGAATGAGAAATAAGAAAGACCCCTAGAAGCAGGAGCAACAGGAAGCAAACGAGACGAAGAGTCAGATTCAACTACGACAGGAACGAAAACGGACGCGAATTTAGCCCCCATTTATCAAATTATTTCTCAAATTCTTCATTAAATCGTTTTACAGTCTACAAAATCCTTCATTCCGTTCTATCCCAGCCTCTCTTTCCCATCCCTCTTTTCCATTTTTTTAGCAGGTTGGGAGACGCTCTCTCCCCTGTCGCTTTGGCTGTGCTGTCGTCTCCGTGGCCAGGGGGGAAAAGCGCCGCCGCCACAAAATCTTGCATAAGTAATTGTAATTGTGCCTGAAATTTAGCAATTACTAACGCTAGAAAGTAATTAAATTACAATTACAATTCCTTTTAGCCAAAAGTAATTATTGCAATTACAAATTACCAGGAAAAGTAATTAAATTACAGTAATTTAATTACTGTAATTGAATTACTACCCAAGTATGTCCAGTTCCACCGATAAAAAATGGAACGGCGGCGTTTCTTCGTTCCTCCTAAAAGGAACGCGTTCCAGGAACGCCGTTCCTTGGAACGCCGTTCCGTACAACACTGGGTTCAGCACAGTTTGTACATCTAGGCTGTTTTGCAGACATTTGTCCAATGCTCTGGTCTAAGCATAAAAGCATAAAATACCCGCTAACCTGTGACTGAATACTTGGCACCTGAAGCAGCGAACTCTGGACGTACAGTCAGAGCCAGCAGCAAAATAGGTACATTTGAGAGGGGTTTCATGTGCCAAACAAACTAACTGCATCTGGCCGGGGGCGGCCGGATCCAAGGGGGGGGGGGGGGGGGTGGGGGGGGGACGAGGGCGGCCGCCCCCCCCCCCCCCCCCCCCAAACAAAGTCAACTCCCCCCTCTCCCCTCTCGGAGGGCAATTTGACATGGGTGGACCCCCCGGTGCACACGAAACCCCCAATGGGAGAACAGTATCTTTACAAATTTTCTGCCCCCCCCCCCCCCCCCCCCCCCCAAAACGGAGTTCTGGATCCACCCCTGCATCTGGCATGGCTCGGCAAGAAACTGAGGATCAATGTCGACCACCTGGGGATCTTGCGACGCGGAGGTGTGTATTTTCCGGTGTTTATTATTGAGAAAAATTGGTGGATGTTTTTTGGTGTTTATTCATTTGATCTGTGGGCCAGCACCCTAGCGCTATCCTTTTCTCTGGCTGGTGGCGGGCATTTAAACGTGATCACGTACCTTATGGGCATACTGTAAACAAGCTATTTTTTGTGAATTTCGCAAAACATTAATTACGCAAATATGTGCGCCCCAATTTCGTAACATACAGGGTTGTTGGGATAAAAATGGAAAATTCACCACATTCAGGAAAACGCACAGAGGCAAAGATAAAATGAATATCTACCATTTTCTGTGCTCTGCTCGGCCTGCCGTAATGATTTCCTGGCTGACAGATTATCTGAACGTCTTGGTAATGCTGAAAATTTGTGTCTTCCTGTAGCCATACCATTCAATGATTTGCTTAGGCGACTTTCCAGCGGGAAGCAATTAAAGTATTGCCACCTTCCAAACGTATTCCCTGCTCATTTTTGAGCAAGTCTCGAATTGTTTATTATGCGATTGTCCGCTGCTGAATCACATTGCCGCAGAAGTGCTATACGGCCGGTTAGCTTGACTGTAATGTTGAGAGACAAAAGTTGGAAAAAGTCACAATTTATATATCGATGACCCTGTATATCCCCCGCATCACCAAATGTTTTCCCTTGAAAATATTTTCGAATGCCACACTTCACGAAATGCTAAGGTTGTGCGAATATTCGAACAGTAGTTTCCTGCGATATTCAAACGTTTCGAAGTGTTGATCACGACAGGTTAGCCCCGTTGAGCGCGCTTCTCACTGAGCACCGGTGTAATGCGGAGAAGTAACACCTGCAAAAGCGAGCTCCGTGCGTGTTGCTTCCCCGCGGTACACTGGTGTTCATCGAGAAGCGCACTCAACGGGGCTCCTGGCACGATTAACACTTAAAAAGTATGAGTATCACAGTCGCGCGCTTAGAAAAGCACACTTTTTAAAGCGGGATAGCTAGTACACGCGTACGCGTGTACCTGGTGCAATTAAAAAACAATTTCTGAATGTTGATATTTGCATTACAGGAAGATTTTCAAAATTAAACTGGCTATAATGCGAGAGTATGCAGAGATGCCCTGACAACCTACATTCATCACCTTTGTCATTTCTTTTCAAAATCGAAATTGAAGGATACTTGCATACAGCAAGAATATTTATAAATGCCTTTTATTAAGTGTACTTTAGCACCTCGATAGGTTTAATTTTACGTCAAATCCATCATTTACTTGCTATCTAAATGTAGGCATCAGTGAAGCAACAGACTCCATAAAGTTAGATTAAAAATATTTAGCTTAGATATGGACAAGTAGAAGCTTGGAAACAACTTTTATGAATTCACCTGGATTTTCGTCAAAGCATGGTGCAACAGTAGTGAAAGGCTTGGAGAAACTATTTGATCTTAAACTATTCGGCCAAAACAACTATTCACTTCAATCTCAATATCCACTACTTGCGCATGCCTACAAAATGTACAAAATGCCTACAAATAAAGTAGTTTACAGCACAGTTTTTCCCTCCAAGTTATATAAAACTGTACATGACAGCTAGAGTAAAGTACTGGTGGTGCTCCCCTGCCGTCTTTATCTGTCCCTCATGTAAACAGTAGTGATCTTAGAACATTTTGCATGCAATACTCCGAGCCAATTTCACTTATCTTACAAAATGAGTATCGTTTCCATGTGCCAACTGCTACTCTAGGTATACTTTTCAGTGCGAGTGCCCTTTTGTAGAGCCCCAACTACTCGGGTATACTAGCGCCAATTGTTTCGTTTGCTCATTATTTTTTCTCCTTGTGCGTGTACCATGCATGTCTCTAGGCTACAGCTGTTTCTGGGCATGAAATACATACCGAGGTCTACCCCCAGGGACAACGTAGTGCACCCTACTCGGCGCGATGTGTAGCAACCCCTCCTTGTGTCTGGAGATGGACAATAGTTAATTTTAAAATCTTGAGAACACTTGGCTTTGGTGCTCACTCCTATGGTGCAGTCACAGGAGTGTGCCCATTTTACACAGTAGAATTCACTACCATTTTCAAGGAGTGTGGCCAAAACAAAGGTACACAGTGTCTAAGTAGGCTCCTGCTCATCTTTAGAACCCGGAAAATGCTTACAAGTTTGCCAATCTCTCGAAATACAGCACCTATTTCTAGCGCCTCTCCCACTCAAATTCTGGGGCTTTTTCAATGGTCTTTGCAGGAGGCACTCACTTGATGGAATGACGTTTTAGCGAACGCCCACGTTTCGCCGAACGACACTTTAGCGAATAGTCGGACGCCGCCAAGCGGCGTTTTCGGGTGGGCCAAGTGGGTTCACATTTTTGTAATGAGCCGCCGCAGGCTGCCGCCGCGAAGCGGCGTAAAGCGCAGCGCGGCGGTTGGGTTAACGCGCGCCCCCGTTATTCGCTAAAATGTCGATTCGCTCAAATGTCGTTCGCTAAAATGTCATTCGGTCATGTAATATGGACCCGCAGAGCACATACCAAATATAGACATGCAACTAGTGTGGGTCTTTGTACAGGTACAAACAAAGAACTATGTCCTTTTACAAAAACAATTACCATATATTTACCCGATGCCAGACTACCCGCGCATTCAAATCGGAACCGAAATAAAATTGGAAAGACGTTTAAATCATTCCATGTTCCACACGCTCCTTCTACTGCGTTTCACACTCGAACAGGCTCGGGGAAAGTCGCATTTACACCGCAACCGTGGAAGATGGCACCCACAAGATGTCCACAGAGCACTCGCGTGCTTACCTTGCGCGACAGAGGGCTGCTGCGGACCATTCAGTCGCCACGTCTGTACACAATTTGTCCACAACCTTTTGCCGCAGCATTTTTCAATGCAAAAACTTGTAGAGTCCTTTCACTTCACGTAAAGATGGGAGGACTAGCGAAGCTGCTATTTTTAGGACGTCTGGCATAATGCCAAGAGGACGACGTCTAGGACGACCTCAAGGACGACTTCTAGGACGATGTCTAGAGAAATTCAGCCTTACCACACTGGTGAAAACCAGAGTGGAGAAACTAGAAAGGTTGCCACCCCCCATGAGCGACGGCGGCCACCAGACAACCGGTAAGCCAGTTGTCCGGTTGCCGCCATCGCTCATAGATGGCGGTAGCTGTCCAGAGTTTTGCGTCAACACTTATTTGCCCGCAGACACGATACTGGGGAAACTAGTCTTTAACAGCTACGCTGTAAAAAAGTGAAATAAAGGTTTCCATTACTATTTGTCCACACTAACACATAACACTCTGTACACCGCCTTTGCCACACGAGTTGGCAAAGGGGCTAGCTTTTTAAAGTGCAGCTTTGTTTTCGTCTTGCGCGGCATTGGTGTCGCCATAACCGTGCACGTTGCATTATCGGACGTCACAGTTCCCCGCTAAAGTTAGTGGGGAAACCGAATTGGTGCTGGGGTCATGCAACGACAGTTTTACCACTAAATTTAGCAAGGAAACCATATTCGTAGTGTTGCATCATGAGACATCACAGACCTACACACCAATTCAGTTTCCCCGCTAGATTTGGCGGAGAATAGAATTGGTATTGAGGTCACGCGACATCAATTTTCTCGTTAAATCTAGTGGAGAAACTGAATTTGTTCATAGGTGACACGACGCAAAGTCATGCAATGTCATTTTCCCCGCCAAATTTGGTGGGAAAATTGAATTAGTGTCAAGGTCACGTGACATCAATTTTCCAGCTAAATTGAGGGGGGAGTTTGGGAGGATGGGACAGTATGGAGGAGGAGGAGAGGGTATGGAGCAGATGGAGAGGGTATGTAGAAGGAGGTAAGGGTACAGAGAAGGGGAGGGTATGGAAGAGAAGGGGATGATATGCAAGAGGGTAGGAAAGAAATAAAGCTTGGGTTTGGGCTAGTTGGTTTTTCATCATTTTTTGTTCCGACCCTCTTACCTTTTCAATGTTTCCTTTCATTCACACTTGCTGGGAAGGAAAATAAACCAGTTGTTAGTTCCGCTTATCATGTGCGAGTGCCGTCCTTCTTCATCCTAGATTGTAAACTTTAGCAGCACAGAACAAAAAATAATGAGGGTATGAAGAAAGAAGAGGACACTGAAGAGGAGGAAGGTGCAGGACCAGTGAGGAGAGTGATCTATCTATCTATCTATCTATCTATCTATATATATATATATATATATATATACCGTAATATCCCGAGTCATCGCCCATCCCCGAGCCATCGCCCACCCCGTTTTTTGGGCCAATATCGATTTCCGAAAAAACACCGAGTCATCGCCCACCCCTTCAAATACCCCAGCGCGGACTCTGGGATCCGCGAACACTCATCCTACCCGAATGACGCGGTCGCGGACCCTACAGTTGGAGGACGTCCGTAACAAAGTAAAACGAAGGAGGGAAAGACACTTCTTTTTGTTTACGCATTTCCTCCGTGAGCGACCCCAAAGTGGTCGTGTATCCGTGCGAAAAGAAAACGATGGAGATAACAAAATAAGAGTTCGTTAACGTAACCGCGGAGTGTTAGGTCAAAGTCTGTCTCCGCCGAAGTAAGGTCACCGCGAACCCGCTCCTTCTTCCCGCCCGTCGCGACCGCGGTTGTGCAATATTTTAGGCAAAGCCAAAGCGTAAATAAAGCTTTGCTGGAACGTCCTACACAGACGTTTGCAGAGTGTCCCAACCGTGCATTGATAGCCCGCCGTGCACGGACGCACGTATGTACGCACCAAACAAGTTGCGCAAGAGCTTGCAATTGACAAGGCGCCCGACTTGGCCCGACGCCAAAGTATTTGCCAACGCGACCGCCGGCTTTCCCGCTTTCCCAGCATTGCTCTTGGTCGCTTCTTTAGTCCGCTCGCTCGCTCGCTCGCTCGCTCGTTGCGCCTGGTCGGTTTTTCTATTTTCTTGTAGACTTTTCTTTAACTAGGAGAACATAATGGTGACATTCTTTCACGGAACAAACGTTCGCGCTATATGCAGATCGGCGGTGTTTCTAGCGCGTATGCAAGCAACGGACTTCGCTACAGTAAAATATTCTTTCGTGAGCACTTTTTCTATAAAACAATGAAACTAAATCGAGTTTTGAGTTTGATGTATCTCTTGTGCATCAGCGCTAGATACGCAGAGAAAAATAGGCGGTTTTTTCCGCTTTTTTTTTCAAGTGTTTGTGCTCACCCACCGAGACATGGCCCACCCCACTTTTTTAACGAATTTCCGGCGGTAGGGGGGTGGGCGATGACTCGGGATATTACGGTATATATATATAATGTATGTTTAGCATACATTCTAAAATCAGAATACCTCAAGAGCTCAGCTCTAATTTCGCATTAGAGATTTGTAAATGTTTTTCATTTTTTGTCTTCAAATAAACTTTGCACACTACAGTAAAACCTCGTTATAACAAAGTTGAAGGAGCGTTCGTAATTATTTCGTTATAACCATTAGTTTGTTATAGCCAATGTCCATTTCTTCCCATTAGTAGTAAGCAAGGGGAATTATGATCGCTTTGTTATATCCATTAGTTTGTTATAACGAGGTTTTACTGTATATTAGAGTGCAAAGTTTTAACTGCCTTTAAAAAAAAAAGAAAATACCAATGCTGGTTTTAGTTGCTGCGTCCACCGTTGAGAAATGTTGCCGGTGATGGTGGTGGCCCCACTGCGTGTACCACTTGGAACTCGAGTCAAAGGAGGCGTCTCTGCCTCCGAAGAACACACGGCCATTTGAGGCCACGTGGCAAAGAAGAGGGAATGGCACCTGGGACCCACTTAAGTTGGAAGGCTAACTTTGATAGAGTTTATTGTCAAAGCAAACACATTGGAAGCATCTCACCGCAATTTGTTAGTCGGTTCCGCAGAAGAACCAGGCTCTGCCGCTAAAACTCTACAAGGCACTTGATTGGGACAACCGCGGCGCACTTAGCCGCCCCGGCCGGCTCCTCCCGCCGCGACGTCGAGCAGACACCTCCCGGGCGACGAGGTGCAGTGCCAGGTTCTCTACGTCACCCACCGGACACGAGTGTGGGGGACATATTGGACGTGGGTACTGCGTTGGTGCACCGCTGGGGCTCGTGTCACTGCTGATTCAGGCTGTCTAACAAATCGCTTCCCTCAAATTTCTTGACTTTTCAACATTTTCGTCAAATATTTCCATTAACTGCCTCGACCAATCCAGAGAAGAAGACGTGGAGGACGAGGTTGCGACACCCATTCGAGCTATTCCCGTTTAATCCGGTGAATCGAGTTGTGCAATCGTCGCTCGGCGCGACGGCCGTCCACGCTACCGCACCTTGCACTCTCCCACTTGGTTGCCTGTCACTGCGTCGCCCACGTGGGTCATTTGCCCCCGACTTAACCGACTTTCTGACGATTTCCACAACATTTTTAGATGCTTTAAAGTTCCCCGACAATCCCCGGAAGTTGGTAGGCACCCCACTGTCCCATCCAAACATCGACGCAGCGCTCGTGTCCCATCTGCACTCCGCTCTCCGGTAGGCGACCTAGAAGATCCGGCACCATGGCCTCATTGTACGGGATATGTCGCTTTTGCACGTTGCGACGAGAGGGCTCTCTGCCGGGGTTCGGCGAGGCTATTGCACCAACGGCCGCGTTACAAAAGGGTCTCCGCGGGCGGAGTAAATGCGTGGGTGCCCCCCCGGGGCGGCAGCAGGGCCTCAAAGCGAGTCCTGTGGCTGGCTGCCGTACTTGGCCCTGCGCAGCTGGGCCAGCTTCTCCCGGGCCTCCTCGAGCTCGCGCTCTTTGCGCAGAATTTCCTCGCGGGCCACGATCTCCTGGGCGATGCCGCCCACCATGCGGCGGTTTACCACCAGCCGGAACTCCTGCTCCTGCTCGATGGACTGCTGGGCCGCCCGCACCAGGTGGTCTGTGGCCTGCTTCACTGCGTTGCCTGCCACCTGGAGGCCTCGCATCGAGCTTGAGTCGGGCTCTGCCTTTACCTGCAGTGCATACGGGGGCTTCTGTCAGTTGATCCTACGGCCTCTGCAACGTAGCTCTGACTGGTGTGTGCTATTCTACCCAGGCATCCGAAGTGGAAATAAATGGCTGACGCGAACACGGAAAAGGGGCCTACTGGACGGATCGAAAGAGCAACTCTGGCCACTCTTGACGCCGGTCAGACTCGAGCGCCGAGGATACCTCAGGTTACAACGATCAAGACCAAAGTAAAGGCGCTCAAACCACTGCTTGCAATCACAAGTAGATCAATTTCTTTTATGGCCATCCAAAACTATTTTGTTTTCATCAATATATGGGCAGCAACTAAAAAGTTAGCCCGGAAATTCGAAAAAAAAGTGTGGCCCTTACTTGCGTTTATGCGGTACAACTTTAAAAAAAAAGCCTCCCGATTGTCGTCAGTGTTCCTGAGAAACTTCTCAAAAACGCAAACAAGTTAGAGCCACTTAGATAGTTTCACTCAGGTTTGCCCGTTTTCAATAAACCTCCGAAAACAGGAACCCACTGCATTTGTTCCTGCTGTTCTACCCTAAGGTGAAAAAAGCCACAGGCATGCTACAGACAGGTCACGGGCAAGTCGCTGCAACAGTGACAATTGGTAGAAATGCTGTTCCTACAATGTCTGTACGATGTACCCCGTGTTCCTCTAATCGGGTTTTCGACGAGGCACCGAAGGGACATTTCTGGGGCGCCCGAGAAGCTTCTCTTGGGCATCCCCGGGGCAGAGACAGACGTACATAAAGGGGAGCTGCCAGGCAAAGCTCACCTTGCAGGCCACCAGCAGCTGGGCGGTGGAGCTGGCCACCTGCTTGGCAGAGGAGATGAGCTTCTCCTCCGAAGCCTGGCCCTGCACCAGCCAGTTGGCAGACTCCACCAGGCTGTGAGTGGCCGCTGCCACCAGGCGAGCCTGCATGATAAAGCGGGCCCACCCTCGAGGTGCCGTCTTTGACAGAAGTGCACCAACTTATGACTCTGCTGCGGTAGCTGACGGGAGCTCGCTCATTGCAAATACCTACCTTTCGCGGCTGCAAACGCCTCGAACGTTCTGTACCGATGGGATTAGAAGTCAAGTGCATCATTTTTAGGGTCAAGGACAGTGCACACATTTGTGTTTGAGTACGAAAGTATGAAGGGTTAATCTTTGCTGTGGAATCGGGGGTGTTTTTTGGGAAATTATTTCTTCCCAAAGATTCAATGTTCTCTGGTGTCTATTATTGGTGTTGAGCAAAACACTGGCACTTATCGGGACCTCCAATAAAGAGAATGGGACACGGTCGCAGGATTTTTCAACCTCTGGGGAACATTACCTGAACACTCGCAAATCGTCCCGCTACCGATAAGAGAGGAAAACGACACGAGGAATGCAATTCCCAAAGAAAGAAGCAGACTCGAAAACGCTTCAGTGCAGGCTGTGTTCCAAGTCAATGCAAAACAAAGCTGCTGATAAAGATTTCTTTCCGCAATGCTCAAGTTTCCCTTGTTCAAGGACAGCCTCAATTTTCCCCCCATTTTGACGAAACAAAACGGGCTTGGGAGTTAATTTTCGGGGTATGTCGGTAAATACCGAGAACATGAAACCTTAGTTATAACTTTGTCAAAACTGTTTAGAGCCTGCGGTGCGAGAACGATGCGTAAAAAATGATAAAAACACATAGCTAAGCGGATTGAAAGTGTTCCAGGGATGGCGCCAATCTGTTTGCTCGTTGTAAGCGGTTGGCACAAGAGAAAACGCTCAAATGCAAATGTGAGAACCAACCTTTACTGTCCTCTAACAAAAAAAGACACAAACTGAAAAACAGTTAAATGGTGGCATACCTGCCTATCTCCCCTGGACAGCCCACTTCCCCCGGGGGATGACCTAATCCAGCTCAGGATTTAATTTGTTCACGCATATTTTTTAACAGAGCCTAGCGGAGAGCGGCACACTACCATCAAGTTCTGTTATCCGACTCGAGACAAAATGGCTGCAATTGTTCTAGAACGCCAAGAATAGACGACTGAGGCAGCCCATAGATGGAAAATCTCTGTCGCCTCAAGACCCCTCATAGGTTTAGGGGACGAGATGTTACCGATCCGTTGCTTGTCACGGACGGGTGGCTGCAGTTTTAAATAACGAAACCATTTTGGAAGCTTCCCATTTTTGGACAATATGTCACATTAGTCTGTTTCTGTTACCTCAATGTGGCACCTTCAAGGCACAAAGGCCTTGATTGCACCCGCCGTCGTCGTTCAGGGTGCACACATGTCGCAGTTTCATCAACAAACCCTTTTTCTGAAATATTCGTCTGTATGCCATCATCACGAAGTCGTCAGCAATGACCCTTAGTCATCGCAGAAATAAAAAAAAGCCTTAATTGAATACAAATTAATTCCTTATCAATTCATACTTGTAGAACTGAGATGCCATGAAATGCTAGTACATAAAGAATTTGACACGAAGATCCAAAACTACTTTGAGCGATAAAATCGTCCCATGCAGCGCCACAATGCCCAATTGCCTAAAAATGTGCTCAGATTTACTCAATCAATTGCTAAATAAGCTTTTTTCATACTCCTCGGGACTGTTCATTTTGTGGCACGAAGGTCGTCCACGTTTGCCATCGGCACATTGCCACTCGATTAAGTCAAGTGCCAATAATTTTTCGGGCCAGACATATCGACGAGCATTTCGGATTATTTTTTGCTTAGTGGATGAAGTGCTGTCACACCGGAAAAGACCGTGCCAACTCACCGCCGACACCAGTCCCTCGGACCACTGGCCATCATCCGAGGTGTACAGCGGTCGTTCACCCAGCTGAAAAAGAAGGGATGCGCTTGAATTAGGGGAAACATCGAACTCGCAGAAACATTGCATCATCGGCAACAATCAGGTATGATGTGCAAGTGCAATTCTGCCACCGCGGTGAGACCACACGGTGGCTCCGAGGCATATATAAGTTTCCGCCGTAATTGATTAGGCTGTGCAATGCCACGAAAACTTTCAAATACGAATCGTACAAACAGGCATAAATAATAAAACTTGGTAGAATTCATGACCAAAAAATATTTGAAGCCTTTATGCATTATACTATCTTGCAACTGTTCCTTGTTACGATGGCATCTACCATATTTGCTCGAGTAATAGCTGCGCTGTTTATGAATAAAGCCTGTGAATCTGCTTTATCGCGGAACACGTGGATAGGAATCACCGCGATCGGCAGAAAAATGGCAGCGAATTACGAGACAGAGATAATGTCTTCAAACGAAAATTCTATCTGCTCAGATAGAATTTTATGGAGAATTATGTTCCTGACCTCGTTATTCACTGTGTTTTTTGTGCAGAACGCAACGATTGGCTGTATGTGTATTTTGCAGGAAAGTAGACAAAAGGGCCTTGTTCATAAGAAGTGCGGCTATTACTCGAGCAAATACGGTACATTTAACCTTGGTTAAAAACTACATACCACGAGCCAGTAGATTTTAAATGCCCGAGGGATGTATATAAAAAAAAATCGTGAACATTAAAAAGTGCCGATTTTTACAGTAAGCTGAAAAACAAGTACAATGCTGCAACATTTGTTCCTGGAACTTCCTCATAAATGACATTCCAGGTGACAAACAGGATGAAACCGCTTGCAACCTCGTTAAGTACATTTTCATTAAAATTGGCATTTACGCATCTCTAAGTAAACCCAATGTTTTCTCACAAGAATAGAACTCGACTTCCACCTGAGACGAGGCAGATATTTTTCAGCAGCAATCCAGTCGCACAGTGGGCGCGACTTTCGCTGCATCTCAAGTGAAAGTCTATTCAATTTAGTCTCTCGAGTAAATCTCCTCCACGTCGAAGACTTCCCTCTAAATCATTAAAATCTAATGTTTCCCTGGCCCTTGATGGGCTGCGGGGACTATGGTGGTAACATTGGGTGTTAGACTCTTCGGTGCAAGAACAGAACAATAAAAACCGACGCTGCGCTGCGCAGTGTACACTCCTAGCTTCGCATAATGCATGCCGTGTAGTAGAAGCCCCGTTTTTATACCGATAACATTGCTAGGCGTGAGCCCGGGTACCTTTCCGGCTGCCACCAGCTCCCTCTGGGCGGCGGAGGCGGCGCGCACCAGGGCAGATGTGGCCGCCGTGATGGACTTGGCCGCCTCCAGGATCATCTCGTCGAAGTTGAGGCTCTCGTCCGCCTCCTGCAAGGCCCCTTCCCCTCAGCACAAGACGGAACACCACTCCCACGTCGCGTCCCTGGCAAGCCCCGTGGGCTGCACGGGATTCTAGCACTTTCAATACTCGGAAACAGACGCCAAGCACGAGCCCTTAAAGTTTTGGTTGCAGTGCTCCACCGCAGTGGCGAGGCTGCCTCGTGGAAAGGACGAAGCTGCGCCGGCATCTCAATGGCTTTTACCTTTTTAAGCATTACTGAACCCATACAAAATTACAGGAGGACAGCTAAGCTGCGCATTTAAGAGTGGAACGTGATAGCTGAATATAAACCCCCGCTCGCTCCCAAGCCGTGGAAGCATGCCTGGCTCACAACCGAAGGGTTGTGGGTTCGAATCACGCTTCCGCCTAAAATTCTTCGGATTTTTTTTAAGGCAAATGAATTACTTCATAAAGTGAAATAATTTGAGACATGCGGCGACCTTTAATTTGCATTACATGTCACCTTTTAATCATTTTCATTCTATGTGTGACGTCAAGTTTCATGTTAGCATTGCGGTTTGTTTGAAATTCCAGCGCGAGGTCATGCGCCTATGATGTCGTGACCCTATCGACCAATGAGAATTTTCTCGTCTGCCACCGACGCTGGCTTTTTTGCGATTAGAGCTTAAAGCAATTGCTCTAAAATAGCATTTTTGACCCGAGCTCGTACAATTTTGGAGGTTGGTGATAACCTTTGGTAAGCCACACGGCGTACAGACTTAGCAAATCAAGGGAACTGCCCACGTTGCGGTATGCACCACAACAGGGGTACGCAACATGCGGCCTGCGGACATGACACTGCAAGATGTGCTCAAGACGGAAACCAGTGCGATGCTGCTGATTTAAAACCTGTCTGCCAGACATTGAAAACCCCAAGCAGTTCCCAATAAGCATTTTTTTGGCCCGCGTCATTTTTGAGTTGTGCACCCCTGCACCATAACTTCTCTCTTAGGCAGGTTGTTTCACTAGTTTGTTCGTAATAGCGAAAATTTTAAATTCGGAGCTGTATGTCCTTACACCAGGCACTGTAGTTTCCTCCACTCCAATGAAAGGGTCAATCCTACATGTACTGGCTTTTTAACGATTCTTCTTTTTCCATCCGACGCACACCTAGACACGGCACACACAAGCAGCCCACTGGTCCAACATGCCGCTTGTCACACGTGCCAAGTTTGTCCATTGACAAGATTTGGCTCTACCAACAATTAGAAAAAAAGCACACAGGCAACAAGCAACGAGCAGAATGTACCAGAAGTAAACAAAGGCACACTCGTACGTGCTGCAAGCTAGAAGCATGGGCACATCTGCTGCATTGATTTTGAGATTTTCCAATTTTGGGGCTGAAACTTGAAGCGTGGATTCCACACGAATACAGTCCTTCCGTGTGTATAAGCCAACTCTATAATTCGAGAACCAGAAAGTAACTTTAAATTAAGTTTTAAAATTGCAATGGAAAACTTAAGCTCGATGCCACTACCAGCAGAGTGGCTAAATTGACAATAATTTGACAATACCATGCCAGGGTGTCAACCAAACTAGTACTCTCAAATTCACCAACTTTTCCAGGTTTTCCCCGAATATTTTTGTTAAATTCCTCCACCATTAGCACATAAGAAAAACATGAAGAGGATGGGGTTGCATTTTCTGTTGAAGCTGTTCCTGTTGTCTCCAGCGATTTGAGTGATGGCTTACGTTGCCCAATGATGCCTCTGGCAACTATTCCTCGGCATGAAGGCCATTCATGCCGCCTCATACTGCCCCTGCCGCACCCTCCCACTTCATTGCGTGCCACTGCACTGCCCACATCGGTCATTTTCCTCGACCTACCCAATTTTCTGACAGTTTCCCCAAAAATTCCCTGACTTTTCGAGACGCTTCGAAATTCCCCGACAATTCCACGTTTTCCAGGATGGTAGATACCCTACACGCATTCAATGGCCGGCACGATGCAAGCCTTCACTCTGGAACCTCTGGAAGGCACCTAGGGACGAGCTCCGCCGTCGGTGATGGGACCAGCTCCGCGAGCATATGTCTGACTCCTGGTTGGTTCGTGGCACAACCAAGAATATCAAACATATCTCGCGGCCACTGGACGTCTGCCGCGTGCTCCGTGCGGGGAAGGGGCGCCCTGTTCGCAGGAGGAAAGAGAGCCGCGGGAGGAGAGGCGCTCACCTTGATGCTCCTGCGTGGCTGTAAGTTGGCCAGCTTGCGGGCGGCCGCCTCGATAGAGGACGCCGCCCCCAGCAGCTCTGTCTCGGCAATCACTGTTGGGTCGTCGGGGTCTGCCCAGTCGTTGCCTGCACGTGTATGCCCCACTCTCGTCACATTTGTGCCCGCCCAATCGCTCCATTAGCTCTTCTAGAGCTGCCAAAAAGCTACACTTACGGTGTGGGCACTACATTCTTAGATTTTCTTGCGGGTGTCACCACCCTTATGCTTGTAGTCGGCAACAGGTTAAGGGTTCGGTGGGAAGCTCCTCCCCCCTCTTTCCAGTTTAACAGAGCGAACGCTGAAGAGGAGGCGACCTCCTCTCCAACATTCGCTCTGCTAGAGCGGAAACGGGTGGGAGAGGCTTCCCCCAAACTCTTAACCTATCACCAACCATAATGCGGAACAGGCACAATTGGCGACTGTTACGATTAAAAAATGCGATGTGCTAAAATCCAGCTACAGAGTCTAAAAGCTCGGGCGATAATGTTTGCTCCGTCTTGGAACGTTTTATTGTTTACCGAGGACAGAAAACCGTTCCCTGCCATTTTGGATAAAGCTTCGGGTGAGTAGCACAAGTGATTTCAAGCAGACGGCACTAGTGTCATTACTCTGAAGCTCATTTAGTGGTTCTACTCTTCTTGGTTTCACCTTAAAGCGACAAATAATTTTTGTTTCCATTTGCATCGTTCCAATTTCATAGTGCAATGTCCTATTCCATGCATTACCTTAATCTCTCGTAGACATTCCCGCGCAAACTCAGTCAATATGATTGCTCTTGTTTTGTTTGTGCACGTTCCAGCTCGAGTAATCGGCTGAGAGTATAGAGAAACGAAGAAACAATGCCCACTGCGCAAAGCTCGGTCACACGGGGCCAAAAGGAGGGCAAGCGGGCCGTTGAAAGCGCGTGCATTCTTCTGTTGCGGCGGCTCGCTTTGCTCGAGTGGCGCGACCGTGGAACAAGGTGCCGCGCCTCGAGAACCGTGACGGGAGGAACGCTGGCGGCTCCGTACACCCACGCACCTTTGAGGGCCTCTGCGGCGGCCACGATGTCCGTGACGGACATGGCGATGCTGCGCGAGGAGGCCACCAGGGACTGCTTGCCCTCGCTGGTGGGCCTCTGCACCACCTCCAGCACTGCCTGCAGCAGCTCCCGGTAGCGCACCGCACAGTCCCGCCCAGAGCCCAGCACCCGCGACCTCAGGTCCTGGGTCTCGGCCAGGCAAGACGCCGACTGCGAAGCAAAGGGAAGCCCGCGAGGGGACGGTCAAGTTCTTTTTCCAAAAGATGGGCTGTGCTTAAGAAGAAATAGTTGAAAGAAAATTATCAGCCCGCGAGTTTCTTTTTATTTATCCAGCGGGAGCACATACAGTGCTTGCAAGCTGAAGGCCAAAAGTTGTCGCCTTCCTTCCAATTAGTTCCGTTTCGGCGCGTCCACTTCTGCGCGATTCCGGCGGTTTCAGATTCTGAACCAGAGGTACTTTACAACGCTTCTCCATCAAATGCTAGGATCTTATCTTCGAAATTAAATTCTGAGAAGTGCTAAAAGTCTGAATCGGAAGAGCCGACTCTCCAATTACCACTAGCGCCATAGCAGCCGACGTGCGAAGCGACCACCTCGCGCATATCACGAGCGTGGAGCGTCTAATTTCAAAACTGTAAAAAGCCCCAGCAAAGCAAAACTTTGCGCATATATAACGTCGCTAATAATTCGCCAAAGACAACAAATAGCAACACGTCTCGCGGTGCGTGCGCTTTCGCGCTCAGGCAGGCACGTTCAAATGTGTAATCGCCGCACACCGTACATCTGCAGCGACAACTGTTAAAGGGTTAACCAGTAGTACCGCCGACCTTAGAATACCGGTTCTGGAATATGTTTATCATACAATGGCAAAGCCTTCCCTAGGGACAAATTGAAGCACCAGGGGCGCCCTCAACGTTAGGAGTTGGCAAATCGGATCACTCTGAGAACCTAATGAATAGACATAGGGTTCGGAGAAGCCACCGAGGAAAAGTTGCCGTATGCATCTATTCCTTCATAAAGCTCCACATACCCATTAAAGAAGCAGACGATTAGAAATGCCATCTATTCATGAGACCTAGGGGTCATATTATTTTGGAATAATTGAAATGTCATGTGAAGAGAGCTGTGAAGAGAGATACATCTGCTTTAAAAATAAGTGTCCAACTTTGTTGCTAGTGCTTTTTACTCATTATTTTCTTTCACTTTCTTTACGTCTACCGCTTGTAGTGACAGAACTTGCCACGGTGGAAAGCACAGAAAATTCAAGACCGGTGAGTTTATCTAAGGGCCGTGATAACACCGAGCGCAGTATGTCATCTCATCGTAAGCCGTCGCAAGCGGTAGCAGTCAAGTGCAAGCGTGTGAACCGGCCTAAACTGTGACAAAGACGGTGCAGGCGGGCCAACTGTGAAAAGAGGAACGTGCTAGGAAACAGGGTTCTGCCCCGGGGGAGGTGCCACTCACCTTGGAGGTGGCCAGGAGGTCAAAGATGGCCTTGCGGCCCATGTTGGCCGCCACAATGACGTCGTCCTGGCGCCCGCTGTTGCCTGCAGCCACGGCCTTGGCGGTGGCCAGGGTCACCGGGCGGGTGGCACGCACCAGGTCCTCGGGGGTGGCCTTGCGCATCGGCGGGTCGCCCGAGTCAAAGGCCTGTGAAGGGGAATAAGGCGGCAGCGGATCACTGCGGCTGCCACCTTGGCCGTTCTACAGTTGCCTCGCGTAGTTCAAAGCGGTTAAAGGAATGTTCATCGTTCAGCGTGGTTCCATGTATTCGGAAGTGAGAGTGATTCTCTGGACTCAGATTTACAGTTTAGTATAACTAGGTAGCTTTGCAGTTCAGTGATATTCACTGGAGTTACAGTTAAGTGTGACTGGATTTACAGTTCAGTGTGATTAACTGGATTTACAGTTCAATGTGATTAACTGGATCTACAGTTTAGTGTGATTAACTGGATTTACAGTTCAGTAGGATTTACTGGATCCGAGTTCGATTCACTGAAATTACAGTTCAGTGGGATTTACGGGATCCCAGTTTAGTATGATTCACTGAAGTTACAGTTCAGTGAGATTCACCGGAGGTATACTGTCGGGACCGTTTATAACAAAGTCAGATATAATAAAAAAGCAGTTATAGCAAAAGATCACCATTTTTCATTCCCGTTCACACTTTTTCAACGTACGAGGACACAGCGCACCCGTAACAAACACTAGGACAACGTTCACAGTCACACCAAAAGAAAGGGACACTTACACAGCGCTGACTTCAACTCTTTGTATATTCCCGCCTTTTCTCTTCTTTCACGTCTAATGCATAACCTAGGCCTCATCTTTTTCTTTCTTTGCTAAAGGTTAACTGTAAAAGTTTTAAGCCAGAAATTGAAAATTAAAAATTAAATGAAAAATTAAATGAAAAATTAAAATTGAAATTACTGTAGATCAATGATGCAAAGCTAAGTAATCCAGCTCTTTTTGTGACAGCGCTATAGATGGATTACTAATACACCTGCCGTTTTGCCTGGCAATGTTCTCCGCTTCTATTATTTCCCTTGTGAGCTGGTCTCGGCTGCTTTCTTTTGGTGTGACTGTGAACGTTGTCCTAGTGTTTGTTACGGGTGCGCTGTGTCCTCGTGCGTCATGAACTACCAACTCGCCCGAACTTCTGTTTTAACAAACTTTTTCAACGTGTTTGTGTCTGTCTTTAGCGAAAGAAATCGAGCGGCTCCTGCAGATATAGCAAAAAGAAATTTTCCGATAATTAAAAAAAAAAGAAATCAAATTCTGAAAGTTTATAGAGTTGCAGACCGCTGCACTTTGCTGCCGCGGACGTGCTGCAAAGGCCGGCGGCGGCAGTTTCCTCAACGTCGTGTGCTGTGCGTCGTGTGGCCAACTGAGAGGCCCAGTCTAGCATTAACTGACAATCCCTTTTGTTGACATTGTCTTAGATAAGACTGGCTGACCTAATTTCGGGGCAACCATCCCAGTGGCTGGCACAAAACTAAGCCCAGCCACAAGGCCAGCCATTACAGTGGCTGGCCCTGTAGCTGAATAAAATGGTTAGAAGGCAGAAATCACTAGCCTTTATAAAATATATGTGTTAAAAGTGGAAATACGAGCTAAAAATTTTTACAATGAAAGTGAGAAAATGCAGGCAAGCTGGTGAACTAACTTGAGAGCTTAAATCGGTGTGTGTGGTTGTCCGTTTTATATTTGTTTCCAGTCAGGTTTATCATTATCAGTGACGAAAGAGCTGCGCCATTTGCACCAAATAGCGCCATGAACGAAAGTCTGCTACATATTGCGCCAAAGTGCCACTTTTGTTGGGCCACATCTGCGCCAAAATGGGCTTAGGCAAAAAAATAAAAATGTTTTATTGTTGGTCGACCTTAATATATAGAGGGGGAAAGGAAAATGGTACGAGCATGTATTTCACAGCATCTCTACTCACCATATAGTTTGTTTCACCTTAGGTCAGAGCACGGCCGAAGGCTCAAACACGTACAATCACAAACATACATACTAAAAGTGCAAGTCATTCGCTGCACATGGTTGGTTCAGCCAATGAAAGAAGCACAGAAAGATGACGACGTTGCACTTCCATGCTGTCGGCTGCGCTTTGACTTAAGGTGAAATGAAGCATAGACATTGCCTGTCAACTGCACTTGCCGGATGATGTTTGCCGGTTGATGAAGTTTATCACCGACATAGTCTAAATTTCCGGACAATGTCGGCGATGTCTAGGAGCTAGACGTGGAGAGAAAACATTGCAAAATAGTAGGATGGCAGCTACTGTGATAAGACAGAACCGGGCTCTTGTGCTTCTGATAAGATCACTCGATTATCACGTCCGCCGTATGCCTCCGTGCTGCTAGGAGTAGCGGCTGACATAGGTGGGTGCCTGGGTTAGCACGATAGGTTCGTAAATTTTGTAACTCGTTACTATATTCATATAAGTGTCGTGCAAATAGTGGATTTTGATTTCGAATTGAATTCGAAGCGAATAGTGATTTTGACCGAATATTTTTGAATCAAATATCGAATACTTGCTGTTCAAAAATCTTGGCCGCAAAGTAGCATGCAAGAAAATTATTGCAGACGGGCAATTATTAAGTGGGCTGATTTGTGAGGATGAGACTCTAATTAATTTATGTATGACTTATTAGGGGCGAAGCTCCGTAGGGTCCAGCCTTGTCCGTCGTCCGTGCTCACATTGATTGCCATCCCATTTGTCTTCTTAAAAAAAGAAAAAATGTTTGCGCAGTCGACAGGATTGGAGCCTGTGCGGGGAGACCCCAATGGATTTCTAGTCCATCGCCTTAACCACTCGGCCACGACTGCGGGATGAGTAGGAGGCTCTGAGATGTGGTAGCAACTCAAGAGCTGAGAATGTCATGGATGAAACGTTGCATGTAGCCGCTCAACGTCTATACCGGAGAGGGGCTGCTGTCAAATGCGTATATAATCTCACTAAATTTTGCATGCATTGGCTCAACGTTTATAGATGAGAGGGTGCTGCGGTCAAATGCTCAAATGCGTATATAACCACGATCCATACCACACATTCTCTTTCTGACATGGATTAAAACGAACGAAAGGCTCGGCATGCTGCGGCTCAGCGTCTACGCAAACAGCAAGCTGCTCCAGAGATGGATAAAAAAAAAAATCAGCACCATCAGCACTACCTATGAAAAAAATCAGTATCAACAGCACCACCAGAGCTTCGCCCCAATCAACATCATTCACCACGTGAAGATGCGGTCAATTTTTTATTGAAATACAGGGCGCCAAGATTGGCAAAGGTGGCGCAGGCGTTGCTGGAGCTCATTTGCCGGTTTCTTTTGCCCGTTTTTAAACGAAGTTGATGAAATGACTACAATGACTATATTTGAGAGTTCCCACCATAATATTTGTACCGTTTTGCCGAACGTGTGAGCATATTTTTGATTTTAGAAATTGTTTCTTATGTATTTTTAGACAGTAAACAAACACGCAACTCAAGGTTGCCAACACTTCGAAAAGCATGAATATTACAACTGCTCTCGAATCGAATATTGAATAGTGCAATATTCGAAGCTGCTATTCGAAAATTCGAATATTCGCACAACACTAATTCATATTACAAAAAGTGCGCTATTTTTAATATGAAAGTAACAAGTAATATGACCCAGTAACAAAAAGGAACCCTCAATCATTATCAAGGATGAACTAATTTAAAGATGCAACCATTTTTTTTTTATTTTTGACTGATATGCTAACAGATGGGCATCTGCTCCAAAAGCATAAAGGCCCGTTCACACTCTTGCGACTGCTTGCGACCTCTTAAACCTGGGTTCCTTAAAACTTCTTAAACCAGAGAACACACTGGCGCCGTCTATTGGGAAGCAGTGTAAACTCGGCGGTCCGGCATATTTGTTTTTACTTCTCGCGCAATATCCTTTCTTTTTTGGCTCGAAAAACTTTTGTCAATGTTATAAACGAGCCTTTCTATGGGTATTACGCACATTTGACCTCGGAAATCCCGCAAAACCTTCGCTTTTGTGAAATGCAGTTCTAGGGTCACCGCATAGATGGCGCCACAATGTCAGTGTGTTCCCTCATTCTAGAAACATTTAAGAAGTTGTAAGAGTTCTCGTCTCTCTCAGTCGTACTCGGTCGCAAGAGTGTGAACGGGCCTTAAGAGGCTACTCCAAACCAATATTTGGCCCGCTACAGGACCTGCTATAAAAAGATCAAATGCTGCTTTCGTCGCTGCATTGAGGAACAATATTCAAAGCTTTTCTTGTCCCATTAGCTGTTACAATGACCTACGCCTTAGCTCCCAAAAACGAAAATTAACCCAAAAGGATCTTCACGGTTGGCAGGTTCCCTACGCCACGGGCAACTGCAAACTATGAATTTCTTATAAAAGGAGAGAGCGGTAGAAGCTACGTCGTTCACCACTACGCCAGAAGAACGCGGACAGATCAAAGGAAGACGACAGGATATGCCGTATCCTGTCGTCTTCCTTCAATTCCTCTGTGTTTTCTTGGCTCTGTAGTAAAAGATGAACCCCAACGAACTAGTCCAATTGGCCATCTTGATTCGGTAGAAGGTACTTTTACACGGGGCTTATAGCAGCGGGCTCTTCCTGTGCCACAGCTGCTTGCTGCAGCCGGCGGGAGACTCACCCTGATCTCCTGCCAGATGGCCTCCACCGTAGACTCGAGGGCCCTCGTGCCCCGGGCGTGCTCATCCTCCACGGCACGCACCGTCTTGAGGAGGGAGGTCACGTTCGTCACCATCACCTGCACAGAACGAGGGAAGATGACTCGCACGTCTCCGGCCCGCTCTGCTGGTCTCCTCGTGAACGACGCGCCCGAACAAAAGCCGCGATAACCAAGCGTGGACTGCGTGCGCCCCAAGTGACCCCTTGCGGATGACGGTCAAGCAGCCCCCTTCTGCGCTAAGACTAACGCACCGTGCAGACGAGGACAGGCGTGCTGCAGCTGGCACCAGTCTTACCCTACCTCTGCCGCTACTCGTACGACTTGCAGCAAGTTTTATCGCCATAAGAAAAGAGTCGCTTCTAACTTCGCTCACCCTGAAATGAAAGAAATTCCCCCAATAGTATTAAGCGTCCTGAAAGATCACTGTCGGCAAGCTAACCAGCATCTCTCTGGATTGTAAATTCTGTATGGCAGAATCGTGCGAAAAGCCATGGGCATGTATTTCTGGGCGTCTTTGCTGGACTACAAGCGCCTTCAACCTGAACTTCAGTGCTTCGGCGACTACAAATGCTTGACACCTATCGAGGCAAAGGTGACCTCGCTTCAGCGGTAGTTGCGAGCTTCTTCTGGAAACCCCCTGGCCAGAGCGGCCTTCATATCTTATAGATGGATGAAAAGAAACCGTCCTATCTACCGACTACGAGTGTCCTTCGACGTGAGAGGGAGAGGTCTTCGTTCGCCCGTGGCAGAGATTCCACGGGACCTGCTCTTCCAAGGGTGTTGGCTCCATGCCCACGGTTAAAAAACACACACCGAGCAAGCCGACCAGATCCCAACATGTTGTCAAAGTTAGTGTTGCACACTGAAAACAAGTGCTCACAAACGTGCAAGGTTTTAAAGGTGTTAAAAAACGAATGCGTCGTGGCTCTTGCAAGTTTTGAGCCTCAAGAAACTCGAGCACCGCTCGTGCCACAAGAAGGCCAAAAGCCACGACTATATTCGGCTCCATCTACCCGCGTTAGGTGCCAGACGACAAAACCTCCCGCAACCGTCAGTCGAAGAAACTGGCAATGCTGCCAGCTCTCGCCACCTGCCCTAAAGCGGGCAAGGGCTGCCGAATGGCTGAAAGCATGCAGTCGTGCACCGAGGAGGTCGGGCCCCATCCGATGACGCAACGGGTTCGGGTGCGCGTAAGCGGTGCAGTGGGTGCGGTTATGCCCCGCCGCGCGCACGACCAGACCAGGTGGAAACAAGACGGACCTCCAATCGGGCCACGAGAAGAGACGAGCGGCATGCACAGGCAACGAAACCGTGGGGGTGACCTTTCCCGCCGAGCCTCCAAGAAAGGCCGCCGGAGGTCCCAGTCGCCAATCGAGAGCGACCAGGCGGAGCAAAGTCGACCGCAGCCACCGACCCAAGAAGCCGGCTTGAGACGAGTCGCAGGGTGTAAGGCACTTTATTGGGACCAGAGGCAGACTACGTGGGGCCTAGGGCCCGTTCCTAGTGCAAGCTGACGTCCCCCCTGAGGTCCCTTAAGTTCTCGATCGAGAGCAACCGAATAAGCTCTTCTTCCTGATCGGAGGCCAGCCCCTCGGTGTCCGTCGTGTCCGCCACCTGCCGGCACACAGAGCGCACTTAGCAACCGCTCTCGGCCACCCCGCCTTAGCGCCTGCAACGCGTCTCCGACTGCTGCGTCTGCTGCGGCTTCGCAAGTGGTCCCTCGATTTGTGCCCGGTCGTGGAAGTGTCGCGCCATTGTCTGTCGCGATCCTGGTGGTAGAACAATGGAAGTGGATGCGTGCAGACACCCGTTGCACGTCACTCCTCAGTCCGGGGAAGCTTATGCAGCCGGGAGTTAGGGCACTGCGACGACGGCGACAGTCGCGTTTGCTCGTGCCGGAACTCTTAGGACCAACCGCCAGGATTGCGACATTCAATGGCTTGACCTGCCCGCTCCTGAGACGTCGTTTGTCCTCCTTTCGGGACCGCTTTTGACGCGTGGGCGTCATGGCAAGCTAGAGACGCCGGTCGAAGATGCGTCCCAGGCGCCGCGGCCCACTGCCCTCCAGACCCCCCCACAGGGGACACGGGGGACGACCGCGGGAGATGGGGCCGGTCTCGCGAAGGCGCTCGGCGGGGTCAGTGGAGGCAAACCGGTCAGTGCACACCTGTGAGCTCTGGAAGGGGTCTGGGCAGGCAACGGGCAGCAAGAGAGCCATGCGCACTCCCCCCAATCCCCCGCCGCCGGGAACGTCGGTTCTACGAACCCCCGATCGCGAGGTCGCGCCACTTTCGACCATATGTCTCTGGGGGCCAAAACGCAGACTAAGTGTGCCGGGGAGGATTTCCTCTCAAAAGCCGAATCCAAAGAGGAAATTCCGAGAGGGCAACAGCTAACGAGCGTTTGGCGCAAGCACAAACAATGCCTTCCTGGGGTGGAGCAATCGCGAGATACCTCTATATTTACAGTGACTCCTGCTACTCCTACTTCGCACATTTAAGTTTAATTGTGACTGAGTACGTTTTGATCTCCTGTGACCGGTTTCAATGAGAGAAAAGAGCACAAATCGGCGAAACACACCGACACACTGGCGTCAACTGTAAGGCAGCCCTGGAACTGACTAGATTGATAGTTTTGCAGAATTTACAAGACCAGATCTACGCACTAAGCGCCGTGATGATGAGCTTTTGGTGCTGCCTGATTGGCAAGATCGGTTCATTGCGTCGGCCGTATCTATGACAAATAGTCACGTATAATGTTATCAAAAAGTATTTCAAGATCACGACGAAAAAATGATGCGTAAGAAGTCGGAAAATAAACGTAAACAAAGCGTTCAGGGGCAACCCTACACACAACGTCAGAGCGAACTCTCGCGAGCGATCGCGAGAGATCACAATGCACTAACTAAAGTCAAACGTAAATGCGTGAATCTGCTTTAATGTACTTCTCGAAAATAAGGCAATGGGTAGGGCCGAGCTAAACGCTTGAACAAAACTGTCCACGCGAATCCCGCTTGAAAGACACGCCGGGTCCCTCCAGAGTAAAGTCACTCCCCGGCAAGGCCTTGTCCCGCACCCGGACGCGCGCTGCCTCACCTTGGCCGAGTCCTTGAGGTAGGCCATGGCTGGGTCGTCGATGTTCTTCCCCGAGGCCGCCTTGGTGGCCTGCACCAGGTCTCCCAGGGCAGACGCCACGTCCTTGACCGCATTCATAAGCAGCACTTGGGCCTCGGTGTTGTGCGAGCCCAGGGACGCTGCACCCAGCTTCACCACCTGCGGCCATGGTCCCACAAGTTGGCACGGTCTTTAGATTACCCGGTCTAAAATCTTCTATGGCGACGGCCGTTAGTGCGAGCCAAAAAGTCACAATGCATCGAGCGTGCAAGCACAGCCAGAGCACGCGTTGAAAAGCAAGCTAGGATGTCGAAACAGACACCGTCCTCAATTTGATGGTAGTGGCAGCCGACAGATCGTCGTGCTGGTGCGGGCGTGTGACCATCTGATCAGATGAATTTGCCCGCCGTACAACTAGACATAGGGACGTTTGTAGCAGGTCACAACTTTAAGTTACAGTGTGCCGATGACGCTCAATGTGGACCGAGTACAGATCGGGTGCGGGAGTGCAATAAAGAGCGGAAGCAAAAATGGCACAAAAATCCTCATAATCGTGCTCGGGAGGAGGCGCAGAAACGACGACGACACCACAATGCGAGCAGGTTATGCGAGCGCCGAGCTGCCATCATTGCGATATACGTTATGTGATGGCATATGGTGTAAATGTGCCCGGATCTGTGGCCCACCTCCGCCAGCTGCAGGATGGTGGTGACGGCGTTCTGTGCGGCGACGGCCAGCTGCTCCTGGCTCGAGGCGGCGCCGGCCACCAGGGTCTTGGTGTCCTCCACCAGGGCCTTGGCGGTCTTCAGGATGCTTTCCCTGCACGCGCGCCCCGTGAGGAGGTGCCCACCACCCTCCACGCGCGTCGTCTCACCGGTGGTCGACGAATTTGTCCCCTTCACCCTGTGCATGCAGGGTGCCAGCCGTGGCGAACATGATGGTGGTGTCCAGGTCTCCGATGATGCCGCTCACTGTGCTGGCCGCGTTGATGCACGCTTGGGTGCCCCGTGAGCCCGCCTGCAGCGCCGCCAGTATGTGCGACACCTGTGCGGGCGTCATGCAAGAGCGTCAGTGAGGGGGCTGCCCACGTGCGACGGAAGTGCCGGCTCGTGGTCACGAGGGCCACGATTTGCGACTTGCGAAATGCTCCTAGTTGAATGAGTTCTGTCACGAGAGCCACACACGAAATGCTCTCTGGACTGCAAAGTGGGATAGCATGCGTGGCAAGACTTTAATCCGAGGCCAAGGTGGACGAGAACTGACACCCACCCCACATGTTCTTTTTTGTTCATTCTCCTCTCGAGAAAAAGCCTTACTGCGCTTCGCTGAATTTAAATAGTCGTCGTAAATCCCAATTTGGAAGAGAAGAGCTCACGCCCGCATTCATGCCCCGGTACAAAGCGCCGGCCAAGTGCTTTTGTGCCCACCTTTTCGGAGACCACTCGGGCGTTGTCGGCCACCTCCCTCTGGCGGTAGGTGTCCCCGGGACTGCCCTGGCAGGCTCCTGCCGACTTGGTCAGGTTGATGCAGGCCTTGCCCAGGTCCTGCACCCCAGTGCGGATGCGGCCAGACACCTGCACACCCCAACACCCCACGTGAGCCTTGGTCGGAGGAAGACGTTTGACTCCTGTTGCCATAGGGTTAACATTGCAGTGAATTGGTGTTGTCAGCTGTCGCCAAGCTTCGTCCAGTTGCTCGAAAAAATTTGTAGGGCAGAAAACAGGGTACCTCAACACTTTGGGTCTAAGGAGATACAAAATACAGCATCCCCGTCAGTCACTAATATTGCAGAGCGCTAGGTTCTATGCAACAGAATGGCAGTCTGGCGGATGGCTCAAACATAAACAAGCTTCGTGAAATATGATCACCAACTCCTGTTTAAGAAAAAACTCGGTGCTATCAGCGGTTTCCTGCTCCAATGGCTGCACAGTTTGGTTATGAGAAGAATGCAAATTGTGCTGTTCCACGGCGTCATCATCGCGCAGAGTTCTTTTAGGGTACCTCGGGGTACCCCACATTATTTTCAATATAGTACATCAATGGAATCGCAAACATCATGCGATCTACCATCATTATCTATGCTGACGACTGATGAGGCCCCTTGGCTCTCCTTGCTCCTACCTGGAACTCCAAGCTGACTTGGATGCATGCAACCGGTGGTCCACAAAGCATTTACTTCCATTAAATGCTATGAAGAGCATCCCAATGATGGTCACCAGTGGTACGAAGAACGTGCTCCCTCAGCCCTTCGACCTAGGGGCTGTTTCCCTCAGAGTCCAGTGTATAAAACCGCTGGGGATACCATTTGACAACCGCCCAAGCTTTGCAGACCCCATAGTTGCCATCGTGTCAAAGGCACGCCAGATATCAGGAATTGTTACTCACATCACGCGTGGTTTGCCACAAGCACATTTAATCACTGATACACAGGACTAATGCTCCCTCAGTTGTAGTTTTGCTCAACTGTGTGGAGCCATTACCAGAAAGTGCTCTAGCAAGCCCTGGAAGGTGTACAATGCTGGGCCACCCACACACTTTACAAGCCTAGTGTATCTCATTTTACGCTTTCTACCTAAAGCGAGACATTTACAAACACCCTCCAAAAACATGCTAAATGGCGCAGCCTCACCCACCGCAGACATGGTTTTGGGTCATCTCTTCCCTAACCTCATGGGAACTTCAATAAAGCCGTGCGAGGCCCCTCGCTTCAATGCTCACACTGGGAGGTTACAGTCCTTACTACCATGTACACTAGAGAGAAGCAGGTGTTTACTAAACAATCAGGTCAACTGGCTCCTATTGCCAGTTTGCTACATTGGGCATGTACACTATGCCACAAAGATGTGGCTGATGCGTGCAGCCAAAACTTGGAGCTCTCGCCCCCTCCCCTCCCCTTCTCCTCCCTCCCTCCCTCCTCATCCTCTTTCTCTCTCCCCTTCTCCTCCTCCCCTCTCTGTGTGTGTGTCTCTCTGTTCTCTCTCTCTCCCCCCCCTTTTACTGCAAATGCCCCCCGAACCTGAAGACAATCGGGCACTCTGTCGGCAGGCCTCCAGACTAATGTGCCCTGTGTAATATTTTTTTATATCCTATTGCAACATTACTTATTCATCCCCCGCCACAAGCTTCAATTTAATCATGTTCACGCCATCCTGCTATTTGTACACATTCGTCTCATCGTCACCTTCGTTTCACGTTGCGCCGTAGGCCTCTGTGGCATGGGCCACAGGCACCTTTGCGGCGTTGCAGCTGTCCGGAACCGAAATAATAATAATAATTATTACAATTATTTTTATAACTCACCACCTATTACCCCAGCAGCACCGAGAAAAGGGAGAATGAGGCTCGAACAGACCAAGTGCATATCTCGTGCGAGTTACAGGTTGCAGTTATGATGGGGCGAGTATAAACGCACCGGCATCGTACTGCACCACTCAGTCTATCGGTAGTGTTCGATCCTGCTGTTACGCCTAGATCCGACACTTCCTACGCTAGTTATGTATCCTATATTCTTGTCTTGGCACAAGTTTGCTACATTAAACGTTCAGCTGCTTCAATTCATTGCAGCTTCGTGGTACATCGTTCGTGGCCGTACGGTACTCCGGAGGAATTTAACATGCGATGACACGGACGAAACAATGCTAGAATCTGGCGGGCTCTCGAGGCACGACACCTCCTCTCTGTGACAGAATTGAGCTGGGGTGGGAAGTCGGCACTCACGTCTGAGCTGGCGGTGGCGGCCATGGCCCCCCTGGCGTCGGCGGCGAGGGCGGCGTAATGGTGGGACAGGTCTGCGGCCAGGGGCGTGAGCCGGCTGGGGTCGTGGCTCGCGTGGGCCACCATGTCCTGGGCCACCCGGGCCACCTCCTTGGCAGAGCGCACCATGCGCGTCTGGTAGTCCACATATGACAGCTCCTGAAACACAATGCAGCACCTTTGTCTATACCACGACCAAATATGACCTGACCTAACCTGACCTGACATGACCTAACCTAATCTAACTGAGGGACACGAAAAAGTGACGAGGTGATAATGTCAACGTTGCCATATCAAATTTCATAGAAACAAAACAAAATACAATGAAGATGGAATAACACTTGATAGTTTTCTAACGAAGAGCACTAACTGTCAGTGTGGTATGCAATGCGACAGGTGGTGAAGGAATCGTGAATGTACGAAGGACAATTCCCTTCTACTTCATCTATGCAACTCTTTTTTCGGGGCCTCGCATCATTTTCTCTGAAATGCCGCCGCACATACAGCTGCAAAATGCCTCAACACTGGATCATTCCACTAATACGCAGCTTGTACCCTGCTACGCAGCGGATGGCGAGTGAGGGGAAAGAGGGGAGTATTAGCGCATTGTTACATTAAACCCCTCTCCTCGCAGCACCATGGCAACAAACCAACACCTGCACTCCGTCACTGGCACTTTCCCCTGGCCTTGCTACGGTGAGACCCACACGAGCAAGCTAGGTCTGCGGAGAGTTCCCACATAAAGATTTCAAAAGAAGGCGACGCTCACAAGGTACCAGGACCGCTTTGGCGCCACCCACCTGTGGCTGTGGGCTGCTGCCGAGGAGGGTGACAACCGTGCGCTCCTCCAGCCGGTACATGGCCTTGCTGACCGACTCGACCAGGCCCGTCACCACGCCGGCCTCCGTGGCCAGTGCCTCCAGGGTGCGCAGCAGCTCCTGCAGCGCGTCCCGCGCCCCTTCCGCCGCGTCGTCCACGTCGGCATGAACGTGCACCGCCTGCATGGCACCAGCCCTCAGCCAACCGCTCGGGCCGCCCAACCGTTCCAGTGCGACTGTACCAGTGTACAACTGTTCCAATGCAACTGCTCTACTGCACAACTATCCCATTGCAATGTTTCATGCGTGCCTAAGCCCACAAAACTGTTCCAGTGCAACTGTTCCAGTACACAAATGTTCCAGTGCGACTAATCTACTGCACAACTGCTCCGTTGGAACATTCCAGCATGTCTGAGCCGCAAAACTGTTCCAGTACGACTGTTCTATTACATCAACCTTCCAGTGCAACTGCTCTACTGCACAACCGTTCCGTTGCAAAGTTCCAGCGTACTTGAACCAACAGAAAACTTTCCAGTAGGACTGTTCCCGTGGAACTCTTCTACCGCACAGCTATTCCAGTGCACCCATGCACAATACTACCGACTCAATTAAGATGGAAGCTTGAGCAAGTTAGTGATTCATATCAGCAGCAACAGTGCAAAAATATGAGGAAAAAAAGAGAAGAGACACACAGAGGAACAAAGAAGGGTGCTAACTTGCAACTCATACATTTCTTTTTCTTCCTTGTAAGAAGCAACATCATAAAAAGTAAAATGAGAAACACTGTTTACATGCATGCACTTTACGACCCTTTTACCAAGTACTCTAATTCTTTGCCAGACAGAGACACGGAAGGGGAGCTGACGCATCTATCGTCAAGCCGCTTGGTACTTTCAGCCTCAATAATCTCTCGTATTAGTGGGTCCCCACCCCTTGAGAAATATTGAGGCTGAAAAGAAAGCGTGGCTCAATGTCAGATTTGCCAACGTGCCTTCCGCATCTCTATCTGGGAAAAAAATTAGACTGCTTGGCAAAAGGGTCAATGTGAAGTGCGTAGATTTCAAGGGTGTCTTTCGCTTTTTTTTACTTTGTACCATGGTATTGTATCTTGAGAAAAAGTGAAAGAAGAAAGATATGTGTTGTAAGTCAGCACCCCCGTTTGTCCTTTTGTGCATTTTTTCCTTTTTGTCTTTGTCTTTTTGTGCTGCTGCTGCTAATACCGGCTCAGGTCTGCCAGGCCGGACAGCTTGAGTGCTTCATTGAAAGGAAACTGAAGCAGTTTTCGAATTTAAAACTTAAGTGACAATCTGGATGCAGCCACCTTAAAAAAAAATCTGTGTAAAGGCTTTTTAACTGCAGAATCATACTTTTACTGAAGCTAACTCCAATTTTGTCATTGCAAAAGTGAGTGAAGAGTGTTAAAATCGAAGGGAATAGGCGTAGTTGGCCAGTTGCCAAAAACCTGCGCCGTGAGCTCTGCCAGCCACACAACGTGACTGTGAAAAAAAACACAGCAGAGAAGAAAAAAAAGAAAACAGAAGAGGGACCAGGCTTCTTCAAACCAGGTAAATGAAATTGGTCCGGCTAGAGCTGGATTATAGAACTGGTCCCAGCTGGGTCCACCTGGATTCACTCACACTTGCAGCTGAACCCCTTCGGGACCAGTTCCACAATCCAGCTCAATCCGGGCCAATTTTTCGACCTGGCTCAAAGCAGCAAGTGCCCTTGGACCCTCGAATTATGCAAAATATAAAACCTGCAGCGAACGGACTCTATGCATGATCATCATTGAGTACATTTGGCAGAATCTACGCCTCGACAACGAGAGCCGGTGGCATTCGTTGGCGATGGTAGCACCCGCCGCCAATAAGTGCCCCCTCCCCGGGGAAGACCCGGCCCCAAGGTGCTCACCTTGGGGTTCCCTGCCGCACCCTTGGCCGCGTAGACGAGCTGTAGGCAGCACTCTGCAACGGTTTTGGTTTGGTCCAGGAGCGCCATCTGCTGTTTAGAGTTGACGGTGCGCGTGGCACCCGCCACTGCACTCTGCACAAGGGGGCCCAAGTAGCCCACCATCTGGGTCACCTGCAACGGGACCCCGCCGGGATTAGCTGCTACGCGCCGTCGGCAGGATGGGCCGCACCTCCTTAGACAATCCGTTGCTTTGGGGGGCGTCCTTTTCGCTCAAAAGGGTGAATGAAGCGATCTCAGGCTTTTGATGCTGGACGCATAGGCTACAAAATCCGGCTGCGCCGGTTTCACGTGTTGGCTTTACTTTACCCACAATAGTGCAAGTGCCTCGCAACTCGCATGGTTTCCAGTACCATGACCGGTGCTTAGTTACACGTACCGTGTTCTTGTACTATATGTCTTCCTCTACCTCCATCCCGAGCTTGTCACTGGTAGAGGAAATTAAATACTGTTCACACTAGTTGCTATGCAGCAGATCTAGGTTATCTGTCATGCGACAACTGCGCGAGTGGATTTCTTTCAAGTAGCACGGTGGAGTGACTGCATACTCCAGGTAATGGTTTTCCCGTGCACCCATGAGAACACTGGTACGAGAATGGGCTAAGTCCGGCAAGCTACCGGGCAGCCTCGTTTTCCCGTGGTAAGTACATTCCATGAGAGCGCCTCCCTAGCACTTTTGTGTTCGAAGGTCGGACAACTCGAGGCAGTCATGTGAGAACGGGGACACCCACCGCGTGTCCCAGCTTCTCGGCCTCGCCCTTGGCGGCGCAGCGCAGGGGCTCAATCTTCTCCAGGATCTCCGAGGCACTGTTCTCCATCTGCTCTTGGTAGGCCTGGAAAAGAGACAACCATCTACTCAGCCTCGCGGCAGATGCCACACGGTGCAGGGATGCCTGGGAAGTGCATTAGGACGCTGCCATTGCATTCGCATTGCCATCTCTTTCTTCGATGTGCACGCGCACGTCGGAGGAACGGAGTGCATGCAAGAGGGGGATTCCAAAAGCCCACGACCCTTTCGAGCCCAGTCCCACGAAGCTCGACTATAGTTCTCTCAAGTCCACAATTGTGCGGCATTAACCCGTTCCCACCAATGCAAGCCGTCGGCGTGCGATGCTGAAAAGCAGCGACACCGAGACGCACGCGTCCGACACTTCATTGCGCGCCCTCATTGAGCTTCGCAGCGTCTGCTGCTTGGAATGAGTCTGGGATAGACTAACGATGACGTAATAAGCGGAAGTGACAACAGGCCCACTTGCCTTGAGGCTACTGTCGGCGTGGGGCATGGTGCTCTGGCTGAGGATGTTCAGGGAGGCCTGGTCCAGCTCGCGGATGCAGGCGTTGAGACGCTCTATCGCCTCCTCACACTCCTTCTGCCCGGGGGCCTTGTCCCTGCACGAGGAGGAGAGAGGGGCGTTTAGCCGCGACCCGCGCGAAACCGAATGCGAGGGATGCGTGTGGTGGGACATCTGGACGCGTCTGGGTCGCAGTCGAAGCATTTGTCACCGACCAACGGGGTCGACACTAGCCGTTGAAAGAGAACGTGAGTTTGGAAGTTGCAGAAATCTCTTCCATCTTGAGTGTCAGTCATAAAAGAGGCTCGAGAACCTTGCTAACGTGGTATGCCGCAAGTTGCAAAAATAAAAATACTGTGCCCTGGAAATTTTTCAAATATTTTATTGCATACTTATTGCCCCACTTCGACTTCCCTCTTTAAAAGGGGGCTTAAAACACCTTGAAAGTGGAACTGGGAGCATGAAGCCAAAGATAGTTCGTTATATTCAATATGTATTGAATCCCAGTTTCATCAGAAGAGGGTTTGGCTGTATCTAAGACAATTTTCAGCATGCATGCAAGGGCGAAAAGGGTTACTCCACGAAGATGGGCCTCCAATTGTGACCGGGCACGGAACCGCAGCACGGTTCCAGCTACAATCGAGGCAACCGACGCCCCCGTGGACTGGCCAATAATCGTGAAGCAAGAAGATGACGTATCACAGCCGCGGACGGCGTCGTTTACAAGAAAACACCGGCAAGGTTCTTCACACGTGTGCCTCGACCCGACCCTCAGCTGCACTAAACAGAGAGCCACTTTGTAAGACAACCGGAAAGTCGGAGGGGCGCCCACCGGATGGAGGAGACGAGCCTCTTGATGCCATCTGATACTTCCTTGCTGTGGCTGGCCAGGCTCTGCCAAGCCGGGGGGTCCTTGGGGTTCAGGGCCAGGGACTTGGCCGACAGGATCAGGCTGCACGACCCGTCGATGATGGTGCGCCCCGCAGACGTGATGGGCTCCTGAGCTGCCCGGGCCTGAGCGCCAGGGTGAAGAAAAAGTCATTAAAAACTGAGCATGTTGGTAACGTTCATCTATGCACAAAGCACAGAACGGGACATCTTTCAACTAGCAATGATGAGAGAATGAAAGATGAATTCTGTGCTCTGTCCTATGCGTTTATTCTTTTGTGTGCAAATGAAGATAGAGAACAGTCTCGTTATGCAGCGCAAAGCATGAAAGCCAGAAGAACACAAGGAGAACAGGCATGAGCACATATGAAAAACATTCTAACAACAAATCAAATATGAGCGTATTCAAATAAGCTTTTCCTTAACCAAGAAACTGGTTAAGGAATTTTATGCACTCTAAATACTTTCCAGTGAAACCAATCTGAATACTATACATTAAATGCATTAGGAATTATTTAGCTCATCTGAAATAGTCTTGTTGAGAACCTTGTACAACAATAGTTTTTGTGGTCTATTGCACCGAACTCAGCTTTCTCAGAGCTGCGAACAATACATTTCTGTCCTTGGCAGCGGTTATAGACACGCCGAAGAGAATTTCAAAATAGTTCCGTTAATGAAACTTTTTCCAGAGTCCTCCTACCAATATTCCTCCACAAAGCAGGAAAAGCAAAAACTAAAGGCAACCTCGGCCATTGCGTCTACCGAAAGCTTGAAAAAGGAAAGGGGATCTGGGTTCCTTTTGCTCGAGCTTCAAAGAGCTGCCCGTCCCATGCCACCAGAAGAAAAACCTGGTCTTCGCCGTCTTGCCAAACGAGGTGGCGCAGCCATTGATTAAAGAGGACTAGACTGGTGAAAAAGCGGAAAGGAGCGAGCAGAGCGGAGGAATTACGCTCCTTCCAAGCATTCAGGGGGGGCTTTAGGAACACGCGTCTGGCTCCGTCGGGCCGCCGCCGGCCCTGAGCACCCCACCTTGTGGCTGATCCTGGCCGGCATGCCCGCAAACTCTGGTGAGCTGGCGAAGGTGGTCAGGCTGTCCACGGCCTCCACCAGGGGGCGCGTCGCGTCCCCACACCTCTGCCGGTTCACCTCGTTCGGCTCCTGGTCCAGTACCTGCAACGAGAGGCCAGGAACACTGCGTTTAAAGCAATGCTGGGACCTCCAGACCTTTCTCGCCCACGTGGGCCTCACTGCATGATGTTAATGTTACGTCACAGTGTCACGTGACGTCAGTGTCATGTGACATCATAGTGCCATGTGTTGTCATGGTGTCACGTGGCATCATGACACATGATGCCACAGTGTCGTGTGACATCATGCGATGTCAGTGTCATGGCACCAGATGACATCAGTGTCATATGGTTTCACAATGCCACCTGGCATCATGGTGTTCTGTGCCATCAGTGTCATGTGGTGTCACAATGCCACCTGGCATTGTGGTGTTCCGTGCCATCAGTGTCATGTGGTGTCACAATGCCACCAGACATCATGGGGTCACGTGACATCAGTGCTACCCAGGTGAAAATGTGAAGGGGTATTTCAAGTGGTACCTCTTGCTTTCAAGTGGTACCACTTGCAAACTAAGTGGTACCACTTGGGCTTCAAGTGGTGCCACTTGGGTTGCAAATAGTGCCACATGAGCTTTAAGTGGTACCGCTTGGTTGCAAATGACACCAGTTTCCAAAATCACACATATCACTAATAAAATAAGTGAAAGCTGTTGCTCAATCTGAAGAAAAGTTTCAGGTGTCTTAAATGCGTTTTTGCTACAAAAAGCCAAATTCAAATATTTTGACAAGATTTCACACATGTTCACAGTGTGATAGAGGTATATGCATATTGATATGCTAATTTTTGCATAAGTACAATAATCTCAAAACACGCAAGGAGAAATCTCTCGTACGAGATTCACTAAGCCATTAAAAATTTTTGTAATCTTTTCCCGCAAACAGTAATGCACTTCCTGGAGGTCTTTTCTTTGAATTGAAAAAATTTGCCACAAGGCGTTTCTTGAGCTCGAGCTCAAGAAACGCATGCAGGGCATGGCGAGTCATGAGCGCCTCGTCATCCCTTCACAGCCAGTGAGAATGAGACATTATCCGACACGACCGCCGGAGAACCAATCACAAACCAGGAAGATAACAGGTCACGCCCAGCGTTTGTTAAGCCGTCATTTGCCATGTGTATTGCATGTACCCGTGGGGAGTGTTGTGTCTTCATTGTTATGTTTTCATATATTCGGACAACTTCGTCTTCTTTCCTGCGTGTTTATTCACTTGCTTCTTCTTCATCATCATCACCATTCTTGAATAAAGAGTTTCATGAGAGCAGCACGGGTGACTGGACGTTTCTTCCCAACCCGCCTGGTCCACCGAGGACTCCACATTCTTTTGACGGAGGGATGGACGGCGGATTCAGCATCAAACTTCCTCAAGACGTTTTGTGTGAACCAGGAAAGTTGGAAATTCCCTGGGAGCGATGAATTTCGCTCTTCGAATGTTTCATGGGGGCATCTGGTGCTCACACACTGCCCTCGGAATGTCGTCGATACCTGCTGCGACAATGCCTGGGAGTGGAGAATCAACCGGTCTTCGATGCATTGCCTTCATCCCGCAGTGTTGCTGTGCCGTCGCCAGCAACGACGTCAGTGGCAGCCGCTTCTAGAACTCCCACGAGAGACGTCTACCAATTGGAGACCGCCGACACCCTCAGCGCGCACTATGAAAAGTCGTGCAATATGGACCTGGAGCGTCATCGGTTCCGCCATCGTTATCAACAACCCGAAGAACCATTGTCGAATTATTAGACTACCCTACGGGACTTCGCAGTTCCGGCCGTTGCGACACATTGGGGCACCACCATCGGCTCCTATCAAGCAGAAAAAATAATGAAGCAGACCGAACCAACCATAGTAGCCAAAAACATGGTGCCAGCGATTTGGGGTCGCGTGGGACTTGCCCGAACGACTTAGGGGGGCAAGGTGGCACTGAAGGACAAACAAACACAAAATATAGTGGTCCGCAAGGAACTGAATCCCTTCAAAGTTGGCCTTGTCATATGTTAATGAGTTCAATCTGTTCAATCATATGACTGTATCCACATGAGCTGTTATTAAATTAGTATTTTTCTGTGGTCTTTGCAGAAACAGTGCAACATTGGAGACACTAAAACAAGGTGCCTATTCAGCAAGTCATCACTAAAATGTCGACAGTCCTGTCAGAAAAGATCCAGGACTCCCGAAAAGCTCTGAGGCGCCTGGGTTGAGGATTTTTAATCTTCATCAGCTCAAGTACTTCTGCTCTACAAGCAGTCTCAACTGCAAAATAAAAGTAAGAAAGACTAACATCTGGCTTTATTTTTGTGCATCTATATGACAATGGTACCACTCGCAAGTGGTACCACTTCCTAGTGGTACCTGTTCAATAAACTACTTGCGAGTGGTACCACTTGCAAAAATTTTCACTTGGGCATGTGGTGTCACAATGCCGCCTGGCATCAAGGTGTTTCATGCCATCAGTGTCATAAATGCCACCTGGCATCAGAGAGTCATGTGACACCACAATTTCCTCACTACATTTTGAGGAGAATTATCTCGCTAAATTTTGACAGAAAACCCCATCAGGCACTATCGCACCTTTACAGCATTCAATGAAGTGTCTAAGGTAAATCATATTTTGGGGCACTGTCTTAAGCCAACCAGCACGGGTTGTCTAACATGCCCCAGCAAAGGATGGAAGATTAGTTTAGGGAACTCTGAGGCCTCTGTTGTGCACCTATAATCTTGGTTCACAATGCCTAGACAGCGATAAGAATTACAATAGAATCAGATCATTCGAATTTCATTTTATTTTACCTCCCTTTCCTTTTCTCGGATACCAAGGTCAGGCCAAGGACAATATTGACTTCACTTGGTGTTCGATTACACATCATCAAACCTGCTTTGGATTCCCAGGGCCTTGGGTAGTATGCAATGTAGCCCCATGTGTGCTACAGACACTGGGCCCATGTGCAAGGTGGTTTAAACTCGTCCACCTTGCCAGCCTCTCAGTAGCCTCCCGAGGTGGCATTCAAGTAGCTTCTCCCGCGTGGCCTGTGCGGATGACGTGTCTTGACCAGACCCAAAGCTTCCCTTAATTGGTCTTGAAAATGGCAAGAATATGGAGCCAATGCCCGGGAGTTTGCGAGCGTCCATTACTTGCTCTAGTACATTGATTTTAGATTTGGTCGGGAAGATCGACAAATAAATGGAGTGCTGGTTCACCCTGAAATTTCATCTGATTAAAGCAGGCTCGTCATAATTCAAACTCGTATATTTATACTTCTGATTAATTCAAACAAATCTTAAAATTTTGGTTGTCCCACCATGTTTTAAATGTGCTTATAAGCCGCTTCATTCAAACAGTTTTCGTGTAATTCATATTTTTTTTTGTAGGGGCGTGCAAATACCAAATAGTAGTTTTCGAATCGAATACCGAATCAAATCAAGAAAAAACCGAATATCGAATCGAATATGAAATAGTGATTTTATTTGTAGGAATTTTTCAAAGTGTGCTGCAAATGAGACTATTATATGTGCAGAGTATGTCCCTGGTGCAGAATATGCATCTTGTGCGGAACAAAAACTAAATTGTAAAAATGATCAGGCGAAAAAAAAAGCAGTTGCTGTTGGACATTGGGCATTAAAAATCCAATTTTATGGCGCAAACATAATCTATCTACTCTAAACGTCACAAAAAAACCAAAGTTGCAGCCACGCATGCCTTTTTTTTCTCGTTAAAAGCACAATTTAACACCGCGACTTTTTTAAAAATATTTGTATATTTCACAAAAGGGGCATTTTGCGATATTTGGTCTTCATTTTAAGGGGAAAAAAAAAAGGCACCCGGGATTTAATTGCACATAAATAAACAGATAGGTGTTAAATCTGAGTAAGCAGGCTTAAATAATATAATCCGAAGTAAGAAAACAAAACGCGGTTAGGTGGTGCAAGTCACCGTCCAACTGTCGCTATTGATCCATTTTTCCGTCTGTCTATCCTGCTTTAGAGAGCCTAGATTTAAAAGAGGGAGCAAGCGAAACTGAAACACTGAAACCACGGAGATGGCTCCAGCGCAGATTGGTCGTAAGTGCGCATGTGTTGTGTTGTCGCTTAGGAAGAAAGCGAGCGCGAGCAAACGTAAGAGCCTCGATGCCTGCCCGATCGACGCTTTCATCACTTTCGTCTTTTCGTCACCTCCTTGCAATTCGTCACTCAAACGCGGCTACCGAACGGTTGGAAACCCTCTCAAATCTAGGCACACTATTTTTCCGTTACGTTTCGTTCCGAATCGGAATTTGCGGCTTGCGGTTCCAAAAAAACGCCAGTGATAACTCGGCTGGTTTCATCGACGTGGTTTCAACGACGTCGTTAACGTGGTTTAACGTTAACGTGCAGTCGCCGATTTCTGTGAGTGCGGAAAGTGTATTTTACATCAACGCTTCAATTTGAAACGAGGGGCTTTACTTGTGAAAAGCATTAGGCATGGCGCGGAATTCAGGCTTCCCAACAATTCCTCTATGGAAGCGGCGCAAACGGGATGTTTCGGTTGTGATTCAAGGGTAGATTGCGTCAGGATCGTGAGTAAATCTGCGTGCTATAACGTTTGTGGCATTCGTTACTTTTCTTTTTTCTAACCTGTGCATTACATTTTTGTGGAATGCGAGAAACACCAAGAGACAGACCATGCGAGAAACACCAAGAGGTGTTTCTCGCATGGGCTGTCTAACATCTTGGCGCTTACATCGGGAGAAAAAACAGCTTCTCTGTCAGCTCCGCTCCGACCGCACGTATTTGGCCGAATATATTCAATATTCGAGTGACCGAATAGTAGGAATTCGATTCGAGAATTGAATTATTCGGGGACTTTCTATTCAATTCAAATTCGTATATTCGAGTATTCGCACACCCCTATTTTTTTGTTCTTGCGACCCCATTGAGTGTGCTTCTCCACAGTGCACCGCTGCTTGGTAAGAAGCACGCTCTACGCGGCTAAATAGAACACAATAAACAGCTTTTTTGCTGGATGAACAAACTTTGCTCTAAAAGTAAGGTTGCCATGGAAACACAATAAAAGTCTGGCATTGTTGAGGCTAGCCCAGTTATCAAAACTCCTTGCGCAAGTGTGTGGTCTCGTTTGGCGTCTCGTCTACATGCGTGCAAATGATAAGCGACCAAGACGAAGCAACCTGCTCGTGCAGCAGTGCATGACTGCAGCACATTAGGAACCAACTCATTGTCACGCAGAAACGCTAATGCAGAGTCTAGTGAATGATGAGCCTCAAAGAAATGCTATCTGCACTAATTCCAACTGCGAACAGTCATCCTCGGTGGCCTTGTGTGGATAGGGTTAATATGTAGCTCATCGCGGTGGACTACACCTGTTACAGAAATTACATGAGCTGGCCTAGTGGAAAAGAGGTGCGGAGAGCAGTTGAGCAAACAGGGTACCCGGTTGCCAGGCGAGCGCTACCTCGCAGTGGCGAGCGCACAAGATCAAGCGGACATCGCTGGCAGAGGGTCCCCACCTTGATCTCCTTGACGAGGCTGGCAGTAGCGCTGGCCACGTCCTTGGCCGACTGCACAAAGTGGCGCTTGGCCACCGGGTTCATGGTCTTGGAGGAGGCCACCCGGCAGGCGTTGCAGAGCGACGACGTGTGCTTGGCTATCACCGTGGCCGCAGACAGGATCTGGACAAGAGACCCCCTCGTCTCCTCTACTGGCACCATGCACGGTCCCGTCACTCAACGGAGGCACGGGGAAAACCTCGGATGGTTTACGACTACTTGGCATCTGTGTGGGTGACTACGCGCATGGGACACAACCTGTGGCCGAAACGGCACAGTCGAACGCAGTGATAACCAACTCTGCAACTTTCATCTCCATCCAACCTGAAGGCTACTTGCCAGCTCGAGCATTTGAGATTCATTGTTCCAATTGGCTCCCAGCAACAACTTCTAAAGCAAATGAATCGTCTCACTGCCGCAAATTGGTGTCTATTCCTTCTTTAAACCAGCTATGTATGTTTGACAAGGCAGTTTTGAAGTTGTACCCATTTTGTCCCAACTATGTACCGATGGCCGTTCGACAGTGGGGAAAAACGGTTCTTTAATTCGTGCAATCGAAACACTTAAAAAATCCGGCAGCCATTCCCTCTTGTTGAAAGCTTTGTGTTACCATACTTCCTAGCTAGCGTCAAGGGCAACTAAACAAAGACGGTAAAACCTCGTTGATATGCCTCCTTTCAGACCCTTTCAAAACTCACCTGTGGCTGGCTGCTGGTGGGGTTGGAGAGCTGCTGGCAGGCCATCTGGATGGCCTGGCTGGCCCGGGCAAAGTGGGCCAGGTCCACCAGGCCGGGCTTACCCGCCACACTTGAGGCATCTGATGCTCCCACCAGGTACGCCGCCTGTCCCCAAAGCACACAGTCACTCCAAGGCTTGTTCACTCTAGGTCTTCTCTTCTCTACTAGAGCAGCAAGGATATTCAGTTTGACAATTTCAAACCTCTCCAGTTACATGCTTGTTCCCGGTTGAGCAATCCCAAAATCAGTACTGACCCCTACGAATTTCAACACGGACTTCTGGAGGCATGCGGACCACAGTTTGAGAATATTGTATATTAGGTAGAGGTTAACTGTTAATATTAAAAACAATTGCTGGGTGATAAAAGCTTCTTTCTGCCCAACCCAGAGGGTCCAGCCACATGTATGCATCCATCCACTCATCCATCCAACCCACCTGTGCCGAAGACTCGACCAGGCCGCAGATGGCGGATGACACCTCCTTGACGCTCTCCCCGAACTGCTCGTGCTCGCTCCTCTTGGCGTGGTTGGCAATGCCCGTCATGGCGTCCCCGAGGCTCTGAAATAGAGAGCACCGTACCTCGCACCGCATCTCCGTCGTTTTCTGCTTACTATCGAGCTGATGACGTCAGGACTTTGCCTCGTCACGAATTGTCGCAGCAAAGGCGGTTGTTTTTGGACGCAACACAATCCGCCCGCGGCCCACATGCTAGTCAACGGAAGTTCAAGCTGCTGTACATTTTGATGCTGCGACACAAATGAGTAATGACATTTCTGCCTAAAGCAACCTCTATGCCCAATCGTCTGGATCGCTAATCTCAATCTTTCCCTTAGAGGCCCCTGCTGCCGAATTTCTTGCCCTTCCACGAAAACTCCAGTGCACAAAACCAGAGGATGACCTCGCCCCAGTTTTGGGCAGGGTGCAGCTGTCGAGACCCACCTGCGACTTCTCCATCACCGTGTCAAGGCAGTCGAAGTAGGTGAGGTCGTTCACCGGCTCGTTGGGCTGGTCCAGCAGGGGACGCATCATCTGCGACACGCGTGCACAGGAGGTTTGGGAATAAGCATGGATTAAGTTACAATCACACTATGATCTCAGAAGCAAAACAACTTCTGAAAAAAGTAGGTGCAATAGTGAACACCTTACACCCCTTCTGTACAAATAAGTATTTCTACTTCTGCACAAAAAAGCATTTTTCAAAACATCGTCTTTTTTTGCAGAATTTTTTTTTTTCTCCTTGGGGTAGTGTTTTTTTTTTTGTCTTGGCTTCCCTTGGATTGTTTTGTCCCCTCTGTCGTGCATAAAAAAAAAGCAAAAAATAGACGAAAACTTTTTTCAAGTACTGTCCCCAATACTGAAGGGTTGCAAAATTTTGAAACACAATTTCCTGATCACGCAGGGCATAAAATTAAATAGCTCAAAGGTTAAACAAAGGACAAGGGACAGAACATGTAGACAGGACAAGCCCTGTTCTGTCCCTTGTCCTTTGTCTAACCTTTGCGCTATTTAATTTTTATTTCATGCCAACTAGCCCACCTCAATATTTTAGTACACGCAGGGCAGTCCCACCCATGGTGAAAGAAGAGAGAGGCATCTGAACAGCGCCACCTCACTACAGAGCAAGTGCATCGAAGGATCAACTTCATTAACGACAAACGCCGTAAGATGGCGCAGCATGACAGGAGCTTGAGGAACCGTCCTTATTCACGCACACGTTTCGAAGGCCGCACGGTTGCGTGCCTCGTGCAGCGCCTTAACCTGACACTCCCCCGCTGGGAGATGCTTCAAGCCCGAGCGGAATTCAAGCCCCCTCTCTGGCCTCGTTCTGTCAAACACCTCTCTCTTCTTCCAGCTAAAGCCCCTCGATGTGTAGGTGTTTGTCTTAAGAGTAGAGTCAAGTGTGCCGAGGCTCGTGCGATCACGCGGCGCTTCGAAGCAAATGGCGGCGTAGCCCTGAAATGAGCCACCCTTGAAGCAAATGGCGGCACGGCACTTGTTTGCGGCACGTGTCACACGCGTTCGTGCAACAGTGGTTGCCAATACTTGTAAGGAATACAAAGCGTGAATTTTATAAAGGGGCACCAGTCCCACCTGTATAGCCCTGACGGCACCGTCGCACTCCTTCTGGCCCGGGGCGGCCGAGGTGCACACGTCCACCAGGTGGTTGATGCTCTCGGTAACGGCCCGAGCGGCCGCCGCCAGCTGGTTCTTGGCGTTGGGGGCCCCGGGATCCGCGGCCACCGACTTGGCGGCCACCAGCAGCTTGCTGGACACCATGGACACATTCTTCAGGCTGACCACCATCTGGGCCCGGGCCTCGGCGTCCCGCGCCTGGCCCGCCATCTCCAGGCCGCAGCCCAGCAGGGTGCCGAAGGCGCCCCCGAAGCGGCGCACCGACGAGGCCAGCTGGGCCGCGTTGCCCCTCGACGACTGCACCACGTGGCCCGTCGCCTCTTGCAGCCCCGCCGCTGCCTCTGTCAGCCCCGCCTGCAGCTCCCCGTATGGGCGCCCGCTCGACGGGAACTCCCGGGCGTTCAGGGCCTGCATACAAAGGAAAAGATGGCCGACTTAGAGGCTGCCACAACCGAAAGGAACAGCTGTGGGTAGATGTTTCTATATGTGCCAGGGAACAAGGACTAAAAAAGAAGACGCAAAGTGCACTGCTTGTCTTCACTCTAGTTCTTGTTTCCTAGTGCTTTTAGCTTTTCTATGATGCATCAACTGTATCATCTTTCCATCCTACAACAACTTTGGGTACAAGTCCTACCCGATAACCCTCATTGTCCGCTAAACCAGTCAATATGCTGAGGCTGGGCATGTTTCTACCTGTATTTAAAGTTCCCATTGTTTATGTAGCAGAAAACTGAGAATCATTTGTACTTATGGAACAGAAACTGCTACAACCGAAAGCAAGAACTTTGGAGGAAGACTAGAAATGCCAGGAAACCAGGACTAGAAAGAAGGCAAACAGTGAACTGCTTCTCTTCAATCTACTCCTTGTTTCCTAGTGCTTTTAGTTTTTTCTGCGATGTGCCAACTGTCTCGTCTTTCCATTCTACAACAACTTTAGGTAGAGGTTCCACGTGTTTTCCGCCAACCCTCTTTGTCCGCTAAACCGGCAAAAATGCTGAAAACAGGTGTTTGTACTACCTGCCCTGTATTAAAGTTCTTACTGTTTATAAAAGAAAACTGAGCATCCTTCGTGCGCTCGAAACAGAGACCGAGGCCCCATATTTTCCGTCCAGCCGCGTCTCGCAGAAGCTTTATTGGAATTGACTTGCCCAATTCGTTCAAACATCCGTAAAAGTTTTTTGACATTAGGATTGAATTTTGTTACGAAGGACCTTACCCCTGTAGCCAGTATAACAGCCTAAAAAACACAAGGTGAGTTCTTGCTTTGCGATTCATTCTTCAGTGCTCTTATTGTCTAATGCTGCAGCCCCATTGGGTGCAGCGCAATAATAGGGCTCTTGGGACTCGCCCTTCGTACCTTCACTGAGGCTGTCACTAACGAGAGAAATCTACTAGTTTACCATATTTTTCACAAAGCCCATTTTATACATTTTCAATGGGAAAAACTTTTTTTTCTACAAATTCCTGCATGGCAATTATTTTGCGGTGTTGCCGTAAGCATATGCAAATAGTGGATTTTGAGCTTGAAGCGAATTCTAAGCAAATAGTGCCTTTGGGAGAATATCTTCAAATGGAATATTGAATAGTTTCTTCCAGCCTTTCACTACTGCACCATGGTTAACGAAAAGCCAGCAGAACTCATGAAGGTTCTTCCCAAGCTTCCACTTGCCCATTTGTAAGCTAAGGTAAGTTTAATTGAACTCTTTTATGGACGGTAAACCTCAGAAAGTTCAATGCCCACATTGGGATGCCAAGTACATGATGCATTTGACATAAAGCGAGCCTATGCAAAGAGCAAGTTGTCCACTTCTTGCGCAGGGGTTGTGGTGATGTCAGAATGACGCTGAGCTCTGCTTGGCTTTGATTGAAAGAATAGTGGGTAGACCTCAATGCTAGATGCCTTGAGGTCCAGTTACTATTTTTTCAAACAGCCAATAAGAGCTCGGCATTCTGACATCATCGCAACTCCTGTGCAAAAAGCAGACAAACTTGCGCTCCGGATAGAGATGCCCACCTATATCTACTCGAGGATATTTAAAACTCTCCTTGTTAAATGCAAATATCCTTCCTTCAATCTCCAATTTCAAAAACAAAGTAGACAATCACAAATGACTAACGCAGGTTGACGGGGCATCTCTGCCTAACATTTACTCTCGCATAATAGTCACAGTTTAATTTCGAAAACCTTACTGATGTCAACATTTACAGTTTTCGTTTCATTGTAAATACTTCAAGTGCATGCCTTCACCATTCCGCTTTGAAAGTGTGCTTTTTTCCTAAGCACGCGACTGTTATACAGTCTAAGTTCATTGTAACAGACCTGACTACAACAGATATTTGGATATAACATACCGATTTGCGAAGTTTGGTTGGTTTTTCTCTACATATTATTGACTCAACTTCATATCTGCATACAACATACTCCTCTTACAACAAACCAAAATCCTGGTCAAAATCCAGGTATGTTATAACGGGGTTTGACTGTATTAGTATTTTCCTAAGATTGCGGCGGGTTTGTCCTGTTGAGAGCGCTTCTTACCAAGCACAGGTGCAATGTGGAGAAGCAGCACCAGCGGAACAGAGCTCTGAGGGTGTTGCTTCTCCACAGTGCGCCTGCGCTTGGTAAGAAGCGCGCTTAACGGGGCTAGCTTGCCATGATCAACACTGAAAAATATTAATACCGCAGTTCATCTTGAAGCGAATATCAAATAGCATATTATTCGAAACTACTATTCGAAAATTTGAATATTCGCACGACCCTACGTATCGGACATATTAAAGGCTACGTTCATGTAGGATTACTACTCCACTATCACGAACAAATGCCTTAGTTTTTGTGCCTCATTGTATTGCTGTTCCTAATGTTTTCTTTGGTGTCTCTTTACTACGTCCACTCCTGTTTAGACTCTGAAGTGTCTGCAGTACTAATAAATAAAATAAATGCTCAAGTCCCCTCTCACTGCAGTATGCACTGCGGGAAAATACCGGGAATACCGGGAATACCAGATTTAAAACAGAAGATGCAGTTGATAGCCGCCGCTAGTCACGGGAAAGAGGGGAGCCACGTACAGGTTTCTGCTTCACTTTCCCAGTTGCACACTTTGTGCATAATAGGTCCAAAGCTTTGAAGTTTTGAGCAGCACCCCTGGCGAGCAAAATAAAATATCTTTAGGTTGCGTTCGGGCTGTGCGTCACCAAGCTCGCCAACGCTGACATAAGTTTATAAAATAAAAGAACAAAAACAGAAGAAATTTAACGGAAATTATTACAGCATTTTGACAGGATGCCACAGGCAGAAGTTCCTCTGTCCTTTCGTATACCTTAAAGAATTTTCAGTACTTTTAGACACTCGTTTTGGGTTTGTGGACAGAGGGTGAAAGACATGCATGATGCAACATCAGCATGCTGCTTTCTGCCAGCATTAACCCTTCGTTGACAAGCATTGCCTCCAGGCATAAAACCACATAATTTTTGCTCGTTTAATAGTTTGTTTTCTCATATGTTTTGTCTAGTAGTCTGGCAGCAATCTTGAAGAACAAAACTACAGTGCCATCTAGTGAAAAGATACGCAAAAAGTTGACAAGAAAGAAAAACACGTTGAAGACACTTAAGACTGCTTACATGTAGGAATGCAAAGGCATTCCTACAAGCAGCGTGCCACGTTTTCTTTTTTTACACGGCGCTTCGGCGGTGACATCACGCTCCCCCACTATGCAGGTGTGGCACCCCGGCTGGCCTCACGGCTTCCGTGACGAAGCATGTGCATTGCTGTGCTTTTCTTTCTTTTATTTTTGAGGCGTGTCCGCTTTGACCTTGAGTGGCGGGTGCTTGATGACATACTTTTATAACCATCTTTTGGGCACAACGCCAATGGCGCCATTTTTTCGCGTAATGGGACATATAAGGCTTTCCCCTTAAAAGAAGTTTTGTGCAGAAATACACGGCGAACAGGAACAGCGTTTCCCCAGATTTTCGGGCAAAAAATACAGATAAATTGTATGCACAAATATTACTGACATTCCATATTGATCCGTACAGGTTATGCAAGGGAGCCAGCTCCGGACTTTTGCCTGGTGTTGCTCACAGGCAACAAAGCTTATAACCTAGAAGTTCACCTTACGATTTTTTTTTATTTCAGCTCTGTTTTTCCATTTAATCTTGGTAAACATTAATATCTTAAAAATAAATATTTTAAGCAATTTTTGTATATCCCGTTCATAAAGCGTCATATTTCGCGGATGCTATTGCTTTGAGCTTTAGCAACCCTTCTGAGGTCGCGTTTTACGAAAGCTAGTGCAGGCTACAGCACCTCTTCTGCAGTCAACATTTTGCAGACACTAGCACACACTACAGCACCTCTTTCATGGTATCATTTTGCAGACACTATACATGGTTCACCCCTACACTGGCAGTATAGTGGGAGCTATGTGCTCGCTGGACCAATCAAACACGTCCCTTCCATCACCTGGTCATGCTCTCTGCGTGTGGCCATAGGCGGGAATGTGATCACGTGGTGAAAACAAGATGCATATGCAATACTGGTACAACAAGTGCGTAGATTCCACCGCTCTGTCAACTTAGGGGTGAACAGAGTATAGCGCACGCTAAAGCACCCCTTCTGTGATCACGTTTTTTGGGAACGCTATAGTTTCTTTCCGGTCAAGAGATACAGGCCCATTCAACAAAGAAACACAAAGTTGATCACAGGGACAAGAGGGCACTCGCCTGCGAGCTGTCGGTGATGGAGCGGATGGTGTCGTCAACGTCCTTCTGACCCGGCAGGCAGTTGACGCAGGAGTTGAGAGCAGCCGACACCGACTTGGCCACATGAGCCAGCCGCTGCTGCTTGTCCGGGTCGTCCGGGCGCAGTACCGCCTGGCGCGCCTCCTCCAGCAGCTGGCAAGACCGGTCCAGCACCTCCCGGGCGTGGTCCACCAGCCGCGTCTGCAGGGCACTGTCGCTGGACGTCGCCGCCACCCCGCGCACCGCCCCCGTCAACTGCTTCAGCGCAGACGCCGTGTCACGGGCCGCTGTGCCTGTGTAGCTCTCGTTGCCCTGTCGGCGGAGAAAGGGGACCGCGCTGTTTTGTGCTGCATGCGGAAGTTCTGCACAAGTGCGGCACTGGCGGTTGGAGTAATGAGGTCTAAAAGGTTATTCTATTCAAAAGCTACCGATGAGACAGGGACTTCCAAATTAATCCCCTCCCTTCCCAAGGCTGAGGCAAAAGAAGGACAGAACACAAAGTCTCGGGAAAAACAACAGCACAAACACAGATTTACACACTCAGGAAGGGAGTAAAAATGGACAGGCACACATGACTACCATCTGGTTGTTGCAACTCGGCAGTCATCTCTGCCCATCTGTTTGTGTTCTCTCCCTAAATGTGCGAATCATACAACGAACACGCTCCTCCGTACCTTGACAAACACAATCTCTTGAGACTTTGTGTTTGTGCTGTCCCTATTTTGCCCGAGGCTCAAGGTTTTTTTTTTTAATTATGAGCAATTAACGCAAACTCGTTTGTACTCTTTTTTGTAAAGTGACCTCCCTCACTGGCGAGGGTACTCTTCATCTCCAGGCATTCGTAGTCCCTGTTATACACTGTAGATCTCCCCTGTAGCTCGGTGGGATCAACAGCCAAATGCCACCTTCAGTCCCGAGTGTCATAAAATATTTCTTTAACTCGAAGATCTCTGTATCCCACATAGAGTTACACAATACTATAATTTTGCTTCACAAGCAGAAAGCCTGCTTCCTGACCTTGACGTCAGACACCCAGTGGATGATTACGATTAGGATAGAAACGGCTCGTAGACCAGGATAGTTTCAGCACAACTCTGACCCGGATGCCATCTCTTTCTTCGGACCTCACAAACATGCGTGTGGAATGGTGTACCGGTGACGAAATCTACCAGTAGCCAGGTGGCCATGTGGATAGACATTGGCTAAAGATCCCGCGTCAGAATACCAACGGAGGTTGCCAACACGGCATATAAATTGGACGACGACTCTTCGGCCTGACGGTGTCACAGTGTCACAGGACCCACCTGGGAGGCAGCGGTGAGCAGCTGGGCCATGGAGGAACCCACGACCTTGGAGGTGGCACCCAGCTTCAGGGCACACAGGTCGCTCTGCACACGCACGCACGCAACCGCATCACGACTCTCGCCAAGCTGATTCCGTTCAAGAGCTAGATGCTTGGGCATGCTATGCTTTTAACATTCTGGCCACTACCAATAAACGCCGAAAGAGACCCTTTCTGAAATCACGAGGCAATCTTGCTCAAACTAGGGTGTGGGCGTTTGCACAAATCATATTTATGGGTTACCATATATACCAGGAGTTGCAAGAATACAGTAAATGGAAAGTTTTCTCAATTTTTTAAGTCAAACCCGTTACTAGTATTTTAAGGGCAACTCCACAAGGCCCCCGTTACATTCATTGCTGACGGCAGTAGGCAGAGTGACTCTCAGGAATCCCCAGTGAATCCTGTAGGCAGCAAAGCAGCCCTTTATCCTCGCTGCATGCCTTCCATGCGAAGCCATCGTGCGTTGAGCTTGCAAACGGGAGGGGGAGAGAGGGGAGGAAGGGGGCAGGCACTCACGTTGTCCCCGGGCAGGGGCCTGAGCTGGGACGTGAGGGCCGCCTTGCGCAGGTCCTCCAGCTCCCGGTCTAGCTCCCGGATCATCTCCAGGGCGCTGTCGATCTCCTGCTGACGCCGGCCACACGCCTCCTGGGCCTGCAGTGTGGGGCAGGGAATGCTTGGTCAGTCCTACTGCGCCCACACTACAGCCTAAAAATAAGCTATGCCTCAGAGTGACGACACATCATCCGTCTCGGTGCTTGAAATCACTGTTGCCGGTTATTGAAGCTCCGTCTGAAATTGCAGGGAACTCCATCCTCCGGAAGCGTTAAAACAGTCTGCTGCAGAGCCCGAAATTCCTGACACAGTTTCTTTATCTGGGGAAGTCGCATTTTGTAATCGTAATTATCGCTATTAGCACCTGCTTTGCACTAGGCAACAAAACGGCGGCGTCCACAACACAGTGGGAGAATGGAGCATCAATACTGTAAGCCGGGGGTTCTCAAACGTCTTTATCTGAAGCAACTCCTATCCGCCTTTAGTGGTAGTCAGGGAATCCCTTCCGGACTCTGCACCGATGCAATAAAACAATGGAGAAGCCTACCAACCTTGTAAAAAACGACGCACGTGATAGGGAGTGTTTGGCTTATACTTACACATGAATGGGTGGCTTAGATCTGCCAGAACAGGGCTTAACCCATAAAAACCTTTTATTTAGGAGCAGGAATGGTCGAAAAAAATTCAAGATTTGGGGAAACCCACGAGGGTAATCGGGGAACCCCTGGGTTCCTAGGAAGCCAGTTGGAGAACCTATGCTGTAGCTTACTCAGTGGCCCACGCCGCTTGACACCCTCACTGCTGCCCTGTCCTCAGCAGGCGGCGACACCAACAAGATAACCCGGGCGGGCACAGAAAGCTCACGCATTGGTGCAGTCACTACCGTTAGAAAACGGGGAACCGAAAACACGATGGCTTAGGTAGCCTGCCTACAACTGGCGACTCTCGCATACCCCCTGCCTCAGGCAAGCTTCCTCGTCGTGCAACCTTCTGTGCATGGCTGCCAAAGCAGCTGTCGAAAGAGTGTTTTGCCTGCACACGGACTAGAACAGTTGGGGACGGATTAAGAAATTGGTGACACATGCCCAACAAAAAGATTCACATCGATCTGCCAGCCAATCGCTTCCACTTGTTTTCACAATGCTTTAAGAACAGGCTTTGAGAAAAAACTTGTTGCAATGTACCAGCATGCACGTGGCAAGATTCTTTGCAATGCTGACTTTTCGCAACAAGTTAGCTGCTTCTTTATGATGACTTTTGTGGGGATTGCGATCCCTCAACATTCTGTCGCGTCAGCGTTTTGGCACGCCGTGGCAGCCGCACCGACATAGCAAGAGGTGGCGCTGCTTACCACTGTGAGTGGCTTCGCCCTCTCCCCCTTTGGGGCGATTTTCGTAACGAACCCCCGCAGAAAGGAGATCGACGTGTCGCTCCTTGATTGGCTACTTCACCCCCGCCGTTATTTTAAAATCAGTGAACAGCAGTATCTCGCTCTCTCTTCTTCCTGGGACTCGGCGGCGGCGACAACGGGGAACCGTCCGGCGCACCGGTGAGCGTTTACCCCCTCCTTTGTACCTTTGTGAACGACCGTTCGACCGTGGGCGATCTCCACACCGACGGCGTTCACCAGCTTATAGCCGCTGTGTTCTTGTCGATTGTTTCATTGTAAATAAACAGAGTTTATCACCGTGACCAACGTGACTGGTGTCTGTTTGCACTCAACGAGCAGCATGCCACGCGAGTACGAACCCGCTTTGTGGTAGAGTGTCTCGCCGTGAACATGGAACTCCCAAAGGCAGTGGCCCAGGAGTACCACACTTTTACTTATCAGAGTTTTGGTTGCACAGTTGCGACAGCATTTAGGTTTGTTCATAGTGTGGCCCTACCCGGGCATTTCGCACTACCCCATTCACTTTGACGTCGGCTCGTTTTCTGCTAGCCTTTGGCTGAGGTTAGGGTAAAATCATGGCAGTATCAGCTCTTATTCTATGTGATTCTGTGAAATGACGTGAAAATGCTGCTGTTATCAAAGTGGTACACTGTTGCTTTCAAAGTACAATTTGTTCATTGGCAAAATGTGACACCCTGGCCAAGTCTCATCATCGTGATCAGTCGCATGGTAAGCCAGGCAAGCAATGGTCACCTCGTTCCAATTTATGCAAAGGTGTCATAGAATGAAGTCACCGTGTCCTGTTGTCATCCACATCTCATTAAAATAAAAACAGAAGCAAAGTGATGAGGGGATCCCGCTCAAACAGTTGACATCGTGAACCAGACCATATACTATTTTCTCGACACTGGAGAGGCTCAAAGCAGGCACATAGCACTCGAGGACTGAACTCTACGTGATTGCATCACCGAATTCCTAACCTGCCACCAACTATAGCCACCACTGCTTGATGCAGGTTAATTTTGTGTGTTTTTGCTTTCGCATTGTTCCTCCCTAGCTGAAATATATTGGTCTTCTAGGCACTTGCTGGGTGCACTCGCAGTTTAATATTGATTTGTTGGCTCGCGACGCAATCCGAGTAACAAGAGTCCTGTTCCAAGGAATTTCGTTCAGACATTGTATAGTGTGCTTTTTTCTGTTCTTTTAAAACACAGAACGTGTTATATGGCTGGCACCTACCATATTTATTAGAATGGAAATCCACCTTTTTTTTTTGGGGGGGGGGGGAATGTAAAAAATTAAGGGTTGACCTACAATCATGGCTAGAGAATTTCAATCTACATTCGTGACCAAATTTCGCGACCCTACCAAGCGCATGGAGCTAACGAGTCACCGAGCCAGCGTTGCGTGGCGCCGCGCTGCTTCTTGTTTCAGAAAGCTTTTGGTGCACAAAAACAACCGAAATAGCAGCAGTTCGCGGGCCGCTGCTCGCACGCATCCCTTGGGTCTTGGGTTTTGCACCTGTCCACGGTTGCTGCCGCTCACGCACACGAAGGGGGAAGGGGGACGAAACACGCCCTGCACCAACACCTCCTAGATAACAAAGCCGTAGTCTGATAGACATGCCGCCATCAGCGAAGGCCGACGCTGGTTACAGATTGGACACGAGAGCATTAACGTTCGGCTCAAACTTGACTTGAAGCCGGGCGCTGATGCAGCACTCATTTCCAATCTGTGTCCAGCATTGGCCTTCGCTGATGAAGCAAAAATGTCAGCACCACGGCCTTGTCTTCTAGGCGGTGTTGCCCGCACCTTGCCCGCACCGCTCCCGCTCCGCTCTTCTCCGCTCCTTTCCCCCTCGTGGACGTGCAGCAAGAAAAAACGCCAGGTTTCACTTCTTGCTTACGGCGGCTCGCGGTGTTGCCATTGCTCGCAGCGGCTATAGTCAGTTACAGGTTAAGAAAAGTACTCGAATAAAAGGAGGGCTGGAGAGGAGGAAGCAAACGGAATGCTAGAAAGGAGAGACGAAAATGTCCTCCCCTCTCTAGCGTTCCCTCTGCTTCCTCTTCCCAGCCTTCCTTTCCCTCGAAACCTTTTTTAACCTGTAACTGACTATAGCGGCGGCTCAGATCGGTGCTCGCTTCATTATATTTGGTCTTTCGTCGCTTGGCCCATCTCCACCTCTTTTCGTTTTTTGTTGTCACCATTTTGCAACGGTGTCAGTAAGGTATTGCAGCGAATTCGTGAGGATGCCGACGAAGCTGACGATGCTTCCGACGACGAGGGCATGTCCGGAAGTTCTGACAGCGATTAAGTTTTTAGCATCGCGCTGTGGTTTAGCTGAGAGTGCTGTGAATAAAGGTTTGCTTCATTCTTTTGCCCAAACTTTCCCCTGCTTAAAAAAAAAAAAAAGAAAAAAAAAAAAACTCAACCTATTTTTTATTTTTTTTATTTTAGGTCGATGCCTTTATTAATATAAAGGCATCGACCTATATTCGAGTAAATACGGTAACCATATCCGGTTAGGCGTTAGCAATGGAGATTGACTGGCCAACTGCCAGCCAAACACTGACGCAGCACTCGTCTCCTCATTGATTGCACACCGACGCCAGTTGAACCTCGTCCTCGAGTGCCTCCGTGTAACTCCCAGAGAGGGCCAAACATCACATGCGTTCAGACATACAGCGGCACTCTGCTCTATGCTTCCCCAGAGAAAGAGCTTGCGAGAGAGAGCGGCAGAAAAGAAGAAAAAAGGCAGCAGACACTTGCTTTGCCGCGGGTGTTTGATTCTTTTTTCCTGAGAGCTGGCGCCAGGGCTCTGCTCGGTGCTGCCGCATTCCAATTGCCCCGTTTTCCGCATGCTCTGTCCATTATGTCTAACATTCCAATAGGTTTGGAGAAAGTTGCACTTACATTTTGCAACCGCAGAAAATGGCACCCATGAGTGAGACATTTACGGAGTGCTTACACTCTTATCTTGCACGACACAGGGCCACTACCTCATCACATTTATTTATTTATTTATTTGAATACCTACATCGCCCAAATATGGGCATTATTGTAGGGCTATCACTGCCTGCCATGCTAGTATGGTAAAGGGGCGACTTTTTCTTTGCATTGCCCTGTTATGTATTAAAAACCCTCCAGCCTGGGACCTTTGTGGGGTCTGCAGTATTGCCAAATAAGATAAATAAAGACCCCAGGTCAGCACTAATACTGCAAGGCTCAAACTGCTCCTCTTCGAAGAAGAAACAACTCACCTCATTCAATGACAGAGTCAAATCACGCCATCTGAATCTCCACACCATCCATTCGACTCGTCGAAACAGTTGACAAAGGAAATGTAGTGTACAATGTTGCATCCGTGGTTCATAATAGATAAATTTTCATCAAACAGCCTTTGGCCCTACCTTGCCCAGGGCGCTGCGCAGGTCAGCCAGGGTCAGGGAGGTCTGCTTGGCTGCGTTGCTCAGCTGCATGGCGCATGCTGGCTCCACCACTGTTGGAACACACGCCTTGGACGAGGCCACCAGCTCAGATGTCGGCTGCACACAAGAACCCCAGAGAGACTTAGCAATGGTTTGACGTCTCTTGTTACCTTTCACTGCCGACCATGTCGAAAAAAAGAAATCAACGAAGAGCTTTGGACAGGATGCAAACAAGACCATGCCACCGCACAAAATACAATCGCAGCTGGCTGCCCATAACGCTCAATGAACAAACTTTCCTTCCTTCATCCTATACCCCATTGGCCGAGACGAGTAGCCGATCCCGCAGCCTCTTCCCGTACTCGCTGTAAGTGGTAGAGGCTGGTCCTGCAGTAGAACCTTAGCCAAATTACAGCTGAGAAAACTCTTACTCATGCCACCGATTGGATGTTGCACCCTTGTACAAAAAAATGAAGATTTCTCATTGGCACCAATAAAAAAAGGCGTAAACTGTGGCACGAGAATTCGGAAGAACAAATTTGCAGGCCCTAAACGTTCAGGCTCAAACTTTGGCCTAAAAAGACGGAACACAACTGTGTAGTTTACTGGACAATCTGCAGACTTTGCAGAGGCATACGCCAGCTGCAGGCAGATATTTCTTCGACACGCAACTCAGCTGTGGCTACGAGGAGTGGGGGAGGCACAAACAGTAACAGATGCTGTCTGCCACCGAAAAGGCCATGATGCAGAACTGCCAATTAAGAACTAACCTCCCTAAACTGGCCATGCATTTGTTGTTGTTTTTTGTTGGTGGTGGCAAGTCAACCCACAGTAAGTTAACTGCACTGAGCAACGTTTTAGCAGTTTAACTGAGCATGGCTAGCAAGGTAACTGTAAAAGCTTGTAAATTTAAAGGCCACCCTTTTCAACCCTCCGTAAGTCTCTCTCTGCTTGCAACGGTCTGCATCACTGATCTCTATGTCTATTTGCTGGATCGCGTTTGACCAGCTCCGCCTATGGACGGGAATGCGGCCACGGTCGGCCATCTTTCTGGTAGATTTATATCATCTCTAGCCATCATAGCAATATGGCGGAGAGCGCAATGGCGGCAGGCTGCCATAAAATAGCCGTGGATCTAGTACACTGTACCGTAGGTGAGATTTCGTGCTTGATTGAAGTTGTTCGACGAAGCAGATTCTTAACCCGGTGTGAACAGTAGCCTCACCTTTGAGGACCCGGCGAAAGTTCTACGAAAGCGCAGCACCGGGAGAAAGCAGCGCAGCTCGCATCGAAAGCAGACTCCGTACCGGCGTCTGCTTTCAATGCTTGTTTCGATGCGACTTTCGATGCATGCTGTGCTGCTTTTCACCGATGCTGCGATTTCATGAAACTTTCACCGGGTCCTCGAAGATTGTGCTGCCGTTCACGCGTTTGGTTCCCAATTTTCTGACAGCTGTCGCTATTAATATTGAACCCCCCAGGTACCAGCTTTATGAAAATCTGGGAAAAATCTTCGCTGTCCATTATCCAGGACACTGCACCGAGCAAAAGGACACTGGCCTCTTGATTGAATGCGGTTACCCCCGGAGTTCCCTGGGCCCAGGGTTCCCACCTGTAGCATGTCCTGGCAAGAGGAGACCAGCTTGAGGTGTGCCACGGGGCTGTCTGGTTCAGCCACCGTCCCCTTGATGCCCTGCACCACCCGCGGGATCACGCTGGCCACCTCCTGCAAACAGAGCCCGGTGAGCGCCAAGGCACGCCAGGTGGTGGCACAGCAAACTTTGTTCACACAGAACTACAACAGAGCACTTAGACCATGGCCAACCTGCAACTGCACATTTTCACTGTCGACCATTCTTAAAGGAAAACTAAATTCCCCCAAAGCCCAAACAAACAAAAACAAATGTGCCGTTTTTGTTTAGAAAACATAAGGTTGGTCTGCCTTTGAGGTATGGCGACACTGGTTTACGCTCTAGATGAGAAATTTAGCCAGTGCAGTACTCCCGATAGCCTGTGGTATTGAACATGCATCAGGCAAGTACTGATACAAGACAGCACACTGACACGATGCTCATCCAGATCGAAACCATTTTCTTTTAAGTGCATGGATAAGAAATGTATGTCACAAAACAAACTTTGGTCCCAAAAATAAATTTTTTTTTTGCACAATATTTATGTGCAAGGCTCCTTTGAGTGGATCCCAAATCAAAATGAGTCTCACAGCATAAATATTGTGCTTTCTTTTCTTTTTTTATTGAAAGAAGTTTATTTGATGACATATGTGTCCTATTAAGGCGTTTAAAAATAAAAGATTTTGAAAGTGCAGTTTCCCTTTAAAAAAAAAAGTTTATTTGATGACATATGTGTCCTATTAAGGCATTTGTAAAAATAAAAGATTTTCAAAGTGCAGTTTCCCTTTAAGTGGAGAAGACTGTGAGGGGGAGGAGTCACAACCCAAAACTACAAATAAAGGTTGGGATGTGAAAGCTTAGGGCAGCTTCCGTGCTTTTTATAATTTGGATGTCAAAGTGTATAGTGTTGTGTGAATATTCAAATCTTCTAATAGTAGTTTCGAATACCCTATTCAATGTTCGCTTTGCGGTGAACTCCAATATTCATGCTCCTCAAAGTGTTGCTTGCGGCTGGTTAGCCCTGTTGAGTTCACTTCTCACAAAGCACCGATGCATTGCGGAGAAGCATTACCCACAGAGCTCCCGGCCATCGCGGGTATTGCTTCCCCACAGTGCAAAGGTGCTCGGTAAGAAGTGCAATCAATGGGGCAAACCCACCACAATCATGAAAGAGTCTATGTTAGGGGGCAATGTCTCGAGAGCTCGCATTCAACATTCACGCTTGTTTTGTTTTTATTTCATAAAATTTGAAATAGAGGAAGGAATACCTGCGTATAGCAAGCAGATTTATAGATCCTCGCAATTAGGATAACTGCGACAAGCCTGTTGTTTACATGCCACAGTTCATATAGTAGTTATATTAAAACAACTAAACTTAGAAGTGGACAAGTGGGAGGCTGGGAACAACCTTCACGAGTTCCGATGAATTTTTGTTTAACCATGATGCACAGTCGTGAAAGACTAAGAAACTATTCTATATGTGGTTACAAAATATTCTACCAAAACCACTATTCGCTTCAAATTCGCTTTGAACTTAAAATCTACTGTTTGCACACGACTCAAAACGTATGAAGACACCAAAAAACTCTGCATCAAATAGAGGAATATACACCAATTGAAATATAGGTCGACAATAGCTGTCAATAGACCAAAATGTTATTTAGTTTTGTCTTTCTAAAATTTTGACAGGGTTGCACTATCAGATCTCTTTAGTAGTCAAATACAGTAAGACTTGTTTAGAACGAAACCATGTACAGCGAATTATTGTCGATATCAAACTCATGCAAAATTTAAATAAAAATGCATGTAAAAAGTATGTTTTATAACAAACAACATATTGGCTATATAGAACTTTTTCCCCCCGGGAAAGCTTCCAAAAACGCGCTAACAGTCATCTTCTAGCCTGTCCCTTCCCCCAAAAAAGAAGTAGGAAAGAAAGAAAATTCCAAATGCTCAAGTTGCGAACACGATTAAGCGAAGAGAAGCGATTCAGAAGCTAAAAAACACACTCTGCACACACGCACAAAAAAAAAACCTTTTGATCCCAAAGCATTTGCCCACGAAGAGAAGCGATTCAGAAAGGGAGATAAGCTAAAAAAAAAAACAATGCTGCATGCATACAAAAACAAAAAATTCAGCGCGTTGTTACAAGGCGGAAGTAAAGAGATGAGAAAGAAATAGAAGCTCTCGCCTTACAACGAACTCATCGTGAAAGTTCGTAGTAAAGGCTTTTTGCTATATCAAACTACTTATTATATCGAACTGATCGTAGCGTTTCTTGCTGTTCCTTATAAACGGGTTTGACTGTAGGAGCAAAAACTATAATTCAGACAGATTACCCACAAAAATAAATTGCATAAACACAAAGATATGCACACTTTCGTCGATGTACAGATCAGCTCTAGTTCAATAAAGTTCATAAAAGGCCTTAATAGTAATAAAAAAAAATGGCTACAGCTTGTGCCCAGTAAAAAAATTCTCTGGGAATAACTTCCAGTAGCAACATTTGTATTGGTCATGGGTCAGCTTGAACTTACAGAAACAGCAAAAATAAATGCACCAGGGAATGGGACAAGAAAGGCGAGACAAACTAAGCACTGACACATTCAGGCCACTTGATGTGAATATGTCAGTGGTTCTGCCACGAATGTTGCTGCCAGCCCGAACTGGAAAAAACAAAGATTCCAGGTAAGCAAAAAAAACAAAATCGATAAAAAGATTTTCGAGGCTTTTAGCATCAGGCTTGCCAGCGAAGCAAAACGCATCAGTGCACCATAGTTACATCTACAGGATCATCCTTCACGGGATCGTCCTTCACTCTCTTGCCTCTACACCCTCCCCCATCGCTTTCCCTCTTCCAGTGTGGTATCTTTCACCCTCCCCTCCTTCACCTATATATGCAAACTTCGGGTCAATAAATGTTGTTGCTAGTTGGAAGTCTTCGTTGTCCGCTACCCCCCTTCCTATGTATCTTTTTCATGTTTAACTACTGTTACCAACACACTCGTTTTGTACTTTATCCACAAAAAGAATTTGTGTACATTGCACCATCACCATCACCACCACATATTTCTGTGTTTTTCCGCATCAAAGTTCAGTTGAAAGTACCGCTTTGTTTGTCTCGTCTTTCTTGTCCCGTTCCCTGATGTTTTTATTTTCGCAGAATGCACCAACTTGCCCATCTTTCCATTTTATTACAGAAACAGATGCAGAAAGGATGGGACAAGACAAAACAATATTGACTAACAACTTTGCTTTAGTACACTTCTTCGTGTATGTAATCATCTTCTTCAGGGGCTGTTCACATACACAGAAAAGAACTATTAGTTTTAAATAATATTTACACAAGGAAATTATTAACTTTACCATTACCCACTGAAATTCCTCCTACCAGTTATCTGGGTTTGGCATACTGCTCTTTATCTTTGGTGCGGATAGTGATGAATGAGGTGTTAGCACATTCCTCCGCGTGCTTTGCCACACCCAGATAACTGGTGGGAGAAATTTCAGCGGGTAATGGTAAATCTTACAGTGATGTGATTGGCCTAAGCCGTTTTGGAGCACCTTTTGGAGCAGCTAAAACAGTGGTATGGAGCAGCAAATGTGGCCTTTGGAGCAACCAAAACAGTGTCTTGGAGCAGCAAAAGTGGCTTTTAAAGCAAATATCCTCAGAAAAAAAAAAAAAAAAAAAAATATATATATATATATTTGTTCTAACTGCTGTACAAACGAAGGGATTTGTGTTGTGTTGTGTTCTGATGTGACGTGTTGTGACGGAACTCACCGCTGGTACTTTTACTGCTGAGACATTCCAGAAGTGTACACAATCGTGTAACCGTTGCCGAGGAATTCCAAAAAAAAAGAACACTTGTTAATGTTTTACTGGTTCCCGACGTGCCAGATAATCGTCAAAAGTAAGCAAACGTAAAATAATGGACTGCAAGCGTCCCGGCTGGTGCGTCTACCGTGCAATCATTTTCGCATGCACGTGACGGCAACTTCTGTAGGCTTGCAGTTGCGCGTGCTTCGTAGCGCGGCGGAGACAACGGCTGTTCGATCAAAATGGGAACCATGCCACTCCGCTTCGTCGCCAACTGATTCCCGAAACTGTATGCAAAATTTAACTTTCGAGCGTACGACCAAAAACAGTCCAGCGGCGCACGCTTGCCAAGCCAGCAAACAAACACGAGCTAAACACACAAAAAAAGAACCTGAGCGCATCGATGCAAGACATCGCGAGCCAGGGTCAAAAAGTTTTTGGACCGCTTTGTGCAACGACTGAATTCGAGACAAACAAGCGCGCTGTGTGGGTTCAGCGTGCAGACATTGCATTCTTTGCTTTAGCTCACTTCCCTTCACCAACTTTCTTTCACGACAGATTTTTCACGTACCGGGGTCCCTCTCGAAAGAAAGCCCACCGACAGAAACATAGGTGATCAATACTTCGACACAGCAGTCTCTGAGTTAAAGAGGGAGTTTTGAAGTAACGTATGATTCAAACAAGAACAGGAATGTTGATGAGCATGCCGCAGTACCTAGTGTCATTTTAGAAAGTGCCATGTGTGCAGCGACGTGGGGCTGTAACACCCAACGTCGCGCGACCGCGGTGACTGGAAGGCAGAGACCAAATATACTTTTCCCACGGCCGTTGCTTTCAGGAGCGAGTGCTTCAGCTCACAGAGTAACTCTCGCCGCGCAAAAATGTGTTTTCATATCACAGCATGACGGCATGGCTGGTACCCGGCACGCTAGCGTCGGAGCGTCCGCACACACCAGCGTCTATCGTTGAAAATATTTTTAGAAAAGACGCGAGACAAGACCCACGAGACGACGAGAGTGCGAAACGCGAGACGGCGGGAAAACCATGCAAGACCAGAGAGACAATTGATGCAGGGTACTTCGTGTCGGGCGGCCGCTTGCACCACATAACAGATGCATGCTCAGTTACGGTAGTCCGTTTAGTTTCGGTTTTGAAAGGTGACCGAAATTGTGTTTTTTTTTCTGTTTTTTTTGGCGCTGGCTTGGCGCAGATTACCCATATTTTGGCTAAATGTAGCAGGATGTAGCAGGGTTAGCCCATTGGCGCAGTCTGGCGCAATTGGCGCAGCAATCACATCACTGATCTTATCATTTCCTTGTGTAAATATCATTTAAAACCAATAGCTATTTTGTGTATATGTGAATAGCCTCTGAAGACGATTACACATACAAAGTGTACCTACTAAAGCAAAGTTGTTAGTGAGCTGTTTTTTTTTCTCCCGTCCTTTCTATATCTGTTTCTGTTCAAGCTGAGCCATCACCAATATGTACCAACTAGCTCAACTAAAACCTGTAAACAACATTTGAAGATTGGCAAGGTCGTAGATGTTACGAGAAAAAAGAAAAACGGTGCAAAAAGACACATAAACAAGGACAAGGCTAGGGAAATTCCCAAAGTTTACTGCATTCGGCAACACGATCCTGACATTTGCATTTGTGATAAGCCACACAATATCTTCGATATTGAATTTGCATTTACTAGTCAATCCGGCCAAGTTTGGTATAAAGTGGCTTGACGAGGGCATTGCAAGCTTTCCCACTTTGTTCTCTAATTTTGTATTTTTGAGTAAAAGTTGTGTATTCTTTCTACTTGTCCCCGTGCCTTTTCTGTGCAGATTTATTTTCGTAGGAATGACTTTTACCTGCACAGTGTGCGAGGCAAACGCACAATTTCCGGGCCTCGCTCGTTAAGCCTTAGCGCTCGTAGATGGTTGCTGCAATGATCTATCGAAGCAAAGGATGCTACAAACGCGATGAGTCGACGCATGTGTAGATGCACCACCGTGCAAAAAAGAGCCCCCGGAGGTGATGAGGACAACCGTTCCAGGACTCACCCTGCAGGTGCCCATGAGCTCGTCCTGCAGCATGGCATTGCTGTTGTAGGGGCCCGCATTCTGGGCAGCCGCAATGTTCTGCGTGGCGGCCGCAGAGGCATGCCGGGCCGCATTCTGCCGGGAAAACACGCCAGTGTTGCACTCGCGTCCAACTGCGGATATCAGCCAGTATTCGACCAGACTCCATTTCAACTTGATATGAAGCACAGATGCTACCAGAGAGTGGAGCTGTTCGAGGGCAGAGAGCGAGCCATGCAGCCTTTTGACTGGAAGTAGTGACGTGCGCAGAGCTGTACGCGGTTGTTTTTAGAGGGGAGTCAGCATGTCGGATGTTGGTTTCGATGGCTCGTAGCTCTGCCCCCGCTCCCCCCTTTTCCCTACCCTAAATTTTTACACATACGGAATTCAAGGGCGTGTCAAAACATCCCGACCCACCCCTCTGAATCTGTCACTGGATGTGCTATGTGCAGGTTATTGGATCAAACCTAAACTGAAAACTGCAATAAAGCACCATTTTTCTGCAAAACCTGTATCGAAATGTTATCATTTTTTCCATTCCAGAGAGGAGTGCAAGAATAACTTTAGCAGTTCTCAGTTCGAGGGAAAAAATAGGGCATGTAGAACATATACAAAACGAAAAGCAATGAAATAAAACTCTTTTTGAAAGTCAATCTACTCCCCTTTTCAGACACAAACCTGATGCTCTAATGGCAGCATTACACAACTTGTTCACACCAGGAAAACCGAACGACTTGGAAAGCACAGAGCAGAAAGTGGGGAATTGATTAAAAAAAACGTTGGTCTCTTTGTCACCACTTACTGATGAAGGCGAGGATGCTTGATTTAGCTGATCACGTTCTGCTACCACCTCCATTACTTCAGAAATACTAGAGCTTTCGAGACTGCCACTAGATGGCTCTTACTCTTGAGAAGGGTCTATCGCAAAATGCTAGACCAATATGGACAGCTTCTTTTACTGATGAGCAAAACGCTTTGCTGCACCGCATCAAGAAGCCGGTGAGGGCACTATACATATTTCCGGATTGAAGAGTGGCACTCCAACGAAAAGAGGAGACCAGCTGGTCATCAACCTCGACGTACCTCGAGTCGCACAACAATCTTGCGCTTGAGGGCATTGCTGGCGGCCACATTGGTCGCGTTGCGCAGCTCCTCCGCCGCCCGCCGCAGCGCCGCCTGGTTCTCCGAGTCGTGGGGGTTGCTGGCGCAGCCCTGCACAGCCCCCGCCGCCCGTGAGGCGCCATTCTCCGAGAGTGGGCACGCACCCCCCACTCACCTTGGCAGCCTCGATCATGCGTGCCGTGGCGTCTGCCAGCACCTTGGCGGCGGCCAGCAGACGCTTCTGCTGGTCCGAGTCCGGCTGGGCTTGGGCCTCTCCTTTGATAGACTGGATCAGCTGAGCAGTGGCACGTGCGAGCACCTGCACGTACGACGTAAATTTCACTTCGTGCATTCCGCTGCACTGAGGTGGAAAAACCCTTCGAGAAACTGATCAATCGACTCCCCAGACTGGCATTATGCTCAATAGAGAGTGTAATTAGGTAAACAAAATTGAATTTGGGGGTTTTATGTACTGAACCAAAGAAAGGCATCTGGCATGCAACAGCAAAAAACTGAGGAATCATTTTGACCACCCTGGAATCTTTTCATGCACACTCAAAAGCTTGGTTGCCTTCTCCGCAATAGATTTCCGTCAGATTGTGGACATCTTGGCCGGGATTCCAACCCGCTGACAGGGGATCGGTAGACTGGCACTTTGCCTCGGAGTCACCGAGGAATTTAATCACGTGAACGAACGCCACCGGAGCTCATTGGCCGTCGCATTGTCCTTTCTTGCGCCATCGTGCGCAACACTTTCTCAGCCCTGACCGGCAGCCATCGCGACACAACACTGGGGCACTTACTGTCGGCTAAGACGCGTACACGCAACAACCTTGACTTGCCTTGGCCTGGCGCACCATCTCGGGGGCGTCGCCCGTGGAGGAGAACAGCCGGTCGGTGGCGTCCAAGATGGTGTCAAGGGCCCCGTCGTGTGCCGAGGCCCGGGCCCTGCGCTCGGGGGCGCCACGCACCAGCAACAGCAGCTCCTCCAGGGCGTGGCTCACCCGGGCTGCGGCGGCACGCAGGTCGCCCAGAAGGGGCTGCTCCTGCGTCGCGTCCTGCAGGGGCCCACCATGTGTTTTCTCCGATATGCATTTCAGTGAATGAGAATGGGCTTAACGCGGCCCTTTACGTGCGATTTTGAAGACAAGGTCCTCGTTGAGGATGTCATTTTTAAAGTGATGGGAAGTATACCAGCAGCAAGTGGCCACGCTTTCCCAAGAGGTACAAAAGAACAGCGTGAGCGGGAAAAGTTTTGCGGTTCAGATTGATGTTTTGTTAAAAATAACAATGCGCAAAGAACAAAGACAAACGAAGGGAAGAGAGGTGTGTTCCTTTCCTTTGTCCTTTGTGTGCTGTTATGTTCCAACATATCATTGTACCAACTTGCCCAGCTCACCCCCCTTGTACAGTTCAGATAAGGCAGGAAAGGAAAATATTTATTCCAAGTGGAGTAAACAACCTGGTAATGATTAAAGGCCGACACACCAAATTGTGCGCATCTCGACTGAAAACTAGTCCCAGTATTTAGGTTTTCCTGTTGCTGTTTCCTTTCTGTTGGCCCTCTACATCAGAAGGATGACCATACTTCTAGCAACCTACTGAGGCTCCCGTATTTTGCCTGAAAAGTACATATTAAGAAGGCAAATAACCCGGCAATCTATCACATGATTCTAACTTGGTATCTCTTCCTACGCAAAGATTTCTAAAAAAAATATTGTAGGCAAAAGTAAGCATTTACTTTCCTCACAACCTTTAGTTTCGAAGAAGCATGGTCGCTTATTAGAATCGCATACAGACGGCAGCCAATTTTTGGGCAGTCCAGATAATCAAGCAGTCCAAAAGAATGATTTCGGTCAAGATATTGAAGTCCAGCATCACTTTCACCCAGAATCGGCTACCGGCTACTTTCTGCTTGTTCGATACTTATCGTAAAACACCCGACAAGCACCCATTCAAAATTTAGAAATAATTGCGCAAAAATGGGGGATGGGCGCTTGTCCGGCCATCAATTTTAAATATCAATATACTGTGCATATTTCCTCAGATCTTACAAATTTAGGTATGGGTGCTTAGTGTGGTATGGGCGGATGCGCGGTATTCTATGGTACACATTTGTTCTCCATTGTCGCTGAGCCACATTTGGCGAATTCCACCAGATATGTCCATTTATAACACATTAAAGGACCCATGCAAATGAAAACAGTTTTTTTTTTTTAACAGCCTAGATGGAAAAAGAGCGTCATAAAACCAATTCACAACAAAAAAATTTTTTTTTTGGAGCTATATATACGGCGTGAAACGAACTTGTAGTTGGTGCCCGATGGAGCCCGCGGAAAAGTGGCCACTATGGTCATGTGACTGGCCGCTATGAACAAGTGGTGCTTGCGCTCTTTCGGGAGCTTCATATGGGCTTTAAGAGTTACTTATCAATCCTCGTTTAAAGTACAACAAAAAAATGTAGAGCCCTTCCACTTTATGTAAAGATGGAGGACCAGTGAAGCTCTTATCTTTACAACATCTAGGACAATGCCTAGAGGGTGACGTCTAGGACGACCTCAAGAACGACTTCTTAGATAACCTCAAGCACGATGTCTAGAGTACGACGTCTAGGACGACGATGTCTAATAGAACCTAAGGGACGACTTCTATGATGACCTTGAGGACGATGCCTAGGACGATGTCTAGGACGACCTTAAAGACAATGTGTAGGACAACCTCAAGGACGACTTCTAGAATGACCTCGAGGACGACATCTAAGATGACCGCAAGGATGATTCCTAGGACGACCTCAAGGACATTGTCTAGGACAACCTCAAGGACGATGTCTAAGACGACCTCAAGGACGACGTCTAAGACAACCTCAAGGACAACTTCTAGGACTTGAAAGTAAACGTTCAGCAGCCCTCTGCCTGGAACTCGAGGAAAACTTCTAGGATGACGCCTAGAGAAATTCAGCCTTTCCCCTCTGGTGAAAACCAGAGTGGAAAGGCTGGAAAGGTTGCCGCCATCTATGAGCGACGGCGACAACCAGAGAACCGGCAAGCCGGTTGTTTCGTTGCCACCATTGCTTATTGATGGCGGTAGCTGTCCAGAGTTTTGTGTCAACATTTGTTTCCCGCAGACACAATACTGGGGAAACTAGCCCTTAACAGCTTCGCTGTGAAAATGAAGATTAATGAGAAACTTTTAGAGTGTAAAGGATGCTCCTGAAAGAGCGCAAGCACCTCGTGATAGACCTGTGCACCGGTCAGAAATTAAAGGTGGCGGCACGCCAGAGTGTTCCTTTCTGGCGGTGGCAGCGGCGTGCAGAAACGCGTTCAACTGGCAGTGCACCACGCTCAGCATGTGGAGGTGGCATGGCTTTGCGGCGGCGCACAGTTCTACCACATGACCAGGGCGGCTCCCACAGGTGCCAACTACAAATTCGCTTCGAGCCGTAAATATAGCTCTAAAAATTTCTTCTTCATTGTAAATTTGTTTTATGACAAACTTTTTACCATTTAGGCTGTTTAAAAGAACTTTTTTTCCTTTACATGTTTCCTTTAAGATGACGCTCTACCAAAAGAGACAGCTGCACTGTGAAATCTATCAGCAGAAAGCACATGTGAACTCAAATTACATAACAGCAGCCCAGAGTCGGGTCCAACTCCGATCTCCAGAGGACATCCAGTTCCCAGGAAACACTGACTAGGTGGCACAAACCACCACCCGATTTAAAGGGTGTAGCCATACGCATCCATGAATCCCTCCCACCCACCTCGCAGGTGGCGACGATGCTGTCCACGCTCTTGGCAACCTCCTTGGAGGCCTCCGTCAGCTGCTCCTGGCAACTCGGGTTCGTGATGGTCGGGGCCACAATCTGCGAGAGACCCCATGCCGTGCCACCTTTGCAGCATTCACCAGACCTTCCAGGATTGGCTCACGAGAGTGAGCTGTATTGGGTAGGCCGTTTTTACTAGCAGTAATAAAAAGAAACAAAATTAAAACTTTGCCCCGCCCACCTTGGCACAGGCCACCAGCTGCGAGGTGGCCAGGGCCCCCTGGGTGGCGGCCCCGATGACCCTGTTCTGGTGGCCCTGATCCGGGGCCGTCGAGGCCACCTTCTTGGCCTGCAGCACCAGGGCTGCCGTGGCATTGGCCACCTGCTTGGCCGCGCCCAGCAGCTGGTCCTGCAAGGAGCGGCGGCCGATCAAGACCCGCCGAGGAACCCCCGGGAGACGCCCACCTGAAGCTCTGCGTCTGCCTCGTCCTCCTCGCCGATGGTGTACAGCACCGCGTGGCTCGCCTCGCCCACCCGGCTCGCGGCGTTCAGCAGGTTCTGCCGTGGCTGCAGAGGGGGAGGGGCCTCGTCAATGCAATTGTAGTCGCTCCGTTCACTGTCACCGTCTGGTGGTGGCTCCTCCCACCGTCGGACGTCGAATGTATGTAGTAGTGCTTTGGTTTTGGTGACTGTTTCTTTCTGCTTACTCGCATGTTTCCTCCGTCACCCCCGAGGCTGTCTCCGTCGTCAGTTGTAGCCGACTGCATATGGGCTGTTCCCGGCTCACTTTGCAAAACGTTCAATACTAAGGTGCCTTGAACGTGTCTCTGACTGGTATCCATTATAGCCTCAAAGTCAGTCCATCGATTTCCAACTGACAACGTCCCTTAAGGGGGAGACATGGGTCTTTGATGCCGAAAAATTCATAATGTACATCTTTCAAGAATGAAGATTTTGAGATCTGCAGCTATTGTTTTTCTGAATCTTCCAGATTTCTCAGTTTGTGGATGAATATTTGAGCTATACATCAATTCATAATATCTCTGCGGGCTGAATGTGCATTGAAGATGAGTCTACCTAAAATAGAAAGAATAAAAACACGGAAGACTTTCACAGACAACCACACTGTGAAAGTGCTCCGTGTTTTTATTCTTTCTATTTTAAGTATTCATAATCACAACAAGCTTGCCAGTCAAGATGACTCCAAAACACTGCAGCATGGATATCTACATCTAGAAATATAACTTTTTTTGGAACATGTATGTGTGAAGTATAGGAACTGTGCGGATCTAATTCAAGCCCCGACCAGGGCGCCTCTAGCGGCAAGCAGGTCCATTGCATCGGGAAGCTTCTGCCAGTCGCTGCGTTGGTTGTGCGTTGTAGTGGGTTAGCATTGTAATTTCTGAGATGGCTATTCCGCACTAAGAAAGCCGCAACAATTGCTGCGTGGTCGGCTGCAACAGTACGTCGAATATCGCGCACAGCACGAAGTACTACATCGTCCCTTCAAAGCCGTACGAGGCAGAGTACCGCGCGACCTGGATGCGACTTGTGCGTCCATACAGGTTAGTGGCGTTTCTTACCTTCCAGTTCGCGCTTTGTTTAAGCTGCTGACGAATAATACAATTAACTTTTTTTCTATTCTAGCGACGATGGAACAGCATAGACACTGACGGCAAACTCTAAAGTATGCGGCAAACACTTTACCGGAATCGAGAAGTGAAATGTGGTCGCCCACCTAAGCCTACCTACCCTTGGATGCTTCCATCAGCCTACAGGAAGATAGTAGTGGGAATCGCGGAACGGCGTGAAAAAAATCACCCAGTTATTGTCAAGCAGATTCAGAAATAAACATACATAATTACCACAGTCCACTCAACGCCAACTACATTTTTTTTGCGGGCGCTTAATTTTGTTAGCGGAGTACTGCGCTCCGTAAAATCCACTTGCCCATCGAAACGGACCTCCACGTCGTACACGCGGCCAGATTCACGAAGGAGTTTTCCCTTCTTCATATTGGTACCACGGAAGAAGATTCCTGGATTCGTAACCGCCTTAAACCCCGTCGTCATCACTCCGGGAACACTGTCCGCTGTGCTGCTCATCGTCATTGCTTCCCCCCGATGATTCTGCACTGGCTACCGAAGAAGCTTTCCGGATTCGTAATCGCCCACTGTCCTCTGTGGCGTTCGTTGCTTTTACTTCCCGGTCATTCTGCGCCGACGGCACCGGCTACCGAAGGAACTTTCTGAATTCATAACTGCCTTAAATTCCTTCGTAATCACGACGGGGACACTGCCTACCGTGCTGTTCGTCACCGATGCTCCTGCGGCGGCTACCGCTAGGTCGCTGCGAACAACAGGCGACCGCCGCGACTTGGCCGGCTTGCTCGCTTCCTATAGAATGTTGCAAGCAGATTTTTTCAATATAGGCGTAGAAAATATTTTGAGCGACTTATCTATTTATTATTTAGTAGCCACACATTGAACACTAACTTAAATGTCCCTAATAACTGCCAAATCTTAAAATACTCCCAACGTTGCATTCTTTACACTTCGTATGTACCTAATACTGCCAAAAGCAAGGGTGTCAATGCCAAATGGAGCTGCAGAAATAGATTTCGATACCGGTTAACGTATTTACTCGCACAATGAACGCACTCGCGTACTGAACGCACCCCCCAAGTCGGCTCTCAAAATTTTGACTTTTTTTTCACTCGCATAATAAACGCACCCCCAACTCGGATGTCAAAATTTTGACCCCCCCCCCCCCCCAACGCGTTTGAAATGAACGCACTCTTCTATCCTGGTGCAGCGAGGTCGCGAATGCCTGGGCAGCGTGGGCGAACAAAATGCCTTGCAAAAGGCGTTAAAAAAATTCGAAAAGATCCAACGGAAACAAGAAAAAAGAACATGGAGAGGAGCTTTTTTTTTTGCACAGCACAGTCTGGACATTGGTTTCGCGCGCTGCCGCGCGCAAGGAGGTAAGAAAGAGAAGCGCTCTAAGCGAACGAAACAGCTTGCAAAAGGCGGCAAAAAGAAAAAAAAAACAAAAAACACGGAACTTAGAAAAAACAAAAACAAAAAGCCTTTTTTTTTTTTTTTTGCACAGCGCAGTTTGGTTACGGGGGGGGGGGGGGGGGGGGTCGGGTCGCACGTTGTGCGCAAGGAGGTAAGAAAGAGGAGCGGAGAAGCCCTCAAACGACACAGCTTGCGAAAGGCGGCAAAAAAAAAAAAAAAAAAAGAAAAAACGGAATTGAGAAAAAAAAAACAACAACAGAAAAAGAAAAGCTTTTTTCCTTTCTTTTTTTTTGACCAGCGCAGTTTGGTTACGGGGGTCGTGCGTCGTGCGCAAGCACGACGCACGACCCCCGTAACCAAACTGCGCTGCTTAGGCGAGGGCGCTGCTTAGGCGAGCCCTCGCCGAAGCAACGCCTAAGCAAACAAAACAGCTTAGAAAAGCGGCAAAAAAAAAACGAAAAAAAAAAAAACAAACCAAAAAACAAAGAAAAAAAAATTTTTTTTTTTTTTTTTTGCACAGCTTGGGGTTAAGGGGTCGGTCGCCGCGCACAAAGATATAAGAAGTTGCTTCGATGTTTCAGGATAAAAGGTCCGTTCATTATGCGAGTAAATACGGAAATACGGACGCAAAAATTTTACTTCGCGTAATGAACGCTCCCCCTAACTTTGCATCGATTTTTCGGAAAAAAAAAAGTGTGTCCATTCTGCGAGTAAATACGGTATCTAGCCATGTATGAAAGAGAATATTTTGTTGAGTCGTTTTATATATTTTCCTACTGTTCCTCCAAACATAAAGAGGCGAGTTTTATTTTATATTGAGGACTAATGTACCGATTCAGAAAGTGCTCAGATATTTAAAATCGGCTCTAAAACCCGAGCAAGCTCGTGCAGTTTTATTGGGTTTGGTCATGAAATACAGAGGAAAGCTCGAAGACCAGTGCTCCCCCTGAAGTGCCATGTCATTGTTGCCTGCCCCCATTCCGGTGGTGGCCCATCCGTAGTAGAGGATGTGGCAGATGCCCGTCCCGATGCAGAGCTGGTACGCCGCGACGACAGCGACACTCGCGTTCTCTCGCGCTTCTTGCTAGACCTTCTACAACCAACCGCCAGCATCACAACATCCGACAACACGATGCTCCAGCTTTTGCGACGTCATTGGTTGCGACGTCGGGAGCGCTTTCGACGTATCCGAAGAATAGGACGCTAAATGCACCTGTCAGAGATGCATTCTGGGTACCGAACTATTGGTAACCGGGGCTTCCCGCTCGATTGGCAGCCAAACACCAAGGCGACCAAGCGCAGTCGATTCGGTCGGCTGAACGTCGCCTCACCCACCTCCTTGTTCTGGGGTTCTGCAGCCCGCAGGAGGTCCGAGAAGGCGTTGCAGAGGCGGCGTGCCGCGTCCAGCAGCTTGTCCCCAGAGTCCTCGTCGTCCATCAGGGCAGCTATCATCTTCACGTCCTTGGACATTTCGGGCAGGTTGCTCGCTCTGCGTTCGACGGAGGGAGAGACGCGTGAGGGCTCAGCCCTCCTGACGCTTCGGGGCTGACGAGGGTGTGGCGTTGCACTCACATGGTGGTGATGGCTGCCCCAACAGCCGGCTGGTCAACCTCCTCCGGCGGGCCTGCAGTGGACGAGCGCATTAACATCACCAAATGGGCAACGAAAGGGAGCCGTCCGTACGATACAAGAAGGTCGGCTCAAACGTTAGACAAACGCAAAGAGGGGGAACGAAGAGTCCTTTTGCTAGAAAACGTACAGTGCAATCCACATTTAAAATGATACCACATATAACGATGTACTGCTTGTAACGATCAGTTTCTAAAACTTTTAGACTAAAAACGCTCAGTTTCTAGTTCAGATACAACGATAATCAGTTATAACGATTGAATTTTCGGGTTTTCTCATTATTGTTATAAGTGGATTGGACAGTATGTCTGTGCCCGTCTAAATATGCGCCCTGAGCTGCCGTTCTCAGAGAGGCCAAGAGCAAGAACTACAGCAGTTTTCGGGTTACTGTCTGCAAACATTACAGATTATTGTGAAATGTTCTTTGGCTACGTCGCGCATTTCATTAAGCCCAAAAGTGAAACCTGGCTCGACACCGATTGGTTTAGAGTGGGGGGAAGAGGCCATCACGGTAAAAAAGAGTTTTTATCAGACAAGAGTCGAACCAAGACTCTCGTATTTATTTGAATATAAGACTACCTTTTTTCTTTTCGGAAATGTTGTAAAAAATTAAGGGTCGACCTATAATCGTGACCAGAGAATTTTGATGTACATTCGTGATCGAATTTTGCGACTCTACTGAGCACATGGAGCTATCGAATCACCAAGCCAGCGTTGTCATAGCGCTGCGCAGTTTCTTGTTTCGGAAAGCTCTTGCCGCACGAAAGGACCAAAACAGCAGCAGCTGGCGGCCCGTCGTGGCCGCTGCTTGCGCGCATCGTTCGGGCGTTGTGTTTCACCCCTATCCGCGGCCAGCACAGATGGCCGCGGATTGGGGTGAAACGCGACGTGCCCAAGGGCCCAACCACATGGCCGAACAGCCCAACACGGGCCATACTTGGCCACAGACCTTGCTATCTCCCCTTCCCTCCCTCCCTCCCTCCTCCCTCTCCACCTCCTCCTCCTCCTCCTCTCGGGGATAAGCAGCAAAACATAATACAGAGGTTACTTTCCTCGCAGTGTTGCTTGCGTCTTTGTATTTGTCCTTTAGTCGCTTCGCCCGTCTCCACTCTCTTTTGTTTCTTGTCGCGCCACTTTGCGACGGTGTCAGTGAAGTATTGTTGCCAGTTAGACAGTCAATGCGATTAGTCAATGCAAAAATAGGAGACTTTCAATGCGTTGCTTTCGCCCTCAATGACCAAGTAATGCGCAAGGTAGTTAGGCCGGAATGGATTGTGAGGCAGAAGCTTGATCTTGATGAGAAAGACATTCACTGCCTAAGGTTAGCAAATTATTTCTATAGGCCAATAGGCAATTTGCAGGTTCGGGTTTGCAATTTGCAAGTCCTGCTCCAGTTATCGAGCAAACTCTAGGGCGGAAGGCGGATGCGTGGGCACCCACCCGACGTAAGGGTGACCACTTGAGCAGTGGCGGCGTTCATGGCGGCGATCTGGGAGGTCAGGTTCTGTTTGTGGGTGTCCAGGCTCTGCTGCTTCCACTGCAGCGAGGCCGGGTCGCTGCCCAGTTGGGGACGCTGCTCCGGGAGGTCCAGCTCTCGCAGCGAGGCCTGCACGGCCTCCCGTCCCGCGTCCAGGCTGCTCAGCAGCGCCCTCTGGGGCTCTGACGGGAGCTCCCGCACGTGCGGCTGCTGCGGGGGCTGAGAGGCGAGAGGCCGTCACTCCAAGCTCGGCCAACCGTCTAGTCGATCGGGCGTACCACCTGGCACGCTGATCTGCATCTGTACCCCACGCGGGGCTTGGTCTCGGATTAACGACACCTACCAAAAACTGGACTTCTCGGTCGGGACTGATACGTCAGCTGCATTTCAAAGCTCTTCTCCTCGTTAGTAAGCCAACCCCGAGGCATCCCCTCAAAGGCTCGAGTGCCGTGTACCAGCCACTCGAGTGAAAGGAAGGAAGCTGACTTGCGAGCCCATTCCGAAATGGTGAGGCGGATATTGCGAAGAGAAAGGCACGTCGGGAGACGGGTGTAGTACGAGTTTGACGAGCTGACTGAGGTTTGTGGCATTCAGGCTGCCTCTATGAGCCATACTTCCAAGGTCCTTCCAAGTGCTCGTGAAACTACTCTAGAGATTATCTCGCATCTTCCGTCCAAATTGCCCAGAAAGCTGAAGCAACCCAAGTGGTGCTAGACCAGGCCCTCAAGTTTCGGCATCTTTTTATCGCTGATGATTTATCTATGGACTATTTCATCTCGAAACAAGTAGGGTCTAAAGTTTAATTTTGACAAGCAAAATACATGTTCTGGGGGCAGCTCTGAAATGAAAGAGGGCACCAACGGCAAGTTTGAGAGATTTTTCATTTTTTAGGTTACAAACCACTAAAGCTGCCGAGGTGAAAACTGATATATTCCCTGCCTGTCATGAATTTTTCTTTCTGACTGGCTTAAATTACCGTGTCTAAAACTTTTTAGATGCTCTCAATAATAGGGATTATTATGCTCAAAGTAAAAAAATTTTCTACCAGCTTTGAAAGTCAAGCCTTCCTGTATAATACATTTCCTTCAGCAGTCCAGTAAAAAAAATATCAGCAAGATCCCGCTGTACAAGATCAAATGGTAGCCTGCTTCCCACTCCCACCCAATCATCTAGCCGAGCAGACCCTTAGTAACAGCAAAGAATGTGCCAGCCTACTTGGGATGCCAACGAGCATCCAACAGCTGCAGGCCGGTCCTCACCTGGAGAGTCCTCTGGCAGCGTGAAGGGGGAGAAAGATAGCACTCAGGAACAATGCCCCACACTAGTGACCACTAGCAGCCGTAAGTGACAAGACCGCATAAAACCAATGTGTCACCGGAGATAAACTACCTATGCCCGAAGAGGACTGCAGTTGGAAAAACTCTCTCTTTTTCAGACGTTAACTTCTCAAGCATTGGCAAACAGTGTTTCACCATTCGTGCCACAGCCTACTTTTTTTGTGCCAAATATATAGACAAGGTGCAGTTCTTGACTCCAATGGCCTAACTACTAATGCAATCATCGGAGTGGTTCAAAATCGTGCTGTCCGCTTTATTCTTTTAAACTACTCCCATTTTCAAGTGCTACTGCAATGAAATCACAACTAACCCTTCCCAATCTCTCCTCTCATCAAAAAAAAACTTCCCGGCTTTGCCGTCCTCATAAAGTTTATTATTCTGCAACTTTAGAAAAGTCCCTTTTTAGCCCGCCCAGTTATATTTCAGCAAGACTCGACCACACATGCAAGATTTCCCGGCCTAAGACTACCTATACAGCATTCTAGTGAAAAACCCGAGACTGAGGTAATGACAGACGACGACAAGAAAGAGAAGGAGAACGGCTCAATGTTTTCCTTCTCTTCCTTGTCCTAGTCTGACATTATCTCAGTCTCGGTTTTTTCACTAAATGTTTAATATACACCAGCTCACCTGCACTTTTGCGTTCTGCTCATTAAAACAGCATTCCAACATTCTCTCTGACCCACTACCACTGTGGATGATAGCATCGTCACCATCACCGATAGCACCAAGTTTGGCCTCGCACTAACCACCCACTCCCTTCTGCAATGCTCCTCAGGGCCCGGAGGGTATTTGTAAATAAATAAATAAATAAATAAATAACTAAGCAGTACACAGTGGGCTCGCGATGATTCAAACTCAAATATTTTATACTTGTGGTTAATTCAAACAAATTTCAAAATTTTGGTTGTCCCGCTGCGTTTTTAAAATACTCATAAGCCGCTTAATTCAAACGGCGTCTTCGTGAAATGCATACTTTTTGCTCTCGCAACCCCATTTAGTGTGCTTCTTTCCGAGCACCGGTGCGCTGCAGAGAGGCCACACTCACGGAGCTTGCTTCCGCGGGTGTTGCTTCTCTGCAGTGCTACGGTGCTCGGTGAGAAGTGCTCTCAACGGGGCACGGGCAGGCACACATGAACGGATACGACGTGAAAATTTCCACGGCAACTTGCGCAAATGCTGTGACATGGCGGCATTGCATAGGTCGACGTCACAGTGTCCGCACAAGTTGCTATGCAAAATGTTGCACGGTGCCCATTTGCATCGCTCATGTGTCCCCGGCTTCATAGTCCACATCAGACAACTTCTTGACCTGATGAACAAACTTAATTTTGTTTTGAGTTGTCATGTGCTGTCTAAGGAGTCCACAATAAACAACAATTTTGAAAGATAAAATTATGTCATACATTTCACAAATGTTCCATGAGTGGCATACCCTGCTTATCATCAGCAGGCCTATGTAGAGGAAATCATCAAATATCTGCTTTGCATGCATAGCCATCCATATGGCAAATCATTATTTTATTTTGTATCATATTTAGATGAATTTCTGATAATTTAAACAAAATTTGTGGCGTACTAGAGTTTGAATTATTGAGGTTGACTGTAAAACGTGCCTTTTTTTGCCACAAAATTAGGTTCTACTGGGAAATGGTGTATGAACTGGACGTTTTCCCATACAAAAAGAATGGGCATTTCAAAGCTACTCTGATTAATACGAGCCAAAAGCCTTCAATTCGGTAATGACAGACTTTTCTTACAAGCTCGAATCAGTGAAACAAAATGCATTGGTCGGCACTATTTTTCCAGCAACTAATAAACACTCCATTTTTTAGGGCACACACCTGTCTTAAGTAATACTGACACAAATTCTTCATCCAGTATTGACTCATGCCTTCCAACTAAAGGGGTCAGCGAGGATGCAGACAAAGTTGAATCGACATTCCCATCAGGCGACAGCCACGGATGTGCTGCTCCCAGACAACACCTAGCACGAAATGGAGTGCCCGTCCGTCTGCTCACCACGGCTGCTGTGTGCGCAGAGATGGCCTGGCCGGTCTCCGTCTGCTGTTGCGGGGAAGGCATGTGGCCCTGGACACCCAGCTGGGGCCCTGCAACCAGAGGCCACATCACCTCCCCGGCCTCGCCCGTGTCGTATTCATGGTCTCGGCACACAAAAATGCCGTTGCATTGCAGGAAGGAAAATGGTTGATTGTCACGTGACAGGCTATTAAGAAAACTTTTACAACCCAATTTGGCCAGTACTGATTGCTCTCCTGTAGCATCGCCTGCAAGACAAACTATGACGCAGCAAAATCGCCTATTAAGGTGAACCTGCACTCACTAATATAGCTAATTTTATTTTGGTCGCCTTGTAAACAGCATCCTGTCCTAATAGAGGTTTCTGCTGCTTTTACCATCAGGGTGTATGCACTGTCGGGGACGTTATGGTTCCTTTAGATTTCTGTATGGTTATGAAGGATTACCCTTTTTCTGCCTGTAGTTACATCATGCCGAGGCAGCTGGTCAACTGGCATTCTGCATTCAGCTGACAAATACTGTAGGAGACTGTCTGTATTCAATGGGATGTGTGTTCCATCTCTAATGGTACATTTACACCTGAAAAGAAATCTGCCGCCGTGGGAGCGGATTTGCTCCCGGCGGCGGCGGCGATGAGCTGGTTGTGTTTACATCTATTTCCTTCGAGCAGTGGCGGCAGCATCGGCTGCGGCAGCGGTTCCCGTAACGTCTCGTCAAATATGACGAGAAGGCGCGAGAGTTCCTGCCTCGACTCTCTCTCTCCCGGGCGTTGCTGCTCCTGAAAGAACGTCTACTCGTGACATAAGCAGCGTCGCACCGCGCAAGAATGCCACTTCCGGTCAGCGAAACGCCTCATTCGGCGGCAGAAATATGTCCTGGACCAAAAGGGCTCGCCGCCGCGTTTTTCGCCCAGCGTTTCGCCCCAGCGGTGAAAGCTGGGCGGAGTCGCTAGCGGATCCGCAAGTGTAAACGTACCATAAGTGGTGCATGTCTAATGGCCTTGTTCTGAACAACTCGAAAACAAGTTATTTCACGCAGTAGAGAATGTGACATTATGCACTTCTGCTACACTTTAGATACTAGTTTTTACTCATGTGTCTGCTTTGGGACTTGGCTGTTTACATAGATACTGAGATTTCTTTTAATCATCAGGTTGCACGTGCTGTGATTCCGTCTCTACATGTCTTAGGTGTCACATAACGCAGATATCTAATAACTTTAGGAAGCCACTTTGTTTTCTCATATCCTTTCGTTCCCTTGCACGAAGCCAAGTTGAGCTTGCCTCAATCGTGTGGAACACCATTGGAGTGACCAAATCATCTAGTATTGAGCACATCCAAAGAAAATTTGTAAGTGTGTTTTATGATCGCCATTTACAACCCAGTGTATTTTACGAATATAATAGAATTTGTAATCTGACTGGCTTAAAATCTAGACAAATGATTTGGGACTTTATGTTCTTGTACAAGGTTGTAAATGGTTGTCTAGACTCACCAGCGCTACTGAACTGTGTACGTTTTAGAGTTCCTCAAAGGGTAAGCTGTGTTCCCTTCTTATTTTATCCTTTTCCTTAGTACAAAACTGATCCCATAACCCATTTGCAACTGATTTTCAACAAAATTGAATCTACCTCAGGCAATCTTCATATTGATGTTTTTGGACCCGAAGGAAAATTTTGACAGTGCATTGATGTTTTTCTTTCGTCCTGATATGCAGACCCTTGTTTTGTGAATTGGATGCAATCTTTTTTTAGTGCACCACTAAAAAGGCCTAGAGTTGTTTGTGCAGCACCCAAAATAAAGCAAATAAATAGTAGATGAAGATGTTCACTTGGTTTACCTTCTACTACTTTAAATGCAGTAGTGTTGTTAAAAGTAAACCTCTCAGGAGGAGAACTCTGAGATAAAAGAAATAAATTAAATAAGACTAGCATTTAGTGAGCTCCAAAACTGCGTGCCTGTTTTCAGTAGAGTTCTAATTAGAGCAAGCCCAGATGACCAAAGCCAATTTGGAAGGCCCATGCAGCTTCCTCCAAAAGAGGTGGTGCCTTCAAACAAGCCACCAAGAGGGCAGTAGCTGTTTTTCTTTTCTTCTCCTAAAGTTCAATAATCTGCCAGTTGTTCGGCTCACTCAAAAGCGGTCTTCACAATTGTGAAGCATTTTACGTACATATCTACGTTCATCCCACTTGAAGATTCACTCAAAATCGCTCTTAGAACAGTAACTAAGCCACAGTTACAGCCATCTTTGCTGGCACAGTGCAGACATTATCTAAAACACACATTACCTCAAAGAGCTGTGGGAAGGTAAAGCCCAAACGCTTCAGCTCCCACAAAAAAAAAAAGAAAAAGAAAAAGAAAGAAAGAAAACCTTAAGAACCTTACCCTGTGCTCCGGGCCGCACCACGGCTGGGAGGGCCACCGAACCCGTGCTCGGGAGCGAGGGCTTGGCCGCTGGTGTGTGCTGCAGGATCGTGGCCCTGGGCACGGCACGAGGTCGAGAGAGTCACACACCCAGGTGGGCCCCATGGGTACACTTCTTGACCACCTCTCTCCGTCCGGCGAAACCGCAAAACCATTTATAATTTTGACTCGAGGCTGCCCAAAACCGACCTCTATTGAGTGCATAGTGAATCTGCGATGCTGGCTGATCCTGCACTTTTTCAACCTAGCTTTTGTGGAACAATCTAAAAAGGGACTGTTAATGCTTTCTCTCTCAGCTGTACTCGGAAAGGGACGCAAAATATGCGCTATGAAACAGGCGGCTCACTAGGTGTTGAATACGAGGTGCGGACTATGCAGGAGGCATTTGCATTCCCTATTACAGTTGAACCTCAGCCTAGTGGAATAGCAGTTTGAGCCAAAGGCTTTGTTAAATCGCAAATTTAAATAAATATTTTAGAGGTAATATTTGTCTCCCAAGTTCCAAAACCTATCCTATAAATTGTAATGTTGACCCTGAAACTCGGAAAGAAGCTTGAAGACAGAGTAGAAGAGAAAGAACTGAAGTGCTCGCGTCCGATCTGTTACCCGCATTGGCCTTCTTTAGGCGATGCCAAAAATTTGCCACTATGGCTTTGATATCTAGGCAGAGTTGGTAGCGTGAAAAGCAGTTGCTTGCAGGGGTCGCTTACTTGGCAGGAGACACGCTGTCTTCCACCATGGTGGAACCCTCGTCCCCGTCAATGCCAAAGTGGTCCTTGGCCTTTTTCTGCCGAAGGAGAAAGAGACCATGAAGATTTTCAAGAAGGCCCGGCCGTCCCTCCGCAGACCTTCTTGAGGATGATGTCGATGTAGCCCGCAATCAGCTGCGAGATCTGCTCCCCTTCCGTCGTCTGGACCGAGTAGTAGGACTCCGAGTAGTCCCCGAAGTCCTGGGTGGGGACGAGAGGGCAGTGAGTCAGGGGCCAGGGGAGGATGGGTGGAGGGAGCCACTCACCAGGGTGAAACTGTTGGGGGATGCCGCCCAGCGACGCACTGTCGTCAGGGGCCACACCTTCATGATCTGCGAAAATAATGCTTGGGGTCACGCCACATTCCCTTCTGAAAGCCTGTTCCCACCGCTACACCCCACGTTCCTAGCCGACCTTCAAGCTCTTTCCCTGCATGGGTAACGTCGAGGCATGGGCACACCTCGACGTTGCCCACACGGGTAAAGAGCTTGAAGGTCGGCTAAGAACGCCACAATCCTAAATTATATGGAAGCTCGCTTTATTTAAAATAACAAAAAAACACAATTTCTGTAATTTGTTTCACTGATCTGCAAGGGAAAAACTTAATTTTTTAAAATTAAACCAAAGCCTACTTGAAACGTTTCCGTTTTATACATTTTCCCGGATGTTACATTAACAAGCCCCCGACAAGGTGTCCGTGAATGTTAGATGTATTAATTTTCCTTACATTTTCTCGACGTACATCAATTTCCCGTTTGTTGCGTTCACCTTCCCGGCTTCTACTCGCAAAGAGTGCCATTCGAAGCGGCCGACTCAACAGGGTGGGTGCCTGTCTATTAGAATAAGGGATACGTTAGGACTGCAGAAACATGGCATTCTATGTCGTTCTCTGCTATTGGCATGTCAATGAGTCTTAATGCAAACCTGCATTCTAAAAGAAGCCAAATCAAATTTTGCACGCATGTGAGGTATGCTACGGTAGAGTGTAAAAAAAACATCAGAAGTGGGGAGGGGAAAGCTGCCCTTTCCACATTTGCACCCGTTGCTCTCTATGCTCTCCTCTGACCACACAAAGCTTTCACCACAATCGTGTTGCAAGAAAGAAAACCTAGGAGAGGACAATGAGGCAACACTTTGTAAAGGCGCGGTGGCACGTGCCAAGAGGGCACACTGCTCTCCGAACTTCTCATTAAGTGCAATTCTGCGTACGATGGTTTTGTCAATACACAGACAGAAACGCAGCTTGAAACTTTTTTCTCCAGGTCTCGCTTCGAGGCAGGCACCCACCTCCTTGGTGCGCTCATCGAGACGCATCACGCTGTCCTTGGTGACTCCCAGCAGCCGGGGGACCAGCTTGTTCTTGCCCTTCATCTTCTCCTGCAGAAAGAGTGTATTGCCATCCGGTGCTCCATGGGTCTTCGACAGTTCTGTCAGTAAATTGTTATGTGCATCTTTCACAAAAGCAAAAAAAGCTTGCTACAGAAGCTCAGGGTGCTGACTTTCAGGTCTGCAGAAGGATTCTTGAAGGAGTACTCTCCAAACAATATATAGGTACAAACACAAATTAATATAATTGACAGAGTTCAGTCCCCAGCCCTCCTATTTTACGTACCAGCTGCAAGCGATTCAGAAAAGTTCCAAAGGAGCCCAAAAGTAGCCGATACACAGGTGGCCACTGCCACAAAAGAATACTCGAGATCCAGGTGAGGAGACACGTCTTTGCACTGGCACTTCTGCTCGTTTGCAGGTTCACGAAATGCAAGATCCCAGCTCATCATATATTGATAAGCGAAGCAGGGGCCTAGCATATATATCGGTGATTTGATCAGTCCAAGGTGCTTTGAACACTTTTTGGAGCAGCTAAAAATTCATTTTGGAGCAGCAAATCAAACTTTTGGAGCATAAGTTTACACTGCAGTTTCATTCCTACCACTGCAAATATTTATATATTAAGATGAATGTGTTGGCCTGTCCATGAAGAGACATTGTCTGCTTCTCTGGGGTTTGCCCAGGCAGGCTCTGAGACTCTTGGCTCTGCCGCCACTACTCCCTCCTCTTACCGGCAATCTAGCCGCTGCGTGCGCTGTGCCGCCACAGAGAGGGCTTCTCTAGTGGCTTTTTTTGGAACTACGCCGCGCGAGAGCCAATGAGAGCCTCGTTCCCTGATGACGCGCACCAGCCAATAGGACCATAATCCATCAGAAATCGGCTTCGCTTGGGAAAGGGGATTTCAGGTGCTGTTTGGCCAACGTTTGGCGTGGTTTGAAAGCTGATGATGTCGGTTTTCTCCGTGGGACAGTTAATGCTTTTGCATTAAGAAAAGGAGCCGACAGTGCTTCTGTGGCTGACATGACAGTATGTTCACTGCATCATTCGTGTATGCCTCGAGACACATCACTTCCATGACCAACTTTTTGTGATATCGACTCGCAACCTTGGAACACCTTTCAAGCGCGGAGAAAGACATAGTTCTATGTAAAACAAAAATGGGGTATTCTGAAAAAATAAGCTTGATCGGAGCGTGGGGCTAGTGGTCCTGAGGAGAGGCCTCCCCCGTTTCCTTTCAAATCTCAAACTATTGACAAAAGTGGGTTCACCGTCTATCTCAGCAAGTTTTGTCCAGGACAACGGATCGTTGGGTCACGACCAAAGCCACGTTTCTAGTTTTCAGTCTGGAGTTCTTAGAAGGTGGGGTTGTGTTTTTATAATGCTGTAAGCTATGATTGCAGGATGGAAAGGGGCAGCCAAAGGCTCCATCTCACCACCACACCTTGTCTAGCCGCAAAGTGGAGCAGTGAAATAGAAGGAAACAAGCATTACGGACATTACATCAAGGATATGAGTTGTTTTAAATTAGCATTATTCATTAAAGCAACATTTCTTTGCAAGTTTTCTTTTGGGGCTGTTAGTACTATTACCAATGATGGCAATGGTGCGAATGCCCAATCCAGCTCAAGAAGTATAATTTGCTGCAGCCAAGTTCTTATTAATTTAGAGCAGGTTTGTGTCTGGATAATATTTGTTTTTATATTTGATCTTGAAAAATTAAGCACATTGCAAAAATGAACTTTTGATGTCGGAGAATCGGGAATCTATCACTCCAATAAACTCCAAATTTTCGGCAAAAAATAAACTCTGAAAAACGCCCTCAGAATTTTACGAGAAATAAACTCTTAAAATATGGAACCCAAATTATAACATATCCATATCACTCAATAAATATTGAATAGATAGCACTGATATTTACACTTAAGATTGCAAATTACTGTACCTACGTTTTCCATAATATGTATTATTTTACGTAAACCGTTTAGCTGATGTATTTTCTGTATATATGTTACTCTGATTTTTTTTTTGTTTATCTTTCGCAAAAGATTAGCTCTTTTATCCATGGCTCCAGCTTCTGTAATCTTCATGGAAACGCAAATAAATTTATTAGATTTGATTGAGAACAGAAAGGCATGCAGTACCCAAAGCAAGCCCGAGAGATGCCTTACCTTGACGAGGAAGAAAGTGACGCCGTACGTCTTGAGGGATCGTGCTAGGGCCACGTACTTGACCTTGGCATCCAGCTCGGAGGTGCCAATGGCTTTGCGGTGCTCCTGGGGGTGGCGAGGGGCACACGTTCGACAAAGTCCAACAATTTTCGGAGCCAAGCAATGCAGCGTCCAAGCGGGACTCACCGCAAACACCTTCTTCTCAATGCCCTTGATCTTGGCATAGTCCTTGGGCAGGAACTCTTTGAGGCTGCACACATGAATACGGCGCTGACACGTAACCATTGGAGCAAGCCATGAGCTCAAGATGCAGAGGACTGCAAAGCTCAAGCCTACGACAAGCCTGAGCAGCACGAGACGACCGAGCCAACAATTCTCCATTAAATTTGAGAAGGGACAGCGAAGCATAGGCTCAAGCACTCGCACACCCGAAAGACCGAATAGTGCCTTCTAGCTAAAGGCCTTCGTCCTCACCAGCTCCTTTGACACTTTCGTGCCAGGTGAACAAGGGCCAGACAAACTATTAAACCACGAGCATATAACTGATGATAAAGCTCATAAAAAGCCTACAATTACAGCTGGTATCCTAATACAAAGAAATGCACCTCCTCGTGGCTTGTGATCAGTCTGGCCACTCCTGGCCGTTTCATAAGTACAAATGACTTCTTTGATCACCTGCACTGCAATAGTGCAGCAAGATGCCACTAGCTGCTGGTGCGAATACCGTGAAATACTGGGGAAGTACCCACCCCACTTTCACCGAAAAATGGGTGAATCTAGACATGGGCACTTGTCCAGTCAAATCTGTAGAAACCAAGATGGCGGCCAATGAAGAGCTTTGATGGCAGGGTAAAGAGAATCGAAGAAAGAACATTGTATTTATACAATATCCCCGCCATCGCCACTGGAGGTCTTGTGGCCGCTGCAACAAGGTAAATGCTTTCGACTGACGCTGGCACACTGGAAGTAGTGGGCACTTAATGAATACTTTGCAGAATTTCCGAGCCTGGAAAATGTTAATAGTGGGCGATTGTACGAAATCGGTGCTTCCATACTATTTTACGGTATGTGTAATTGTAAACCTTCAGTAAGAATGATTACCTAGGACATGAACAGACTAGAGATAAAAACTTTCCCTGTGGCTGGGGGCCTGTTGAAGTAAGAAAGCAGCACTGACAGATGTTCAAGGGGGCACACGACCAGACTCATTGGTCTGTCCAGCACCTCACAGTTTTTTCGCAACGGTAACAATACAGTAGCCTGCAACTCAGTTTTGTGCCTCAGCAAGAAACAGGCTTAGCAAAATACTGGGTCATCCATTTTTAACTCAATCTAGGTTGTTGTATGTGTATTGGTCTTCAAGAAATGGTTTGCCAGTTTACTGTATATTTGTATTTATAAAATATTCCGACGCAAATATGAAACAAACTAATTTACATAATTCATAGGGGTATGCAAATATTCAAAATTTAAAATATAAATCGGGTATCATAAATTTAATAATCATATTCAATTCGTAAACTAAGTCTTCGGTATTCTGGAATATTCGACATGCTACAAATATTCGAAAGTAACCAAATATTTGAGATTCCATTTGAAAGCATTATAGTTTTTCTTTCGGTTTTGGTGAGAAAGGGTAATCTAAAGCAACATAGCAGACATAGTAGCAACTTCGTGCCTAGACCGTCCTATGGGCGATGTGGTAGTGGTAATCTGTGGCTCTGTTTAAAGTTCTTTCCCGACTATTTAACTTATGATTAAACTGATGCAACGATTATACAAGCGTGCATCCGGATTTGTGATACTTCATCCATCCATGTTATGGCCGTTGGAGACGATTGCGGTGAATTGTGGATTGCTTAAATAAATAATGCAATCTTGCAAACTTCTGCTTCAAATAGTACTTGGCAATATCTGATGCTCCAGTGCCAAGCAAGAGTGTGTTTTCTTGGCTGGAAATTTAGTTTTCGCCCAAAGAGTGCCCTCCTACCTGACCATGTGCAACAGTTGGTTTTCTGCACGTCAACTTACGATTTTTATGTGTGCAACCAATCCGTGTTTATAGCATGCTGATCGTGTCTTTTTTATTGTTGTTAACAGGAAATAAAAATTCTGTCGAGAATACCTTTGACTATCTATTTCCGATTCAATACTTGAAGCAAAGTGTTTGTATTTGATTCATATTCAAGAAATCTAATATTCACACATACCTAATTAATAAAATAACGACAGCTCATAGTCGTTTACCTTACATTTTGTGTTTTTGCATTTGAGGACAGAATATTCCACATACGATAGAAATTAACTGAACATGTATTTTTCATTATTATCATTCGAAACATGTTAGTGCTCAGAGCAGAAAGATGTGACTTAGTGAACTGAGAAATTGCTTAAAAGATAAATTTGCTCTACCAGCAAATTCAGTTTTCCCACCGACTTCCTTCCTTATCAGATTGTGCCTATTTTCGTTAAGCATTCCCGTCTACGCGGAGGAAAGCAGAGTTTTCCTTCGTCTCTCCCTTCAGATTCCGCGTCCCCACTTCAACGGGTGTCTACGGAAGGAGCGATCCTACATGTGCCGTCTGGCTCTGTGGGTTAAGAGCAGACACTCACTCGAGGAATCCCGGCTTGTGCTTGGTCTCGTTGTGGTCTCCAAACTGGATCTGGCACTGGAGACCCGCAAACTTGCACGCCTCCTCCAGAGTCACCGGGTGCGTCGTGTTCAGGATGGCGTCCCGAGCCTGCACACGGCCCGTTTCGTCTCTCCCGGGAACGGATCGAAGCGACAAAATGACGGGGCCTAACGGTTGGGATCCCAGTCAGGAGTTTATAAGTTAGTGCGAACATTCCGATTTTCGAATGTATGTTTCAAATAATACCCGATTCCAAGTTTGCTTTAAGATGAACTGTAACATCTATGCCAGTGTTTCTCAAATGGGGGTCCGGGGACCCTTTGGGTTCCCCAAACTTGTTTGGGTTCCCACAGCCCTTGACTGTCAATCAAGCTGAACAATAACAAAATTTTTTTTTTATTGATGATGGTTGTCATACAAATAGACCAAGCAATATATGCCGAGCAAGCAGGACCGATTATTTTCTGTTTCATAACTTTGAAGTTGGTTTGAACTCATTTGGTTTCCTTGATTTCCCCTTTTGTTATTCTAATCATCCGATCCACCGTCCCCCCCCCCCCTCCTCCTGGTGGACCGAGTCCACCAACACTTCATCCAATCCAGAAGGAATCCCTTTAAGCACAAGTGGTTGAAAACCACTGATCTCCACTTTTTAAAGTGTTGGCAAAGTCACAGTTGTGGAGGGTTAGTTCAGTACCACCTAGGAGACAAGGCATGAGGTGATTGTTAGTGGATCGCCCACCCGCCCCAAGAAGTGACAGTATTTAGCGAAGCAATGGGCGTCAGTATTTCGGCGTCGACTCGCTCCAACTCTGCTGTAGTGGTGAAAACACCAGATGCGCTCGCGAGCTAGACAGCGCTCTACTGGTCCACTAATGTTGACACTAGAAGAGAAGAGGTCTTCTAAGTGGTATAGTTCAGTTAGCCCCGTTTAGCACGCTTCTCTCTAAGCACCACTGTACTGCAGAGAAGTGATACTTTCAAAGCAGACACGGTGTTCCTGCAAATCTTACACTGCCGCGGAGCAGCTGCACACTTTAGGAACGAATGCACCTTCACAGTGGGATGGTGCGTGGGCACATGGTGAATTTAGAAATAAGACTGAAGTAAGCGGCAGCTCTACCTTGCAGAAAAAAAGTTTCACACTACCACCCTTATTCGAGAATCTATGTTAGGCAGCGATGTCCTGACAAGCTGCGTGCATCATTGGTCATGCTTTTTTTTTTTTTTAAATTTCAAGGTTGAGGGAAGAATATTTGGAAATACATAGCGAAATAATTTATAAATATCATACATCTGGAAAAGCTTGGCTTAAATTTTATGTCAAAACTACAGCTTACTTTTTACCCCTATGTAGGTCCTGAAGTGTCCGAGGCTGCAGTCCATAAATAAGTATGGTAATTAGACTGAAATAAACCGAGGTTAAGAGTGGGCAAATGGAAATGAACAGCCTCCCACTTCTGCGAATTGACTCCCCTAACTGGCCGAGAATCCGACTTCCACAGCTAGTAGGAGAGAAAAAGAGAGCTAAGCAAGTACCTGGACGTAGAGCAGATTCAGCTGCACAGGGTCGCGCGAGTCCACGTTGGAGTCGGAGAAGAAGTACTTGCGACGCAGGGTCAGCATCTCCTCCTCGTCCACTCCGAGCTCGCGCAGCGTCTTGGAGTGGTCCACCCAGTTCACTGAGAAAAAGGAACGAACGGATAAGCGACGGAACGTCGCACCGGGACGCGTGCCGAAAGAACTTACGGTCGTCGTCCGTCTTGAGCTTCTTCTTGAGTTGCTCCATCTTCTGATCCTTGTCTTTCTTCTCCTGCGGCCGCAGAAACGTCAATATGGTTAACATTAGGTTGTCCCGAGCGGGGAAGTGGGATCCCTCACCCTGCGCAGTGTCAGTGTGCCAGTGTTTGGCTCCTTGTTCTCGTCAGGGAGGTCGCGTACCAGCGAGAATTCGTCGTGGTTCGTGATGCCTGCGAGGATACGCCACGAGACATCCAGAGGAGCTCAAGGAGGACCACTAGGGTCGCCCCAGACCACCGAAAACCAAGTGTGCACTACAAGGCTTGCAGGGCAACGACGCAGCATGAGCAACATGGAATGAATACCTCAAATATATGCCGACTCTCGCCCGAAAGCTTGTAACACAAGGAAGTTAACCTTTTTCAAGTCTGTGTCATCCGGAAAATTGTAAAATATTGGCAAGCCTTTCCATATTGTGTCCCCTTAACACCAAAAGCGTAGCTATGATTTTTTATTTTTTTGGAAAAGAGGGGGAGGGGGGGAAGGGGGGTAGCTGGGGTGTCCACAGACTTGTATGTAACGAGATACAAGTAACTGACTACTTGTAATCAATTACGTTTTATAGTATCTTTTTAACATTTCAATTGATTTTTTTCTGAGGTAACACTCGTCGTAATTCAATTACTATTGTTCAGTAATCAATTATATGTTCCCGAAAGAGCTGAAATTATTGAGTCGAGTTTTTCTACACAAAAATATTGCTCCGTCTGCTCGTGCGTCAATCATCTATGTTGCACTAATGTAAGACACTTTTTTTATCTTTAAACAACTAAAAAAATACCAAGAAACCAGAAGGGTTAGAATGTCAACGCGCTCAGCGGCGTTCTGACTGTCCAGCTGTCGAGAGTGCCTCGTCTTCCGCGTATGGATTGTTACGATCCGGGTTTGCCGCAGCATAGATGACTGTGTTCTGCACTTACATCATCTACCCACGACAAAGACCCCCCCCCTTCTCCTTTTCCATCTCCAAAGGGTTCACCAGCGCGTGCTTGTATAGAACGTACTAAGAACAGAAAGTTATCTTATCTACAATATTTTTTTGTACTAGATCGGGGTTTCTACCAGTCGAACATGTGGTTGTTTATTTATCCTTCCCTCTCTCTCTCTTTCTATGGCTATCTCTATTACTGAAGGAAGAGATGAATTCTATTAGCAATAGTTTAACAAGGTGTAAGTGACAAAAAAAAAATGTGACCACTTTTAACATATTATGTGTTTCTGATTTCGGAATAAAAAGATAAGTAATAAATTCCTTTCTGGTAATTTTATAATTACTTTTGTGATGCAGTAATTAACCACTGTAATCAGTTACATTTTTCAATGAAGTAATTGTAATTGGTTACTTTTTTTTCAGTAACGCATACAAGACTGGATGTCTATGACTTGGTGTGAGAAGGGAGAAATGGGGGGGGGGGGCAATCAAAATGCATGTGTATGTTATATGATTATTCGGGCAGGGCTGGAGCCCCATAAGCCTCCTTCATGGCCCTGCCACAGCTTAGCACTGCCATTCTGCAGAGCTTTTTCTGTGTTATCCAAGTTGACCAACCTGCCTATTTCTTAACCTTCTGCGGTGACAATATGCCTGCTAGCTCATTCCACTGTGCACTGCTGCAAAAGGCACGTGTGGAATGCCAACTGCTGCTGTCATGGGGACGAGTGGGGTAGACTAGAAGCACCCTAAATGATGCATAATGCTGCGACACAGGGTAGGTAGATAGCGACTGCTTTAAAATTCACTGAGATCACGCATCATTTCTTGCGTCGTGTGTTTGTGATAACGTTGTATCGAGTCCAGCAATAAATCATGGGGGTCAGTGTAAAAAAAAAAAAGAATGAAATAACTTGAACTGAGCATGGCAATGGGTGCTAAGCACCGATTTCCATGATCCACTAAAGGAGATCAAGTAAAAGAACTTAGAGTACCCAAGCCTAAAGGCTTGTTTGGGTTCCGAGTGTTTCGAGTGTTGCGTTCCGAGTGTTACCTACCGCATTATGACTGCTCACAACCACTTAAGGCTAGAAGCTATTATTTATGAGTTTCCATGGCAACTTCTCGCATTCAGTTGCCAACCATGGCAACCGAATGCAAGAAGGTGTAACACAGTCGGTCATATTCAAATGCAAATCTCTGAACTAGCCTTAAGTGCCCAGTGCTTCGAAGAGCTAAACAAAGAAAGGCTACTAATGCAAGTCCTACTCCTAAACGCCTGCTGGCCTTCAGCCCTGATGCACACGAGCACCAGGGTGAGCATGGCAGAGCATCCCCTTCAAACGCCCAGCCTCCAGTGTGCGCTCGTTGCCTTTCGCCGTGCTTTTGCTGCACGTGCACACTCGAGGCATACGAGACGTGAAGGCAAGAAGCTTGCATCAAAGGCAGGATAACTGAAAGTCCTCCCTGCCATCCTCCTCCTGTCAGCGACTGTACATTGTGCGACACACTACAGGACGGCAAAGGGTCCAACTGAGCAGCGCACCGATCTTGGTGCAGATGACGACCATGAGGTTGGCGATGGGCTGGCTGTCGTCCACTAGGACCGTCTTGACTGACCCGTCCAGCATCTTGACCCGCAGCGGCCGCAGCTTCTTGCGGTACTCCAGCGTGTCCTGAACCGAAAGATGGAGGCCTGCACGTGAGGGCCTGCCCCTCCCTCTCTTGCCTCTCTCCACTCACCCCAGACTTGAGCAGGTAGTAGCCCAAGGCCTTGCCGCTCTCCAGCCAGCAGCCACATTTTTTGGGGTCGTCGTCTGTCAAGAACAGCCCATATTCCTTGGCTGAAACAAACGAGGTCTCCTGTTCAGTGCACACAGTGGCAGGGGTCTTTTGAGGCTTTCTGGCTGCATCACACAACAGTGCTCAGAACAAACACAATCTCAGTTTAAGGGGCACTGAACCACGGCATAAAACTGAACCCAAACCTGAACTAAAAAGCCAAGCAAAACCATAAACCATTATTTTTTTTACCGAACCATAACGAAACCGGAACCAAGATCGAACACTTCACATTGAATCTCAACCGGAACAAAACTATTCATGTGGTAGTTATCGGTTCATTGGAAAACGGTGGCATGAACTCAATTAAATATCCTGAACGGTGGAATCAGCAGTGGAGTGTTCATTAAACAGATGGCAGACATGGAGACAGCTCAATAATAATAAAACAAATAAATAAATTTCACACTTATGTGCAGCAAGACTTGGCATCAACAAGTCAGCGTGCAGGCATATATTTTTACCTACGCTGAGAGAATAAATAGCTATTTGTTCCTTGTACAGTCGAATCTCGATAATTCAAACTTGCAGATAATTCAAACTTACGTGCAGGTCCCATCCCACACGTCTCTATGTGAGAAAACTCCTGGTAAATCAAACTTGGCTTTATTCAAACAAATTTTCGGTCCCCCTCGAGTTTGAATTAACTAGATTCGATTGTACTGCTAAACTGTACTCCTCAAGCAAAAAGGAAGTGAGCATAAAAATCAAAGTAACAAAAATACTGACAGCTGTCAGCGGGTGTTTGATCTGCAATGGCAAAAACTGGAGGTGACACTGGAGAGGCAAAGCCACGAGGAGCACGACATAAAGCGATGGTAGCCGGAACGCCATTTTCCCAGAGCTCTGGATGCTGCTTGAGGAAAGACTTTTTGTGTGCGTGTGTTTTTCAAATGCAACACGCCACCTATTCCTTTTTCTCTCCTTTTTTTTGCTTCAAATCATCCTTGGTCTGCCCTTCGCCATCTTTCTTGTCTTCAACTCAGTCATTAGACGTGGATAGTTTTCAAGTACTGTGCGTGCTAGTGTCACAGTGCATGCTGTCCGATTGACTTCACAGGTCAGTGCTGTACTTTGGTGTTGCTTCCAAGCACCTGTATGATCATGTAGTTTGCATAGAATGGTGTCTGCAATGAAGAGACAAGATCACAGAATAAAAGCAAGCATATATCTGTTTTGCTGTCCTTGTTTCCGCAGCACAACTTCTAATGACCAGCTTCTTTTTTTTGCACAATTTTTAATGCAGATGACGCCGAGTTAAACAGACATTTTTTACGACTGGGAACTCCAAATGTCTTGTTTGCTTAGCAAAGAAAATACATGGGCAGCCGCAGTCTAAGGTAGAGTTAGGAACCGGTTTAAGCCGGTTCACACGTGGTGGAACCGGTAACCGAATCAGTATTGAGAATACATCACTGAACCAATACCGAACAGGAACCAAATGCAATGCTACTGAACCTGACCCCGAACCAAAACCCACCCTGAGCTGGAAGAACAACCAGTTGACACCCTGCACTGAATGCAAAACCAATTTTTTTAGGTGCCTAAAAAGACCATGTATGAGGCAAGACAAACATGTACTTTAATAGTTAAAAACAAAATTTGTTTACTACATATAACTTATGACATGTCCACGACACTACAATAAAAATAATATAAACTATGCCAAACAGTTTACCTCACCAAATTTCCCAATACTAAATTAACCCCCACAATTTTTTTATGTTATTAAAAAAATGAGTTTGTAGAACTTTGGAAAAAGATAAAAAAAAAAAAAACTATATTTTGGGCATAATTGTGAATGTTGCAAAAGAGTGTGTAAATTTAATTTTTTTATATTTGGTGTTTTTCACGTATTCTACTGTGCAGTAGTCTCTAAGGGTATCGGGCCTTCGTCAGTTTTTTTTTTTATCTTTTGTCCCTGCCATCCCACCAATTACCTATGGAAAACAGATACAAATGTCATAAAATAAACTTGTCTTAAAATTAAAACATTTGAGCACGAAGTGCCTCTATTTGAGGAGGATATTCCAAAATAGAAGCACATTTGGGAATCGCTCCCCACTCAAAATGAGTCTTGCAACATAAAATGTTGCAAGATTCAAAATTCAAAACTATCAAAATTCCTTTAGTATAGCGCGGCAAAGGCAGCAGTGGTAACAGAAAATGTGATGTGTTAGAGTGGAGAAACTGTATACACACAGGGAGGCTGGATGGCACGGAGCACCCCTGCATTATGCAAGGTGAGTGTGGGAGCGCTCCGTGCGTGCCTTGCTTGTAGGTATCATCGTTTGCGGCTATAGTGTAAATACAACTTTGCCGCTGTAGTATATATACAAATTTGCGGCTGTAGTGTAAATACGAGCTCAACCAAGTATGACAGAGTAGTTAAAAAAAATTGAATAAGAGCCAATAGTTTGGCCCGACTACAAGCAACGAGCAATTGAAGCTGAATTAAAAGAAATGATTTATAAATGTTAGTAAAGAAACGACTGACATTAGAAAGAAATTTTGCAATAAACGGGAAAAGAACAGGCCCTACTAGGATGCATTTTGGTTAGAATCTTTTCAAAAACAGTATTTGAGAGAACCAAACAACTGCAAGTATACTCGCAAGACAACACCTTTTGTTCCAAATTTGCTTTGACATAGCTGAAGAAATAATTCATATAACCCCTCAGCCCAATGAAACCAGAAACCCAAAAACTGACCAACTGCACGATCATCATACATCATTGCAGCCTCAGAGGCTCGGTCAAACTTGAAATTAAGCGGGTCCTCGCTAACTTTAAGTTGTCAAAAATTAAAAAAAGAGAATATGTTTACATATAAGAATCAATTTATTAAATAAGCGAAGAGCCGAAATCCTTAGCCATGCGCTAAGGATTCTGTTAGAAAGATCTGTCCCGTCAGTAATCAATATCAAGGTTTCATTAAAAATGATTAACCCTCGTTAGATCAATTAATTGTGACCTCACATCTTGAGTACCTTCCCTCTCGAACATAAATAAATATTATTTATTTATGTTTATCATAAATAAAAGTAAAATATTATTACAGCTTGTTGATGGGCATTTAATCTCTCCCCATCTTCCAAAATACTTTTTATGAGGGGCCAAAACAAGCATACGTTTTTGGAACAAGACACAGAAAGGAACAGCCTCCCTCCCACATGCATTCTACTGAGCACCATATAAAGAAGAAAAGAGAAAATGTCCTTGGCTCGTCGAGCGTGCCGAGAGCGGTTGCGCAATAACGCATGCCCTAAACTTTTTTTTTTTTTTTTTTTTTTTTGCGGGTGTTTTTTTTTTGTTTATTTTTAGAAACATTTATTTTATTTGCTTGTTTGACCTTCCTCTATGGTTGTAGCACGTAAACAGAAAGTAGCAATTTCGTTTTGTTTTTATACTTCCGACATTTTTTTTTTTTTTTTTACCCCTTCTTTTCTGCGTACAGCCGATGCACAGGAATGCCTTCTGGCGCCCGCGCTGCAGTGCACAGGGCCGCGCACGCCGAGGTGTTCGAGCGAGCGACGAAGCCCGCGGTGTTTTCATCCGGATAAGGGAAGTTGTCATATTACCTTTTTTCTAACCTCGCGGGCGGAGCCAACGCGCCGCGGGTTGCGTTTCGCCACAGCACATCAGGGTCACGGAGAAAGCGCACCCAAAGGGGCATTGATCTGGTTTTCAATGGAGATGTAAAGGTTTCAGTTCTGAACATCGTAAAAACGCGAAAAATTGAAAAAAAATTCGCAGTTTTCGAATCATGCATGCCAAGGTCTGAATTTGGAAAAGTTCGAAGCTTTCGAGGTTTCTGAAAGCTCATGTTCGAACATTTCTTTTTATTGATTTTATGTTCAAGTTGGAACATACGAGAGATTTCGAATTTCCGATAGATGAAAAACCGAAAAATTCTACGATTTCCAATTTCTTTTCCCCGACTCAGTTTTCACCGATTCATTTTAAATATTTTAAACGGATCGACGAATCTTATGAAAATGTTAGGCGTGTTTTCTAAGCCGTAAAGTCTCCCTTCCTACCCAGCACTACGGCGCATCCGGTACAACTCTGTATCCGTCAAGAAACTCCGTGAAAGACGCGCCGAATCATTCAGCGAAACTCCTTGAGTAGGGTAAAGCGCGAAACACATGTACGACGAAACCGTCCGATCCGACGTCCGACCGCGCAATACGAAGGTCGGAGGCGAGGGTTTTCAACGCTCTCCGATGCTACGAAAACCCTCGCCTCCGACCGTCGTATTGCGCGGTCGGACGTCGGATCGGACAGTTTCGTCGTACATGTGTTTCGCGCTTAACGCGGCGGATCAACCTTGTGTGCGCCGTCATACATCTCCCAAATCTCTCGGAAGCGTGCGCGCGCGCGGGCGGCGCGGGTTTGCCTGTTGTGGCAATTTGCTTGCTTATAGCCGACATGAAACTGCGCTCGCGTTAAAAAAAAGAAATCACAGGGAATCTTTAAACAAAGCGCGCTCTCTGACGACGCACTCTTGGCGCGCGATCCAAACCAACGCGTTTTTGTGCGCGCGCAGGCCGTACGCTTCCCGAAAATTGCGTATTTCGTGGCGTTTTTGCTGTTTCCGGTGCTCCTTCTGAGTCCTAACCGTGCGCGTTGCTTAGGACGGTGCGGCTTCGGGCGAGAGGAGAGCACCTGCGCCAGACGACGATGCCGGAACTAGCGCCCTCCACCGATCGGCCGGGAGCAGGAGCGCCCTTCTAGGTCACAGCGCGTTTCCGTGCGCGTTCAGAAAAAGTTGAAAATACCCAACTTTCTTACGCGCTCCCGGAAGGCGCACGGAATCAGCGCGGCGTCACGAAATACGCAGTTTCCGGGAGCAGCACGGCCTACGCGTGCACAAAAACGCGCTGGTTTGGATCGCGCATCTCACGGCATGTCGCACGCCCGCTCTTCGCTGCCCGAGCAATAGCGTCCTCTTCTCCCGCTGGGTCTGCGCCGCGCGCGCATCTCTGCCGAATCTGGCAGGA